ATTTTTGACAAGCTAGGCACGATTTACACCATTCATTTATATCTTTATTCATACTTGTCCATAAATATCTTTGAGTTATCATTTTCCTAGTAGCTCTCTTCCCAGGATGACTCAGTCCATGCATGACATTAAAAATTTGTCTCCGAAATTTTTCTGGTAAATAGGGGCGATTTTTTCCTGTAGATATGTCACAGGCGATGACTTCAGTAGAACCCGGAACCTTGATATTTGAAAATTTTAAATTCTTGTTATTACGAAGTCGTAATAATTCTTGGTCATCATGCTGACATCTTGCTAAATCAGCATAATTAATCGGTGATGGCACATCAATTTGTTCTATCCGTGACAATGCGTCTGCTACAATATTGTCACGTCCTTCTATATGTTGAATGTTGGTACAATATTGTGAAATAAAATCCAGTTGTCGTATTCGCCGTGGCGTATCATTAGATGACGGTTTTTGGGAAAATGCGTAAGTCAAAGGTCGATGATCTGTAAAGATAGTAAATTCTCTTCCTTCGACTAACCTTTGAAAATGTTTGACTGCCATATATATTCCGAGCAACTCTCTGTCGAATGTCGAGTATTTTTGTTGAGTATCACTTAATTTCTTTGAAAAGAATCCTAATGGTTCCCAATTACGTCCTGACTTCTGCTGCAGAACTGCGCCAACACAGGTCGAACTGGCGTCCGTCATAAGTGCCAAAGGGGCGGTGCGAGAGGGGTGAACTGTTAATACTGCGTTCATTATATTTTTCTTGCATTTATCAAAAGCTTTTTCGGCCTCTGTTGTCCAAGAAATTGGAGAATTATCATTCTTTTTAGAGTCGTGCAGGTAGTTGTTTAAGATAGTTTGATATTCAGCGGCATGAGGGATATTGTTTCTGTAAAAGTTGATCATTCCTAAAAATCTTCTTAGCTCCTTGATTGTCGTAGGTTTAGGAAATTCCATAATTGCTTTGTACTTTTCCTCCGTTGGTCGTATTCCTCGACGTGTTGTATGATAACCCAGAAAATCTATTTCACTCTTAAGAAAGTCACATTTTCGAGATTAATTGTTAATCCATTTTCATGTAAACGTTTGAAAACCGTATCCAAATGTTGATAATGTAGAGCCTCGTTTTCAGATGCTATAAGACAATCGTCGACGAATATGAATACGAAATCCAAATCCCTGAATAGCGAGTCCATGAATCGTTGGAATGTTTGCGCCGCATTACGTAAACCGAAAGGCATTTTTGGAAATTCGAAAAGTCCAAAAGGAGTGATAATAGCAGTTTTTTCCACATTTTCTACAGGAATGCAGTGGTACGCCTTTCGAATATCAATTTTGGAAAAGATTTGCTTCCCTTCTAGTATGTAAGTGAAATCAGTTAGTCGTGGAAGTGGATATTTGTCCGGTACAGTCACGCTATTGAGCATTCTATAATCTCCACATGGTCTCCATTCACCGTTCTTTTTCTTAACCATGTGCAAAGGACTAGCCCATGGGCTGTCCGAAGGGCGACAAATGCCAAGCTCCATCATAGTCTGAAATTCTTTCTTTGCTATATGATATTTATCAGGAGGTAATGGTCTTGCACGTGCTGATACCGGTGGTCCTTTAGTGATAATATGATGCTTAATCTTGTGTTTTGGAGTAGTGTGGAAGGAGGCTGGTTTCGTAATATCCTCGTATTCATTTAATAGTTGAGTAATGCTTTCGTTCGTTTCAATGTTAATAGTGCGGATTGTTTGCTGCGTCGATTTGATCAGGGTTGCGGGCGTTGTCAGCTCAGTTACCCTATCTATGAGTTTTCGACCAGCTATATCGACTAATAGCTTATAATGCTCTAAAAAATCTGCTCCAATAATCGGTTGTGTTACATCGGCGATGACAAAGTTCCATACAAAGTTTCTTCGTAGCCCGAAGTTTAAAGAGAGTGTTTTTTCACCATATGTCTTAATTTTTGTACCATTGGCGGCATAAAGTATACATTGTTCATCTTGTATTAGTGAATGTCTCTGTGGCTTGCTAATAACTGAAATATTTGCTCCCGTGTCAATCAAAAATCTCATACCACTTTTTCGGTCGGTAATAGTGAGGCGGTTGGACGGGTGAATAGCACAGAGTTCCGCCGTTGTCCGTGCTTCAATTAGTTTCCCTGTTTCCTTGAGTTGAGATCCTGTTTCCAATCACAAGGTTGAACACACTTTTGTGCATATTTTTTAAATCTTCCATGGTAAAAACAAAAGTGCCTTCTTTCTCTTGAACTCGACTGTGGTAGGAAATGCCGACGATTGGAATAACTTTGAGTGCTGCGTCGATAGTTTTTTTGACCTTGCTGAATTGCATTTAGTTCCAATTGCATTTCTGCTAACTGTGCTAGTATGCATGACATTGTATCGTCGCCAGATTTGTTTCCGTTTACAGCTGACACCTCTGTACGTGTTGAATTTATTAATATCTTGTCCGCGATCTGGCTCATCTTGTTCACATCTATGTCTTCTGTGACTGCTAGAACCGAAGTCACTGATGGTGGCAGAAGCCTCAACCATAGAAGTTTGATGGTTTCGTCGCTGATATTTCCGTTACTCAGGGTCCGCATCTTGCGCAGAAGATGTGATGGTTTCTGGTCGCCGAGATCCATTTCAGACAATAATTTTTGGAGCTGACGTTGGTCTGATTCCTCATAGCAACTGATTAGGCGTTCTTTGATAGCCTTGTACTTTTCTATTGGCGGTGGGCAAGTAATGAGGTCACTAACCTGTATTATTTCTTCTTTTGGCAGTTTTGCAATGACCGTATAGTACTTGTAATCGTCTCCTTGCTTCTGTGGTGCTACTATGGCTTCTAGTTGCTTAAACCATAATCTGGGTTGGTCCCTCCAAAATTCCGGAATACGGGATAAAATGGCGGTTCCGGCTGATATCTCCAAGGCTTCTTGTTGGCTGCTGCTTGATTTGCAGGGTGAATGAGTCATGTTGATTGTTCTTCGTCGGGTCACCAATTTGCCAGACTTCGTGGCAAGGTAAATAATGAGACTGTAGATGGTTAAGGTCTGTTTATTACTTTAATTGCTGGTGCTTATATACTTAGTCGGGTCATAAGTTCTGTCACAAACTTTTGATGTAATAACTTATACGCCTTTTGACAATTATTTAAAAATTATATATGAAATGAAAGGTCATTAAATGTACAATATAATTTTATTTACATTATTCGAAATGCCCTCCCCCATTTTGAACACATGCCCTTAATCTACGCGGCCAGTCATCGATCGCTGCACGCACCACATTCATATCTATGTCTGCCGCTGCTTTAACCAGAGATGCTCGGAGAGACTCCAAATTCGGGTGAGGTTTAGCACAGACTTTTTCCTCCAAATATTGCCATATCTTGTAGTCCAGTGGGTTTAAATCTGGACTAGAAGAGGGCCAGTCTTCATGCCGGATGAAGTCAATTCCACGAGCGATCAACCAGTCTTGCGTACTTCGTGCCTTATGAGCCGGTGCAGAGTCCTGTTGGAATATCCAATGCCTGTTCCTGAACATTGTCTGAGAAAGAGGTTCCACTATGTTTGTTAGGACAGTATTTTGATAAACTTCGGCACTAGTTCTCACACCTTTTTCACAGAAAAACACCTCAGTTACGCCTGAATATGAGACTCCAAGCCAAACCATGAATGAGGAAGGGTAATGCCCACGCTGGACCCTCGCAATACGCGCGCTTGCTTCTTCACTGCTGTGGGCATACACCTTATCATTTTGTTTGTTAAAACTTTCTTCAATAGTAAAAATTTTTTCATCCGAAAAAAGAATTTCGCGGTATTTTTTTCCCGCGTACCGTCGTAGCAAAGCGCGGGATCTGTCTAGCCTAATTTTTTTTAAACGCTCGTTCAAAAAATGTCCTGTCTTTTTACGATAAGCTCGTAGTCCCAGGTCTTCATTTAGTACTCTTTTAACAGTGGTTCTGCTTAGCCCCATCTGCAGAGCTAGGATTTTTTGTTTACGTACGGGATTTCGTTCGATTCGCGCCTTCACTGCTTTGATGACCTTATGTGTCCGAACTGTGCGAGGTCGGCCGCTTCTCTTACGATCTTCGAAGCTTGACTCTTCGGTGTATCGTTTGATAGTACGATAAACAAACCGTAACGTTATTTTCAAATTTTGAAGAATATTGAAAATGTCTTTTGGCGCGTAACCACAGCGGTGCAACGCGATAACCGCGATTCTGTCTTCTTTATTCGACCACTCCATATTTAAAAATGAATAAAAAATAATTTCTTTTTTATTTTCTACAAGCGCGAAAGTTCTATTTTTAAAATAAGTCGAAGAATTTCTGGCCAGTAATCGAAAATTAAAAATATAAGGTTTTGACAGAACTTATGACCCGACTAAGTACTAAGAAGATGCGTGAGATTTTCAGATTTAGCTATCCTAACAAACGTGCAACAATTAACATGTATGTCTTATCTCTATCGTATCTAAGTAATGTAGCGACGTGATAGTGCCGCTACAGTAAGCAATTAGCGACGCCCATGGACACCCGTTAAACCAAAGGAATTACGAGTGCGTTATCGGTCTTTTGCGGAATAAAATTTCGGATATTTAGGGATGGGGGAGTGGTAGAGTTGACCCACCGGTAACCTTAATCACACGGCGAAATACAACGCTATGGTTATCTGCCGTGCCGAAGCCGGGGTATATCACTCCTCACTGGTATCACTCGAGCCAACCCATTCGTGTCAAATCTTGGCTCTCCCGCCAGGTTGAAGATAATTAAACATATAAGTATATGTATGTGAGGAACTAATAAATGTGATATATGTGAGATATTTTCTTAATGTAACACTACAGCTAATGGAAGGATGTAACTTGCCCACCTCTGCCTAAATCTTTGGAGATAATTAATGGCGTTATAATAATTTGCAAAACACCGATAAGACATTATAATAAACCTCTCTACAGACCCTTATAAATTAAACCTTAACCTCATAGATTTACGGTAGATAATTCAGCTACGAACCTTTCATAAGGTTGACAATGAACCTGGCAGTGGAGAAGCCGATGGACAGATGTCCTTGCTCGTTGTTACTCTTCACTTTGCAGATAATCTCATCTGCCTCACGCACTAGACGAGTCAGGCAATCCGTCTGCGTCTATATTACAAAATAAACATTGCTAAACTTAAAAGTAAAACAAATTTTTAAAGAGCATTGCCTAATTTTTGTACCTGTTTTTAGTCGTGGACAAATTCTCACGGGTTATTCAGATGAAATATTTAAAAAAAAATTTAGTTACTGTTAAAAAATAATACAAATAATAAGGCCTCGTTTACGCATATGAAAGGTGTCAATCAACGCATATTTCGTTTGCCGTACATTACTGCATCAAGTCGTGTCATCAGCTGCGCGAACTCAAACATAATGAACATTACGAGCAATGTATGACGAACCGCATAGCGCAACGCGCTACAAGAACGTAAACGAGGTCTAAGAGCCTGTTTACAACGTCTGAATACCAACTAAACAATTAATATATTTTTGTAAATAGGCCATAAAACGGCACTTTAACACGTCAAAATTATATGTAAAAAAACTAGATGAAGCAGTACATTACTCTGTACACATAAGTTTAATGGGAACTTATTTGAATATGACCACTTCATTATAATTACAGATTAAAATTTTTCGCCAATAACGTCTTCAGGACAACCAATTAATGATTAAAGGTGTACCCTTCATAATAGAATTCGTAAAGGACATTGACTTGAAAAGAAGCCTGAAAATGTAATCTAAATAACTTCTTAATTAATAATCTGCTGTTGTTGTACGCTTGAATGAATCATTGGACTTATACCTAAATTGAAAGTACGGTATAGGTAGATACGACTTAGATATGAGTATGGAATTGATAGGTGGAAATATTATTATTTAACTTAAATTGTAGAATATTACAATGCGTTTTTGTCGTCGAACGGACGTTCGAGTAACTAATGTGGCTACGTAACTGACTAGGTATTTTTTTAAGTAATAGGTCGGCAAACGATCTGTCGGATTACCTGATGGTAAGCAATCAGCGCCACCCATAGACATGGATAACAACGGAAGAAATACGAATACGTTGCCGACCTTTTGGGATTTAGGGATTGGCGAGAGATTGGGGAAAGGGAACGATTGGGTATTTATAAACTTCTTAATAAAAACTCACTTGCGGAAAGTTGCCCGCTTTTCCAGCAGAGAAAACTGGTACCCTGGTACAGCGGCAAGTTCCGCAGACCACTGGCAGGCTGCTCTTGCTTGGGTCAGCCCCCGTGATGGCACAAAACAGCTGGTTGGCGCGCATCGCATTTATTGCATTCACTCCCAACACGCGTCTCTTGTCGTACACACGTGCCCGCTTAAGTGTCTAAATAATGAATTTTCATGTGAAAATATTACCAGAACCAAATCTCCTACCCTAATTTTACAACTGTGTGTAGGTAGGTACTTACGATCATCAGGTTTGAATAGGCAAGATGTCTGATAAAACAAAAATCTATCAAAATAATGTATGAAACGTGACTTCCTTTTCTGCATAAGAATATCCCTTGTGATCAAAATAAGCCTTCACATCATCAGCCTATAAGTACCTACTACTGAACAAAGGCTTCTTCCCAAACAGAGAAGGTTTGAGCATTTATCACCACGTTTGCTCAAGGCGGATTGGCGATTTCAAACTTATAACTCAAAGTTCTAAGTCCAGGTTTTCTCGCGATGTTTTCCTTCGCCGTATGTCAGTGGTGTCTAAATAATCTTACAGACAGTACCTACATATAACTCGGAAAAAGTCACATGGCCAGATATTGATTCGAAACCTCCGGGCCATCACGACATTTTACACTAAAAAAGCCTTAGAACATTCCTACTCCCGAACGATATAATATTGTGTCGGTCACTAATATCAAGCGAAGGTAATAGGTATTTGTATAATATTGTGTAGATAATAGGTAACTAACATGTATGCACAGCGCAAAATTGCAGTCGACAGGCGGTGTTTGCACCGCGACAATGGCTTGAGGGCAAAACTGCGCGATTGCTAGTGTGGCCGAGCGAACATGTTGCAGGTTCTGGAAAAACAGCTGCCGGTCCAACGTGTTGCAGCATGGCGGCAACAGGTACGCACCACCACATATCAGTACCACGTCTGCATCCTATGCCACAAACAAAATCGAGAAAAACTTGAATTTTTACGATTAACAACTTATCTGCTATTCAGGTACATTATGGAGGTATGACACACAAAAGGATAGATACGTTAAGATGACTGTATTTATTTCAGATCTAAGCAATATTGCTTACATCCATCCTCCTCCTTTATTTGACCAGCTTTTAACTTCTTCTTCTCTGCTCAATTTGGGTACATAACCAAAGAGCTTTTTACTACGAAATTATATATAATTCAATTATTTAAAGTGAAATCATTTATGTCAAATAGACCACAGCAGGCACTATTGAAAGTCAAACAAAAAAAGTATTTCAAAAGATTTAACTTTATGCGTGTCAGTCTGTCCTCTAGTGAAGCTATTTTCTCGTTCCAAAGTGGAGATTCCTATAAGAACGAGCAAGAAACTCCATGGATACTCTTTTTCTATTAGTTTTACAATTCATTTCTTTAAATTTTCATTCTTATACATTCATAGTAATAGTGAAACCTTACATGCAATGCGTCCTTAAGAAACATGCGGCCCTGGTAGGCTTCCACCTCGGTACTAGTGTCAATGTGTGCGATATCGTTGGCCACGCCAAGCACCCCATTTTGCGGCAACTCATCGTACATGGCCAGTGTGCGGACCAATTTCTGTTGCTTCAGAAACAGGCAGGCGATGCGACCCACGTCACTACCAGCTCCGACCACTGTTACCTAATCATATTGAGATTAGCTTGAAACCTTATTTAGGTAATCGCTTTATATTTTTCTACATTGAATTAGATATTGATCTATGATCGAGGATCGTGGGAGACCCATTTGTAATCATTATAACCCACATGAGGCAGCCGACGCACTTGTACTTAGTAATTCCTTTGGTAGTACAAGTGTCCATGGGTGTTGCTGATTGCTTACCATCAGGTAATCAGGTTGCTCATTTGCAGACCTACGACATAAAAACTACAGTTTTTTTAATATATTACACGATTTCTTTGATACTGCATAAATAGGAACCCTGTTTGTATTCTTTGAAATCTACACCGTTACAAAACCACAGCATATCTAATATGATATCTTGTTAGCTATCGTTTATCAACCACAGACCTTCTGCGGCGGGAACCGAGGTACCGGACAGAATTTTTCGCACTCCTTTTCTATCTGAGCTAAAGCATCCGACAGCACAAAGTTCTTATACCCTCTTGAGGGTTGTTGTTTTAATGCTTTCCTTATAACAAATTGTGGCTTCATTATTGCCACAGGTTTTAAACACCGGTTAAAGTAAAAAGCAGGCCGTGACATTCTGACTATTGTATAAATGATAACTTTAATCTAAATACTGTAAAATTTCACTTAGTTATTTATTATTTGGTACTATAAATTTTGATTAATTATTCTTGTATTGTTTATATCACTGAAATTTGACTGTAGCTGAAATTCTGCCAATAAAATGTCAATTTTGAGAATTGTGAACCATAAGCTAATAATTTATGTATTAGGTACGTACCTATAGACACAAACAGGATCTCGATTCATCTTTATCTCTCCATACTTTTGATCTGTAATTTGAGCTATTCCTTATTTATTATAAAATGCTTACCGTTAACGGTAAGAAGACTGCTTAGTATTTATCTCATATATCGCTCATAACCTTTTTTCTAGAAAATCAAGTCAAAATACTAAGTTGACCATTTAGTATTTTGCCTTGATTTTGTAACTTTCTGCTTTCGTGCCTTTCAAACTCTGCGCCTGCGGCATACATTATGTGCTCTTGGCGAGTTGGTTGGAATTGTCAAACTTTTACTGATTAAAAACTACGTGGTCTCATCCACGGAGTAAAAACAAAGCTTTTTCTTACTCCGTGGTCTCATCAAATATTTATAAAACCACGTTCAAGCATCTGTTGAAAAATGTTTACGAGATTTAACGTGGACGAAGCGAAACCTTCGACATTCTTCATCTCCTCAGAATCATCGATAAGAAAGTTAGAAGGTACCCATGACAAATAAAGAAATAAAACAACAAGTAGAACAGACATCAATTTAATAGATATAAGTTTCACCTATATATTATGTTTAACATTTATATTGATTATTATTATATTGTCTACCCATATACAGGCATACTTGTTTATGTATAGATACAACACGGAGGAATTAAAATGACTAGAACTATAGAGAGTGAAGCCGCCCTGACAACTTTACGTATCAACAGAGTCGTACTAATGTAAGTACAATAGAATCAATAGATATTGGTCGACGTTACATTCAAAACATACTAAGAAAATAACCTATTCACTATAACACAATAAAATAGTTCAAATAAGGATTTTTGTCGCTATAGGTGGCGCCACTATTGAATATAGTCGCATTAAATAAGTATCTTGCAAATAAAATTTCTAGCGGAAAATTATTATTATAACATTTAATATTATATTATTCCATTTTATTTTGTGTATAGTAAACAAGTCTTTCTTGTACCCAATTTGGAAAAGGATGTAACATTTTTTTTCTAATGCCGCTTGAATGTAACATCATCTTTAATCAATTTATCTATTTGAAATGCATGACACGTAAATACCAATACAATCGATTGCTCCAATACAAAAAAAACAGTTGACAACCTTCCAATCAATAAAATAAAAATCTAAAATAAATAACTAAAATAGTACTTCAGGCGTGTTTAACGAATAGAAGGTAATATCGGCGTTTCACGTTTAGTTTTAAAGGTTTCAGATCTAATCATCTTCGCAAACCACACCTTAGAGTACAAAACTTTACTGATATCATTTCTGGCACACAATTTACAAAATAAAACTTATTACTAACAGATCTTTGCTAAGATTCAAAAAGTGCTACTAAAATCTAAAAAAAAACTATTAAATCAACAAAAACAACAACATCAACATCAATTTAAAACATTCTTTTTTATATGCAATTATACTCTATACTCACGCATTGTCTATGGTTACTTAAAAATGCCCGCGACACTTTTCAGTCGGTTACGATTAAAAAATAACATCTGACAAAATTAAAACTTTTCGTAATAATTATAATTAATTAAAATATAACACAAACTAATCTACAATTAACTGTCTTAAACATTTCGAAAATAAAACGTGATCTGTATCAACAAATCTTGCGGATCGGAAAATAATTTTTAATTATTTTGAAACCCAATTGGAAGCTTAATATAATAAATTTTACACAACATTTAACTTTGTGCGTGTATTTAATGTAAATAAAATTTCAATTCATTTTCGATAACTTCAAAACATTAAATATAATATTAATAATATGGTACAGCTGACAAAACGCAAAATATCACTGAATCTTATAACGAACAATAATAATGGTATTATAGCTGTTATCAAACACTTATATTAATAAAAATTATAATGTTAATAAAATGCTTTAGCATGCTAATTAAATTAATTAGTAATGAGCTGTATGAGCCAACTTATGTCAGACATTGGTGTCCGAAGCTAGCGGAGGATTATCTTTCAATATTTTTTGTCGGCAGATTTAGGGCTAATTTTCAATAGCCAGATAAATATCTGAGAAATAAAATTGTGGCTGTCACTGTCTTATACAAACATTTTGACGCGACAGCATCATATTTAGTCCGCTGATAACTTTTATCTAACCATTGAAAACTCAGCCCGTAGAGGCTTAAAATCGGTTCAACTATTCCTGTTCTACTCTAAACGAAAATCAATTAAGGATGCATATTATATGTGAGCAGAAATTATAACACAATAATTAAGATAAAAACATAACAAATAATACTGATTTACTTATTATACCTTGAGTTTTTTAATCTGGTGAGTGCTATAGAATCTATGATCAATAGATAAATTAACTTGTTTTAGTTTTTCTCAATGAAAAAAGGAATAATGCCAACCGCCGTTGTTGCAACGACTTATAAACATAACAATAATTTCTTATCACATTAAAATTATGTTGTAATATTTTTCCCAATTCAATTTGTCCAGTAAATCAATATTCGATGGAATTGAATAAACATTAATTTCATCCTTAACGAAACTCTAATAAAGTCGAATATAAAATTAATTTCAATTGGGGACTTTTTTTATATTACTGTTCATACTTCACTCATGTGTCTTATTGATTTTATAGCATAACAATGAACGACCAGTGAGTATGAAACTGATTCTTCGTGTACTAGAAACTAGAATTGAGATTTAAAAAAAAATCTTTATTATCTGTACGGGTCCAAAAACTTCTCAATTCCTCTTTGAGATAATGTTAACCAAATGAAATAATAGTCGTTACCATATATCATAATATAAACAGATCCTAAAAATTACAACTTGCAAGAAAATACAACTGACGCTCGACATGGCAACAACATCTGAATAAACAAGTTTAAATAGAAAGGCAGAGGACATACTAGTTGATCCACTATTTGATCCAGACACATTGAAGTCCATAAAAGACGCGAAGAAGCCCAAAATAAAGTTAAGTGACGTGACGTGTTCTGACACGAAATATGCCTTTATTTCATCTATTGTTTAAATGTATGAGTACATTGTAAAAAGGGCATTTGGTGACACTCCTACCGGTTCCTCCAAGATGGATGTAAATGATGAATCATCGCATTTAATAAAGGATGCTTTCACAAACATCGCTGTAGGTAATCATGCTATAAGTATTATTTTCATCATTCACAACGTCTGCCAAGAAAAGAAGAGAAGTGATACCAACATGATAAAAAAGACCGAAAAACCTTCCTTTATTAGGGAAATGATTCCTCCCTTCCGAATGAAGCAGTCAAAACTGCTTGGATTGCAATATTAAACAAAAATAAATTTGTATATTATGTTTTTGATATTGACTCAGAAAATTGGTATAGTACAATGCAGTCCAAACTTATTTGGATAGAACACATTTTGTTGATTCTACTTTCTTCAAAAATATAGAGAAGAAATGAATTGCCAACAATACTGGTAAGACTTTGGCACAAACTATAAAATATCTTGACTATTACTCCTAAAGAGGCACATGATAAACTGCGGAATAAAAATGTATAATTGGTAAATGGGAACTGCTCATTGGAGAGATATGGCATCTCTAACAATTGGAACTCCTGTGCTTGGAGGCCTACATCAGCATTGAAGGAAGTAACAGACGTTTCTTGGAAAGAACCGAGTCTTTTTTATCCATTGATCAGTTATTCTCCTCTTATATCATCGAGTTTCACGAAATAATATTAATATAACTATTAATAATATTTATCTTTAATTCATTTTATTTGTATTACTAGACAGATATTTTCAGAAAAAGGAATCTTTGACCAGAAGAACCGTTAGATCAAAATATGTAATTTTAGATACAGAATGACCTCTTAAAATATGATTTCTTACTGAGATGAGTCGGAATTGGTTAGCCAATAGCAAATAAATAAATCTAGAAACAAATCATTATTATTATTATTTATCTATTGTGAAAATTAAGATGGTACTCTGCAAGGCTTGATTACACGTCAGCGCCCGACGGCTCCCTACGGGGAAGTGAGACTAAGCCCTACTGCAGCTCCGAACGTCGAACATTTACAACTACCTCGCATAATATTCACAACCCGTCGCTAAAGACGCTTAATAAGTAGATCATAAGAAATGTGCCGATCACTTTGTACTCCGCTTGAAAATGTACTGTGAAGTAACCGAAGCAATTTTATTATTCACACATACTGAACTACGCAACTTTAACAATTTTATTAAAATATTCTATTTTTAAAACCGTGATTATTAGTAGTTAGCTTGGATGTGTCTTCATAGCAGTTTTATTTTTTAATTACAATTTAAACAGGACAGATTCATTCTCATTGACAGATTGACAATTTGCTATTGTATTTGTAATCTTTTATAAAGAACATTTCAAGCAGAGTCGTAGTACATATCTATACTTAGTAACTAGCTATGTAGGTACATTACATTTTATAACGGCAGACCCCATAACGCGAAGAAGACATAATCTAAGGTTTATAGTATGTAGATATAATTAAAATTTGTAAACATGTAGGAAACAACATCAAAAATATAGATTCTAAAATTGGTTTGAAAAATATACATTAGTCTGATATCTGCATAAAATATGGAAGAACAAGCTAAAAGCAAAATAGACAACATTGAGTCTTATGCATAGTCAAATAGAGTACAGAGTTGAAATAAATACACAGCAACTGCGTCATCTATGTAAAGTTTTCTAAAAGTCGACAATGTAAAGAATCGAAAATCTGTAACATACAGAAGCAGGAAGGAACGACGAGAGTAGATTCAGTAAGTGTGAGCAAACAAGGTATACAGTGGAACACATCACACACGGAACTTACGGGAGGAACATTCCTAGCTATTGGGTAACTTAATATTAAAACTGTAACGAGAGCGATGCGTGCATAAGCTCAGCGGCGCCATCTGACGTCACTCGGAGGGCACTACGCCCAGCTGCCTCGACTACTGCCCACTAACGCTCACAAAACACACAGACCCGCAAAGCAATACAATGCAGAATAAACTAGAAAATATACATATCGAAGCTTAGCTTACGATCTTACTTCTCTCGTAGTATATTATAGAATAGTCTAGAAATATAAGTATTAGAATATACATAATCAGATAACTCTTTAAAAAATAAATAGTCAATATAAAATGTAACAAGTATACGAGTTTCCTTAAGGACTATTATAGATTAACACTCGAGAACATCGCACGGAGACGCTCCGCCATACATCGCGCTATCGAAGCTGCAGTCGGAATATATTACACGCTACGAGATAACTCTTAACATCTAGTTGGCAGAATCACACGAACTTTATAATTTATCAATATTATTACAATGTAGCCAAACACGGGGACCACAGCGATACTACACAAATTAACGTTATAAGCAGGATTGATAATATAGAATAAAATATATTAATATATCCTTAAATAGCCAATAAATATTGTATATAAAAATATTGGGGCAATTTTGGGCCAGTCATTGTACCCGAGCTTAGAGAGATAACACTTCACAAAGGTAGACAAAGACAAATCGAAAAATACATGAACCATTGAGAATAATCGTAAAGTTCAAACTGAAGGGAAGCTTAGGCCTTCTTGTGAAATAAAAGACATTACGAGTGCGAAACTGCTGTGGTTCTAGTACAGAACATACGTGACCTACATCTTACCTAAAGACAATAATTTAGTTACACAAGGCAAGAACAAGTCGTGTTTCACTTTAAACATCCGTAAATCTACACGTACACTGATATTATTCTATCAACTAGCTAATTCAATCATTTGTATCAACGAACGGGAATAACAATGCCAAAAACGGGTCATTAGAAGAGATATACTTATTAAAATTTAGTCGTGGACGTCGGGAGAACGTTAAAATCGAGCTGATAAATTCAAATATTCGCCAAAAACTTCGACCACTCAACAGATTGCGCGTGACCCCAGACCTGAGACCCCCAGCCTGCTCAGTAGAGGCCAGGGCTAGTCAGCGCGAGTCACCGCGGACCACTACGAACAAGAAAGGCCACTTACTAAAGCCGCGTCACTGTCCACTCACACACGTACGTACAATACCTACAACGAGTACGTTCCTTATTGCGGATGTGTATCTATACTTCCACGTGCCACGTGCCTACTGACACCTAAACAAATACATTGTCATCTAAACTACAGACTCAACTTACAAAGTGTACAACTCTCATTTGTGTATATTAACGTAACGTTTTATTGATACAGGGCGATGTGACACCGTATATTAAGCTCATGAGGTCGTGTCGATCTAAACGAGTACTATTCCGAGCTACCTCGCACGCAACCATAGCAACCATCCATCTCAACGCTACCAGGGAAGTGCCTAAACTTTACAAACCTAAGCATCACAAGTTTCCATTATATTATACATACTTTTATACCTAAACACACTGATATCAGCTCACACGCCTCTATGTTAGGTTTATTAACTATTGTGTCAAGTACATACTTCATAGCAAATACAGATACATAAATATAGTCAAGAGACAGTAAGAGGTTCCCTGTTTCCATGTTTTACTTTCTTGTTTTTAAATCAGGATTATTTGTGACGTCATACTACCCGTCAGAGACAATTAAAACCAGTTCAATGTTTACGCCAACCATTCCATCACAAATAATCCCAACAATTCAAATTTTTATTTTAACGATAAAAATGTTTTAATTAGTTAACAAATACGAGGGACCAAAACTAATAACACTCATGGCACTTACATGATAATTAGGAATTTGTGAAAGATTTGGATCATCATAAAAATAACGGCCGTTCTCGCAGAGAACACCCCATAGACTACAGAATTTCTAAAAATATATTCATAATAACTTCATTATTAGACAGTTACATGAAAGTAAATGAACCGTCAACGGCAAGACGGACTTTAGAAATAACAGATACAACACGGCATGTAAAACTTTACGATTGGAAATAATTCTTAATATCGATAAACTGTCTTAAATACGAGAATCGATTAAAACTGTACATCGTATTGCCGTAACTTTAAATCTATCGAATTCAAATTTGGCAACTACACTTCACTTACGACGGTACGGAGAGTGCATAAGTCAGTATTACTGCGACAGCCGAGTCATAAGTTAATATTGCACTATTTAGATACATCTAGTATTCCCTTTGGACACTTTCCTTTACCAAGTGACCTAAATCAAAGAAAATCACCTTCGTTACCCAAGAAAATGTATCCAAATGAACGCTCACCTTAAATCTATGTAAAATAGTGAATATCAATTAATATTATTTATTGCAAGTTTCGTTTAGAGGAGACGGATGTAAACACTATGTTATACTATATTATTGCTGGTACTTACTGAACAACTCGCTGAAATTATACATTAACATTAAACCACTACGGAGAAGAATAATATTTGAGAAGTGTCGCTATAGTATTTCGTCTAATCTATTATGAAAACAAACGATATTGTGACGATTGAAAACTCTTACACTACCGTAAGTGGTAAACAGTAACATTAAGTACTTTGAGCCTATGAGAAAGCACCATTGAAATATAAATCACTTTATTATTATAAATAAAACCCGTATTACGCGTACTTTTCAATTTTGTTCGTGTAAAGAAGTCGAAATTATGCAGGTTTTATCCAAATGGTATTAGGACTTCTTTAACGAAACATATCTATTTAATCTGTGTTACAAAGGTGTTGTACCCGAAATGTTTTACTCTTAAATTTACGATTGGAAGTATATATTTATGGTTTTGGAACAAATGGTTCGTTGCTAACAACTACTCGAGGCGCTTGTCTAAGGCTGATTTATTCTAAACGACACAAGCCTCTGATAACTCTATTGGCAGTGAATTGTAACTTAAATATCTTAGATGGTGTTGCTATTGGCACATGAAACTTTATATTTATTGGAATCGAGGTTACTTGAGGGCCACACGCTGTGCTCATACGGTAAACGGTACACAATGTTACGATTGTTTGGTTTCTGTAATATCAACTATCGCTACATAGACTGGAGACACTCGTGCACTACTGTACCTAAATCTATAGTCTAAAAATTGTATTGTCTATCGAAGTTGTGTCTGAAGCTTGTCTTTCGTTACTGACTCAACATATTTGGAGTTTCACCACTACATCGGACATCAGTGCAATGGCCCATTAATTACTAATACCTAAACAATATTGGCGTTTAATGACTAAGCGAAAATGGAATGTTAATCTACAACCTACTGTTACTGACATCTGTTAGTACGATTAAACAATGCAAAAAAGCCAATATACATAATATTACGATACTCATATATATACTACGCAAATGTTAAACTCACGTTAATAAATATATTAATACATGTTTGTGACAATCAGCAAAACGCACGTGATGTGTTTTGTTCGTACCTAAACTGTAACGAGTGCATTACAAAAGTTTTATTATTATTCCAATAAATCATTTACTATATCTCAACTTTTCAATTTTACAAATAAATTTAAAACTCTTCGCTAGAAACGCGTTCACTAACCAGAAAATATTGGAATAACCATCATAAGAATGAATTTCATAATAATTTTAATTTACAATATACGGGATTAAATATTATTATTATTATTAGCTATATGACAAATATGTTTAAAAGGAAGATCTATTTAGGAAGATGTAGGAAATAATTAGGAGATAAATTACCCGCTGAGAGCAGTATGTTGTGCATTAGATATGTATACGTTAACAACTCGGGAGCCCACACAGCCGCCATGACTAGGGCGTCGCAAGCGATAACCATGCAACCCGCTATCGATTAATTCAATAAATGCAGTATTACAAACATTATCAAGACACACTTGTTACGATAACATAGGTACAGTACGAGGAGCATCGTAACGTTAAACGAGAAACATTCGCGCTACCCGGTATCGGAGCGAGGAGGCGCGAGCGCAACTAAAACTATGAGATTGCAAACGTAGAGAACAATACTGTCGAGAGTCACGAGCCGGAGACACGCCGCTCCTACTGTTTGCTCCTTAGGCGATAATATCACAGATTCCTAAATAAAAATTACTCGGCCACGAGAGAGACGGCCGAGGCAGAGGGCGGGGCCAGGCGGAGCCGGGCGGAGTCACTACCTCTAGCCCTCCGGCGCGCCCCCGCACATGCGCTCCAACTCCAACAATTCCTGCAACAATTGTCATGATACAATTATATACTGTATTGTATGGTATAGTATGATCTGCGTAGTCTCGAATATACTTCAAAATTGATTAATCATTGAATAGAGACGAGAGGCAGCAACCACTCAACTTTCAGTGACGTGAGATTTTAACCGTAGCTGGCTTGATCAGAATAATAATTCTGATCAAGCCAGCTATGGTTAAAATCTCCACGGTCTCATAAAACATTGGCGTGAAACAACACTTACGTTGTTTTTCGCCGTATGAGTGAGGTTACCGAAAGGTCACATCTTCCCACCCCTATCCTACATCCTATCTTTAAATCTCACATAATTCACAATTTGGTATGGGCACCGTCGCGTCGATTGCTTACAATCAGGTAATCCGTTTGCTTGATAAAAAAAATCATTTCACAACTTGCTAAGTGTGGGGATGGCGGTAAAACCCCGTACCCTTCGATAAGATCTTCCTGTATAGTGGGGACGTAGATGGTAGTAGTGTAGCGAGGAGTACCTGGTCGCGATGCTTGAGCAGCGCCTGCAGCAGACGGTCGTGGGCCCGCGCCAGCAGCTCGCGGCGCGCCGCGTACTTCTGCTCCAGGCGGCAACACTCCGCCACGCCGCGCTCCACCGACTGCAACCACGTTACCATACGTTACTCAACATCTCATCAACTAAACACTTCGCTTCGCCCAGGGTTGGGCGAGAGAAGTCAGACTCTTACGGCCTTATTACAAAACCAGGATTTTCTTTAACCTAGGTCTAAACCATTGAGCAAGTTTTTGTAATTTGAATTGAAGATAGGTGAGAATAAGATTCCAATACAACACCAAAAAAAGTCACCTGACTCAATGGTTTAAACCTAGACTAAATACACATTTTGTTTTGTAATAAGGCGACGAAGCCTCAATGCGTTTGCCCCGTAAACCCGACTGAACATCAGTCGAGATACCCTTACTAGCAAAAAAGTCAAGCGGGGTAAAGTTACAAAAAAAAAATGTTTATAAAATTAAAATAAGTAATGTTTTCTGGAGAAATCCGATACTTGGTGACAATTACTAAATAAATTTAAATGCTATTCAAAAACTTATCCAAGTTCACTACAACCTGAAGAACAGTTAAAACCTGTCTCTTATTATCATAATCCGTATGAATGAGTCGGCTCGAACGGAGTAATGTGGTATTACTGCACAGTAAACGGTAAAACAACCACAGCATTTTGTTTCGTCGTGTCAATGACGTTACCAGAGACCAACTCCACCTTCCCTTCACAATCCCAACCCTAAAGCACAAAAGGCCGGCAACGCACTCTTAACTCCTCTGGTGTTGCGGGTGTCCATGGGCGGCGCTGATTGCTTACCATTAGGTAATTCTACTCTAATCTAAAATAAACAACAAGTACCTGTGAGTGTATCTCTCGCTTTATTCTATTTATTTCGTCCTTATCTCTGTTGGTTTTCTTTGCTAACGCCTTTACATCCTCCTTACGGGAGTTCGCCAGCCTGTTCAGGATTTCCTTCTTGTCTGCTTCTAACGAATCCTGGAAAGAAATGTATAATTATTTAATACATTTTTCTCTTCACAGAACTTCAAAGTAACGAAATGGTTTATATTATGTATATTTTTAAAAACATATACACTTATATACGTACAGAGAGCGCCTTCATCTGTTGGTGCTGGTCGCTGCGCACGTGCTTCTCGAGCGCGGCGTACACCGCGTGGTGGCACTTATATATATAGATAATGTATGTACGTACAGAGAGCGCCTTCATCTGTTGGTGCTGGTCGCTGCGCACGTGCTTCTCGAGCGCGGCGTACACCGCGTGGTGGCACTTATATATATAGATAATGTATGTACGTACAGAGAGCGCCTTCATCTGTTGGTGCTGGTCGCTGCGCACGTGCTTCTCGAGCGCGGCGTACACCGCGTGGTGGCACTTATATATATAGATAATGTATGTACGTACAGAGAGCGCCTTCATCTGTTGGTGCTGGTCGCTGCGCACGTGCTTCTCGAGCGCGGCGTACACCGCGTGGTGGCACTTATATATATAGATAATGTATGTACGTACAGAGAGCGCCTTCATCTGTTGGTGCTGGTCGCTGCGCACGTGCTTCTCGAGCGCGGCGTACACCGCGTGGTGGCACTTATATATATAGATAATGTATGTACGTACAGAGAGCGCCTTCATCTGTTGGTGCTGGTCGCTGCGCACGTGCTTCTCGAGCGCGGCGTACACCGCGTGGTGGCACTTATATATATAGATAATGTATGTACGTACAGAGAGCGCCTTCATCTGTTGGTGCTGGTCGCTGCGCACGTGCTTCTCGAGCGCGGCGTACACCGCGTGGTGGCACTTATATATATAGATAATGTATGTACGTACAGAGAGCGCCTTCATCTGTTGGTGCTGGTCGCTGCGCACGTGCTTCTCGAGCGCGGCGTACACCGCGTGGTGGCACTTATATATATAGATAATGTATGTACGTACAGAGAGCGCCTTCATCTGTTGGTGCTGGTCGCTGCGCACGTGCTTCTCGAGCGCGGCGTACACCGCGTGGTGGCACTTATATATATAGATAATGTATGTACGTACAGAGAGCGCCTTCATCTGTTGGTGCTGGTCGCTGCGCACGTGCTTCTCGAGCGCGGCGTACACCGCGTGGTGGCACTTATATATATAGATAATGTATGTACGTACAGAGAGCGCCTTCATCTGTTGGTGCTGGTCGCTGCGCACGTGCTTCTCGAGCGCGGCGTACACCGCGTGGTGGCACTTATATATATAGATAATGTATGTACGTACAGAGAGCGCCTTCATCTGTTGGTGCTGGTCGCTGCGCACGTGCTTCTCGAGCGCGGCGTACACCGCGTGGTGGCACTTATATATATAGATAATGTATGTACGTACAGAGAGCGCCTTCATCTGTTGGTGCTGGTCGCTGCGCACGTGCTTCTCGAGCGCGGCGTACACCGCGTGGTGGCACTTATATATATAGATAATGTATGTACGTACAGAGAGCGCCTTCATCTGTTGGTGCTGGTCGCTGCGCACGTGCTTCTCGAGCGCGGCGTACACCGCGTGGTGGCACTTATATATATAGATAATGTATGTACGTACAGAGAGCGCCTTCATCTGTTGGTGCTGGTCGCTGCGCACGTGCTTCTCGAGCGCGGCGTACACCGCGTGGTGGCACTTATATATATAGATAATGTATGTACGTACAGAGAGCGCCTTCATCTGTTGGTGCTGGTCGCTGCGCACGTGCTTCTCGAGCGCGGCGTACACCGCGTGGTGGCACTTATATATATAGATAATGTATGTACGTACAGAGAGCGCCTTCATCTGTTGGTGCTGGTCGCTGCGCACGTGCTTCTCGAGCGCGGCGTACACCGCGTGGTGGCACTTATATATATAGATAATGTATGTACGTACAGAGAGCGCCTTCATCTGTTGGTGCTGGTCGCTGCGCACGTGCTTCTCGAGCGCGGCGTACACCGCGTGGTGGCACTTATATATATAGATAATGTATGTACGTACAGAGAGCGCCTTCATCTGTTGGTGCTGGTCGCTGCGCACGTGCTTCTCGAGCGCGGCGTACACCGCGTGGTGGCACTTATATATATAGATAATGTATGTACGTACAGAGAGCGCCTTCATCTGTTGGTGCTGGTCGCTGCGCACGTGCTTCTCGAGCGCGGCGTACACCGCGTGGTGGCACTTATATATATAGATAATGTATGTACGTACAGAGAGCGCCTTCATCTGTTGGTGCTGGTCGCTGCGCACGTGCTTCTCGAGCGCGGCGTACACCGCGTGGTGGCACTTATATATATAGATAATGTATGTACGTACAGAGAGCGCCTTCATCTGTTGGTGCTGGTCGCTGCGCACGTGCTTCTCGAGCGCGGCGTACACCGCGTGGTGGCACTTATATATATAGATAATGTATGTACGTACAGAGAGCGCCTTCATCTGTTGGTGCTGGTCGCTGCGCACGTGCTTCTCGAGCGCGGCGTACACCGCGTGGTGGCACTTATATATATAGATAATGTATGTACGTACAGAGAGCGCCTTCATCTGTTGGTGCTGGTCGCTGCGCACGTGCTTCTCGAGCGCGGCGTACACCGCGTGGTGGCACTTATATATATAGATAATGTATGTACGTACAGAGAGCGCCTTCATCTGTTGGTGCTGGTCGCTGCGCACGTGCTTCTCGAGCGCGGCGTACACCGCGTGGTGGCACTTATATATATAGATAATGTATGTACGTACAGAGAGCGCCTTCATCTGTTGGTGCTGGTCGCTGCGCACGTGCTTCTCGAGCGCGGCGTACACCGCGTGGTGGCACTTATATATATAGATAATGTATGTACGTACAGAGAGCGCCTTCATCTGTTGGTGCTGGTCGCTGCGCACGTGCTTCTCGAGCGCGGCGTACACCGCGTGGTGGCACTTATATATATAGATAATGTATGTACGTACAGAGAGCGCCTTCATCTGTTGGTGCTGGTCGCTGCGCACGTGCTTCTCGAGCGCGGCGTACACCGCGTGGTGGCACTTATATATATAGATAATGTATGTACGTACAGAGAGCGCCTTCATCTGTTGGTGCTGGTCGCTGCGCACGTGCTTCTCGAGCGCGGCGTACACCGCGTGGTGGCACTTATATATATAGATAATGTATGTACGTACAGAGAGCGCCTTCATCTGTTGGTGCTGGTCGCTGCGCACGTGCTTCTCGAGCGCGGCGTACACCGCGTGGTGGCACTTATATATATAGATAATGTATGTACGTACAGAGAGCGCCTTCATCTGTTGGTGCTGGTCGCTGCGCACGTGCTTCTCGAGCGCGGCGTACACCGCGTGGTGGCACTTATATATATAGATAATGTATGTACGTACAGAGAGCGCCTTCATCTGTTGGTGCTGGTCGCTGCGCACGTGCTTCTCGAGCGCGGCGTACACCGCGTGGTGGCACTTCAGCCGCAGCGCACGTTCCAGCGCCAGGAACTCCGCCTCCTCCGACCCCGCACCCCCTGCTCCGCCCGCGCCCCCCGCGCAACTCTCGCTGCTTCTACCAAAGTAAGATAGCATTAGGGCCTTCTCATAACTGCGCTAAGACACAATGCGAATTCGCAACGCTAAAAAATGCATCTCTATTCGTAATAGACGGGAACTATCCTTCACAAGCCGTAACAGCCGCAAAAAAAAACACTCCTGGCATCGGAAATCGCGCGACAATCTCCAGCTATCGTAGGCGGAGCAACGAGGAACAATACAGTATTAGAAAACTAGTCAAATTCAATACTTCTATTGAAATTTTTAAAAACAAAACTGTTCTACGAATTTGGTATGGAAAATAGAAATGTGACGTCATCATAATTTTTGGATTAAACAGCAACTTAATTCTTTTTCTTAAAATGTAACCGAAACAAATCTAAAATTAAACGTATCGTCAAATCCATCAATGAAGTACGACTATTTCTTTTTTGAAAGCTAAATAGAGCATAAAACGAGATATGCACTAGGTTTTGGGACATATCACTAAAATTAATACCATTTTTGTTAGGGTAAGCATAATGTATACTTACATATTTTTAGAGGACAGTCTTTTAACGAGTTTATTGCTGACGTAGAACTTAGAGGTGGGTGGTTTCTTCTCCTTGTCGAACTTGCGTCGCAAGGCATCGAGCTTCCTCGCCAACTCTGCCTGTTTCTCACGAACCACCTTCATCGACAGTAGCGCTTCCAACGTTTCAGCTAACGATTCATCCGACGTACCATTTGTTTTTCCGTCCGCATCTGAACAGCAAAACAAATTAGAACAATAAGTGTGGAAGAGCCATGCTTCGGCACGAATGGGTCAGTTTGACCGGAGTGACGGCCTCACAGAAAACCGGCATGAAACAACCACAGCGTTGTGTTTCGCCGTGTGAGTGAGGTTAACGGAGACCTATCCTTCCCCTTCTCCAATCCCTAATCCCCAAAAGATCGGCAACGTACTCGTTACTCCTCTATTGTTGCGAGTGTATACCTTACCATCAGGTAATATAAACTAAGATTTAACTATAGGCTATTAGCTTTTTTTTGAGGAGGGAAAATCATCAAATGAATTCTCTCGAATATGGTATGGCGAGAGAGAGTGTCAGACTCTTACTTACAAACTCTCCCGTTACTTCCCTTGCTCTAAGCCGAAGCAGCGGTAACTTAAACCGCTTGACCTGCAACCTCGCCAATAAGCATCTAGCTGCAAATAATTATTAATATTTAAAGTACCTACGTACCTAAACAATTCTTATCGTTGGTAGGTAGCGGTGAGGGTATGCTCTCGCTCTCGATCAACTTTCTAGTTTCCACCACTGCTTCTTTCGCGGGGCTGCCGTCCGGCGCGTCGTCTAATCTGATCTGAAACACGAAAACGAAGAATTTATGTAATGGTAATATATTTTTTTTATGTAATATGTCGGCAAACGAGCAGACGGATTACCTGATGGTAAGCAATCAGCGCCGCCCATAGACACCCGTAACGGAGGAGTTACGAGTGCGTTGCCGACCTTTTAGGGATTAGGGATTTGGAGATTTAGGGACTGGGGAGGGATTAGGAAGGGGAAGGATTGGGCCTCCAGTAACCTCACTCAAACGGCGAAATACAACACTGTGGTTGTTTCACGCCGGTTTTCTGTGAGGCCGTGGTATCACTCCGGTCGAGCCGACCCATTCGCGCCGAAGCGTGGCTCTCCCACACTTATAATGTTCTTATGTACTTATAATGTTGATATAATGATGTGTATGTGATGTATGGTGAAATCGACGAATATAGTTTAGGGAACAGAATGTAAGGTTCCCTTAAATCGGAAGATGAGGATCCTGCTTGGTGGGCTGCAATACTCATAGCAATGAAGGTGGTGATGATTTTTTTCTTATGATAATGAAGTTAATATTGGTCAATAGATGGCGCTACCATCTGCAACAGTAATGGCACTTACAGGTTGTACAGCGGAATCCGAAGGCGCGGCGCGTTTCGGTCTTGGCGGAGCGACTTCACTGGGCACGTCGGTGTCTTCCGTGAGGCGCGCCAGTTGTTGCTCGCGCTTGTCGAGCTCGCTCTGGTACTTGATGGGGTTGGCCAGCGCCTCCGCCAGCTCCGACAGCCGGTCCGGCACGTAATCCTGTATGTTTAGCATGATAGTGAGTTTTTTTAAATCTAATTTTATTAAGAGGCTTTTATCAAAGATATATGTCAGCTCCATGATAGTGCGATTAACGGAGTAACCTTATTGGACACTGATTGAATTTTAGTGTTGCAATCTTTATCCAAAATCTTTCAATTAGGATTTACTTTTGTCATTTCTATGTGGTTTGAGTTTGTGTCAAAAAGACAGATCTATTCAAAGATTTAGCATTAAGATCGGTTATTGAAATCGGCCGTTAGTGAAGACACAATTCACGGAAACAGGGAACACAGATGATATAGAAGTGTGCATTCATAGAATGAAGGCACACTTCTATGAAGACACATCGCAAAAATTGATGGCTTCCGAAATACATAAGTTCTGTCTTTCTTTCTTTTGTTTTTATTCTTTTCTGTGGTGGTCTATTGGCTCTTTGAACGCTATGCGCCGTACACTCGGGTCTGGTTCTGGTCGGGCGGCGAGCTGCCTTTACTCGCCGTCCGCGCTTAAGGTGGCCGGAGATCATCTCTCGATCCCCCATGCCCGGAATGTCGCATACTGCGGAGGCCAAGTTTGGCAAGTGTACCTTGACGACGACGAGCAGCAGCAGCGAGGCGGGCAGCGGCAGGCCGAGCTCGGTGCGCAGGTTGACGGAGCGGTACCCCGGGCACAGCCCCAGCACCGGCACCACGCGGTGCCCCAGCAGGCGCCCGCCCTCCTCGTGCGCCGCGATGCGCAGCATGGCCAGCTCCGGGAGCACCACCTGCACATACACCACCACCAATCATACTCTATATCCAAAAGCACTGAGAAAAATGGACACCTCATTCCTCTATTGGACACGCACACTTGGATTTTCTCCTGTTTCGTGAATGCGTTTACATATACTACATATAAATTTTCTCCTGTTTCGTGAATGCGTTTACATATACTACGTATAAATGTGTCTTTAGTGTGTAATTTCACATAACTACACATCACACCCAGACTCGGAACAACAATTGTGTAATGCTTCGTCTAGGAAGGATCAGCTTGACAGTAGTGATACCACATTAAACATCCATCATCATCATCCATAATTAACAAAGCAAGGTGAAACATAAAGCATGTAGTGCTTTTTCACAAATCTATAAGATCGCTTTCTCTCCAACTAAACCGACCTATATATGCCGAAGCAAAACCCCACGTTATTTCATTACGAAATTCCTAGGACGCACCGGCATTTATACTTTCTATGTTTTCACGGTTAGTTCTAGTGTAGAGCTAACAGGAATTTCAGCGGTTGCAGTCAAATGTTACAATTCGGTAATTTCCTCGGTCAAAAATAAATTAATTCGACATTTCAATGCATAAAAATAACTATAATTTGGTCGGTCTATAAACTTTTTACATCCATTTTGAGAGCAAAAATAACAAAACATATAGAAAAAAATTCCATCATGTCTGTCTCTCAGAATGGATGTAGAAAGGGGTCACGTGGAACTAAGGAGCTACTCCTCATTGATATGGTCATTAGCCAGCAGGTTCGTCGATCCCGAAAGGATTTGTCTACATGCTGGATAGATTATAAAAAGGCTTATGACTCCGTACCACATACATGGCTTATGAGGGTGCTGGAGTTGTATAAAATTAATACAACTCTGCGCACCTTCTTACAGTCATGTATGAGGCAGTGGAGCACGGTGCTTTCCTACCCAGGATGTAAGCAAATCCAAAGGAGTGAAGAACCTGTAAGAATAGTGCGAGGAATATTCCAGGGTGATAGTCTGAGCCCACTGTGGTTCTGCTTGGCCTTGAATCCTCTCAGTACTTTACTTGAGGCTTCAGGGCTGGGCTATCGTTTGCGGAGAAAAGGTCACGTTATTTCCCACTTACTTTACATGGATGACCTCAAGTTGTTTGCACCAAACAAGGAGGAGCTGATGGAACTACTAAAAATAACAAAAAATTTTAGTGGTTCCATCAGAATGGAGTTTGGTGTTGATAAGTGTGCGGTCATGCATGTAAAGCAAGGCGGTATAGTGGAATCTGAAAGCCTAGAGCTGTCAGATTTCACAAAACTGAGATCACTCTCCGCAAATGATACCTACAAGTATTTGGGTATGTCGGAAGGATTGGGTATTAATGGGCCGCACATGAAACAATCCTTACAGGAGCGCTTCTTTGGCCGCCTGAATAAGGTACTGAAAAGTTCGTTATCAGGCGGCAACAAGGTGCGAGCCTTTAACGGTTGGGTCATGCCGGTCCTGATGTATTCTTTTGGCATACTCAAATGGACTCAGACTGAACTTGACACCCTGGATAGACGAGTCCGGACGCTGCTGACTGCAAATCGAATGCATCACCCTCGTTCATCAGTCATGAGGTTGTACATCCCGCGGAAGCGTGGGGGTCGAGGCTTTCTAAACGCTAAGACCCTTCACAACCGTGAGGTGTGCAATCTCAGAGAACATTTCCTGAAAGTGGACGAGGATATGCATCGAGAAGTAGTCACAGTGGACAAGGGATTCACACCACTATCCATGGCTAAAGAGAACTGGTGCAAACCCGTAGTACTGAGCGTCAATGACCGCAAGACGGTGTGGAGTAGCAAGGAGCTTCACGGACGCTTTTTCCGGGCTCTCCACGGGCCCGATGTAGATTTTCTAGCGTCCGTAGCTTGGCTACGATTCAGTAACCTCTTCGGAGAAACTGAAGGATTTGTATGTGCAATTATGGACGAAGTTATCCTCACGAATAACTACCGGAAATATATTATGAAGGATGGGACGGTTGACATATGTCGGGCATGTCATAGCCCCGGTGAATCCATCAAACATATTAATGGCGAATACTTGCACAGACATAATCAGGTGGCCAAGATTATTCATCAGCAACTTGCTTTGAAATACCGGCTTGTTGAGTCTGAGGTTCCGTACTACAAGTATGTGCCCGACCCAGTTCTCGAAAAAGACCATATCACATTGTACTGGGATCGGTCTATCATCACAGACAGGACTATTGTAGCCAATAAGCCTGACATAGTGGTGGTAGACCGACTAGCGCGTCGCACGACGATAATCGATGTTGCCATTCCTCATGACGAGAACCTCGTGAAAGCTGAGAAAGATAAACAATTGAAATATCTTGACTTAGCTCACGAGGTTGTTGACATGTGGAGTGTGGACTCGGCTATCGTTGTGCCGATAGTTGTGTCGGCAAATGGGTTAGTCCCCAAAAGCCTCGACAACCACCTTAAGAGGCTGACGTTAGGCGGATGGATCAAGGGCCTCATACAGAAGGCAGTCCTCCTTGAAACGGCACGTATTGTGAGGAGGTTCCTGTCTTTGGAGCCCTAACTGCCGGTAGCTTGGACCTTGCTCCCGCTGCCGGCTGGCACCTACTTTTATATTTTTAAATATTATTTTATTTTATTTTATAGTAATATTTAAAAATGTAATTTTAGAGTAATTTTATTAAATATATGGAATATAAACTATAATTTTATTCATCGATCTGTCGATACTCAAAACTTTCGATATCTTTTAGCAAATTTTTAAGAAATAAGTAAGTTATTTGACGTAAAAATACTATAAACTCATATTTGGAGTTTCACACAAATTTCATAGAAAAGTATAGTTTTTGACATTCGACTAACAGTATTGAATTTGACTAGTTAGAAACTACCGTATTACTTGAACCATACATAATAAATGAATAACCATTAATCTATCTAATCAAAACACCGGAATTATTATTATTACTAACTTCTTTTCTAAGAAGAAAAAGAAGACGGAGACGACATAAAAATAAATGAAGCCATGTAAAAAATATACTGATTCATTTAGAGAAAAAATAACCTTGGCGATTTTGAGCGACTTCTTGTTAATTGAATGACTAATGCCACAAAAGCTGAGATGATGTTTTGCCGTAAACTGTTCAACGGAAAACATACGCGGGCCGTTGTCTCTCACCCTGCGCTTAAAAGGTTTTCTATTGAAGTCAGAACAGTGGAGCAAACCAATCAAGGTCGCTAGTATTTGTTGACCAAAATCTAGCAACAGCGCTAAAAACCGTGAAATCTGCGATTATTTGCTTATTTGCATCGATTTGGCATGCTCATTTATTATGCTGCTGTCTCAATTTATACATTTTTAAAAGAACTTGTAATTTTCATAAAGCAGTTTTTCGTATCCAATATATTATCCGTTCTTCTCCTCTTAACAACACTCGATAATATAAACAGATTTGAATTCTGCAATAAAATAATCCTGACATGGGTTACTGGTATTTATTTATTTACAACTAGCGAGCCGCCCCGGATTCGCTAGGTAGGAATGCCGATACTATACTTCTCTACACTATAACAAACGTTATTCGTCATATTATAAACCTCCCTTTTCAACTACTCTGTTAAAAGATCGATCAAAATCCGTTGCTTAGTTTTAAAGATTTAAGCATACATAGGGATATAGGGTCAGAGAAAGGGGTTTTGTTTAATACACCGTTATTCACTCAGGTTTAAAAATAAACTCTAACGTGAAAGAAAAGTATTTAAATCCAATAAAAATTATAGCCGAGCATCCAATCGATTACACCAATAAAATAAACGGCCGAATGTTTCTTTATGTAAACACTAAGCAGGTAATATTTTGTAAAATTTATTATCAGTGTACATTAAAAGCGGGGAAATTTTCAAACAATTGTTAATTGCGATCAGTCGTCGAGTCAATCAGTGGGCCGTTTGTAATGGCTAGCTGTTTGAATGGTATTGTGTCGGCGCGGAGCGGTGCACTGACGTATAAACAATCCGTCACGCGGTGACACGGCCCATATGGCGCCGCGAGAGATGCGTCTCGAAGTCTGCTACAACGAAACTTCTCCCAACACATTTGCTATTATTATAATATCAATTTATTTCATACTAGTTTTCCAGCTGCGACTTCGCCCGTGCATTTTAATAATTTACTAAGTAGATCAAAAATAAATTTGTTCGATTTGCCGTAAAATATTTAAAAACATCAATTTCGAATTTGTGCAGCAGTTTTTACTTAAATAAGAATAAGTATTAAATTTACCGCAAATCATGACGAACGTCATAAACTGTGATCTAATCTTGTTTCGATAAAAAATTGAACTAGAATATTTTAGAATAAAAGGTCGCCTAACGTTACTAAATAAAAAAATATCTGTTTAATGATGAAATAATTTAAATCGGTCTAGCAATACAAACAAACACTCTTTTCTTTTATGAAATTGTATACACGACTCGTAAATATATTTGTACCACTTTCAACGTATGACGCGAAAGGGGAAAATTTCAATGACGAATACACACGTCATTTTCTGTGTTGGTGTCATTTACTTAGATAACATTTTTGAAATTAACTATTATTAAATTATGTGACCGAATACAACATACATCATCATGAAAGTGAATAAAATTTTATTAATCTAATATGTATACACCAACGTCATTAAATATTTAGCTTAAGAAATAACTATATAACTTTTTTCTTGTAATGTCACTATAGTTCTTTTTTGTTCAAGTTTATAGTAAGCTTGCAAAAAATAATCAATGCCTACCTACTGTTTTTGTACATAAGAGTACATTTACAATCAACCACATAATTAATGTGCTTTCAGTTCTGACATTTGTTTGATTTTCAGTTAGTCAGACAAAGGTATACAAAACAAAATTAGTGAAACTGTAAACACTAATAAACAAGATTCCCGTACAGTCAAATCTAGAGAAGAACAGACGGTATATTTCTGATATACCTCTAAATCATACGCTATTACCGTGTGATAAACGATCAAGAAAGTTGACATTTAGCACCAAAAATTGCACAATACACGTGCTACATATAAAATTGTTTTACAATTAAAGCGTTTTCAAACAAACAAAATGTGGATGACGCAAAGAGTTGTTCCGTGCGAAAATCGAACCCACGACACGTTGCGCGGCAGCCAGTTGCCCAGCTACAGCGCCAACGCTGCAGTCAATATTCTATTCTTCATCTATGTGAAAATTGCAAGAAACGTAAAAAAATTTAAATCTCAAGGTAAATAGATGAACTAGCACAATATCTCTAAGCATTCCGAAGCTTTTGATTACATATCATACCATAGTTTGTCGTCCAACCAATGTAGATTTCCTCAGGTACTAGAGTCAGGCTGAGATTTTTTTAATAAACATCTAACAAAATATCTTTAAACTCCCGTCCGTAGATTAGAATATCCAACATACCTTTTTAAACACAAACGGCTCTTCTCCGTAGACAGGATTGATGCCATTGTTAGGTGCGACCCTGGTACGGAACTTCTTGCGCACGGTGTCTGCAGGCAGGCCGAACATGTCGACCTCGACGAATGTACCGCAGCGCTTGTCTGTGAGGAGCTGGCCAGACAGCACCGTCACTGATAGTGTACCCGCTATAATGCCGTCGACTGTACTCTCTGCGAACGGGTCTAAACGACGGTCCTGCAATTTTATATTAATTAGTATAGGTACTTTTCTTTAAAAAAAAAAGCTGCTACTACTACTATAGGGTTTTCTCTAGTGTAATGGGTAAGCATACAATTTCACATACATTAAACGCAGAAACTGAGCAACAATTTGTGAGCAAGTGAAAAACACAATTTTTTATCATTACAAACAGACAAATAAGTTTCGAGTATCGCTTAGTCTAAAAACACTTTTATTTCGACTAAGATTCTCCTTGGAACAAGTCTATAGTCAGACTTTTAATTCGATTCCTGATTTGACATTGACCGCTGTCATTTTGTGAAATAATGATACCACATATACCAGTGTAGTGATGAACACAAAAATCGATAAACAATCAGTGAATCAGGTTCAGGAAGGCATTCAAAAAATTACGGCTACCGAATGGTCTAAATGTGTATCCCATGTTTTCAAAGAAGAGGAAAAAACGAGTAAGCTAGATATGTTAATTGACAATAAAAATCACAGACACAATTCATAATATATTTTACAGAAAATAACAGCGATAGCGATAGCGATGACGGCGACAATTTATAAAATGTCTGTTTTATTAGTCACGTTCCTTCATGATCACATTTTTTATTAATTTCACACACAATTACAAAAGAAAAGTCTCAGATCGTTAATTAATTGTCAAAACTAAATTATCGGTTCAGAAATATTTTATTTCCTGATAAACTTAGTTTACGAGAGTAAATTTATAAACGAGAGGAATCGATTCAGAAATATTCGATATCCATATCGAATAACTTCGCAACGTCACTATTTAATACGTGTCATAACGTTGCAACACTGAAATTGTCAAATCTGGAATGGAATTAAAAGTCCGAGTATAGATGTTTTTTAAATTCCATGCATTCATTTCAGATCCTTTTGCGGCCAGTAACGAAAAAGGCCTAAGACTAAATAATATGAATAATAATATGTATAAGAATGAGGTCTCACACTAAATGGTATTAATCCTATAAGTATAGTTCGCTCACCTTTCTCCGCATGAACTCCGGCTTCAACAAATATCCACATCGTCTGTTGTATTCATATGTGCCCAGGTTAAGCTGCATGGCCAGGTCTAGTGTTTGATAGTTTAGTGCCACTAACTGGCAACCAGCGTTCCAGAATACCTAAGCAAAAATACAATAATTACAATATCATTGTTTTTTTTAACTTTTCTTAAATAGTTCTACAATAGTAGGATTAAGTATTATTAGAACTTTCCGTTTACTTTAAGCCATGCTTCGGCACGAATGGAGACAAGCTTGACCGGAGTAATAAACATCGGCCTCACGGAAAACTGGCGTGAAACAACCTCAGCGTTGTTTCGCCATGAGAATAGGCCTTCCAGAGGCCCAATCCTCAAACCCCTCGCCCATCCTTCCCAAACACATAATTCTCATAAGGGCGCACGCACTCGTAAAAATGCTAGTGTTACGAGAGTCCATGGGCGCCGTCGAATGCTTACCATCAGGTGGATTACCTGAGGGGTATAAATAAGGGTTTGCGCTCTACCACTTTCAAAAAAAAATTATTTTTCTATTCAACAATACTGTAAATGTATTAAAAAATTGTTTAAAGTCTAAATTGATGCACTATGACAAAAACCTTGCTTCCATAAAGTAAAAGTGGGCGTGTAATTTAATATTTAAACTTCAATGGACTATAGAGAAATGAAAAACGTCATATTCAAAGAAATATTTCTCAGAACTAGTTAAAAATAGAATGTTAAATAGAAATATATGATTGCAACGAGCTAGCGACGGACGGAGAAATTAATCAAACTAAAAGGTAATTATCAATACGTAGGTACATTTACTTAATTACTTATGTTTCTGTAGACAAGGCAGTGGCATGTCCTTGTGTTTTACTCTAGTGTATTGACATCATGGTTCATGTATTTCTGTTACAAAAAGTATTCTTTTACGATATCTACCACTTCACTAAGTGAACAACTTGACTATTATAAGAATTTTTTTTAATAAAACTCTTGTATCATAGTTACCTGTGGCATAAAGTTGGAGGAGTCGAACCTGGTCCCCGCGGGGTAGACCCGCGACAGCTGGTGCTTGTTGTAGTTCACGAACTCGATGGGCCGCTCCTTCAGCAGCGTGGTCGCTTGCTTCTCGTCAAACGACGACATCTCGTAGAAACGGTTCTTTTCTACACACCACAAACACTTCAGTAATACACATTACACACACCACACTCGACGAACATTATCATAATTATACCAGTATAACATTCGGAGGGTCGGCTTAGTATAGGAAAGTAGCGCTTGTACACTGCCCTGTACGTGCACAATAGTTTAAAAAGCATGTAAACAAAAAAGAAATGCAAAATAAAATAAATTGGTACTAACTGTCCGCATTCTCGAAGGAGCTGAAGTGTACAGGTTGCACGTAGTTGACAATGGCAGAGATTTCTGCGGCGGCGTGCGTCCGAGGCCGTCCTCCCCGACCTATACTTATAGCAATAAGAAGAAGCTGCTCACTCTCGGCGTAAGGGGGAAGCGCACCACGTCCAGCTTCCCCAAACGTCATGCTTAACGTGACGAGATATCGACGAGCCTAGTGTTTTGAGGTAACCTAGTTTTTTTTTCGTCTGCAGCCACCATCTCGCTTACGCTGCGTTATAAAAGGGGTGGGGGGGGCATAAGGCCATGTGTGTGACTCACTCTCAGAGTTCTCGAAGGAGCTGAAGTGCACGGGCTGCACGTAGTTGACGAGCGCGGAGATCTCTGCGCCGGCGTGCGTCTCCCGCGCGTCCTCGCCCACGGCGCTGTCCGCGCCGCCCGCCTCCTCCTCGCCAGACGAACTCTCCGAGTCCGACGACTCCGACGACCCTTGCCGTGTCAACTGCACACCAATACACCCAAATAAATTCACTAATAAGACATAGCTCAGTTAAAGCACAAAAGTAAAGGCAACATAAAACTTCAGACAGATTTGTTGACAAATCTTTTAAAGCATAAATCCTTAGAGAATAATGAGTAAAAAGTTCCATTGGCATCGTTACTCTTCAAAAAAACATGTTATCCTCGTAAAGCGAACTAGATCGAAGAAAATCAGTTCAATACTATTTCATAGATCCCAAAATCATAAATTGATCATCTGAATAAGATACGGACGGAAATGTTTTATTATTATGCAATAAATAATCTTAACGAGCCACATAAATCATTTAGAAAAGCCAACTAAATATTGAACCTACTGTTCTAATCTTGAAGAATGAAAACTATTTTCTCATCCAATACACTTGAGCCGCGGCCAAAATCTAGCGTTTATTAAATAAATAACTGGTTGTTTTAATGTTGATAGCTATAGCTATTTAGTTGAAGATAACGTGTGACGTGCCATTAAGAATTTAAAAAACAAAAAAAAGACAGCTTTCTTTCATTGAACTGTATAAAAAAATTGTAGTTCAATGTCCTTTAGTATTGAGGCAATGTCTCCCACCACGTTTTGTGGGTAGAGTTAATAAACTATTTAATGATTTTGAATGAGATATTCAGCAGTGGTAACTGACTCTTCAGAAAGATACTTGTTCATAATGTAAAACTAGATTAAAAGCTCTAAATGAATCGTCAAAGAAAAAGTCGCAAGTCGCGTAATATTTCTTCGGAAAGCACAAATGATCTCTATTGTTTTTTAGAAAGTAAGTGCTATATGAAGAACTATTCAGGATCATAACTATATTCTATAATTACTCGTATAACTATCGTGACAAATACTTAAATACTTAATTGAAATTAACGACTTACTCGCGTGATTTACCTGAGAAAAGCCCACCAGTTTCAAATCATATTGACTACTTTTTTCCGTAAATTATTCACATGTGTATAATGTTTTCTACAAATTTATTTATTTAACACTTTACGTAGTATTTAAAAAGACGCCGAAAGGCATTCTCAACAAAAGGGCAAAAGTCGAAATCATTTATTTCAACTAAACCATAAACAGGTACTTTTGAAACGTCAAAACAAAATAGAAAAATTATGTTCGTCAGTGAAGCTAGGTGCTCGTTCCAGTGTAGACTCGAATGGAGAAGAACAAGAAACTAAATCGTGACTCTATTAAAAAAATATATAAATTTTAAAAGTCCAACTGCAACGATTGTAGAGAAGTATTACAATAAGTTCCAAATAAGCGTAATGTAAACTATTAAAAACCTAAGGTACAAAATTGATGTTCTATGGCTTATGTCATGGTCACTTACCGTTGCTGTGGTGACATCGCCATTGCCCTGTGGCACCTCAGGCCGTGGCTCGCTCTCCTCGGAAGCTATCGAGTCTTCTTTCTTATGGTGGTGATGGTGCTTCTTCTTATTCTTAATTATAATCTTATGGCGCAACAGGGATGGCGGCGGCAATTCCCCTCCTTCATGAGAAAAACAAAATCACATTAGTCTAAGTCAAGTTTAAGAAAAAAATACATTGCTCTACCATAGATTTCCTTCTGTGGGTACGTGTAAAAACTAATAAAAGCAAACTAAGGAACTGATTCAGCCTACGTCGTCCAACCCTCGTAAGTCGGTCCAAAGTGAAGATTCCTATGAATAAGAAACTCCATGATAACATTATCTTTGCCTCTTTGTTTCTTCTTTTTATTCTATGATAGAGAACTAACCTAATGACATGAATCGTAAAACTGAAATCAGACAAAGTTTCGGTGAACTATCTACGATCTTGCGTTTGCCAAGCGTGGATTTCTAGTAAAATTTAAGTATGGGAGAGCAATATTTAGTTACTAATGTGCTCGCTCGATCGGAGTAATACAACAGCCTTACAGAATACCAGCGTGAAACAACTATTGGGTTATGTCGCGCCGTGGTATAACCGAAGGGCAAATCCTCCTCCCATCTCCCCCCCATGCTCTGGCCTATCCCATAAAGTGAGTTAAGCAGTGAAAGTTCATCAATAACTATTATTATGAATACATTGAATTGACAAGTACTTTATGAACAATAGAACGGACAACGTAATCTAGAGTACGTTTCGTTGACAACCTCCTTGTGTTGCGATGTTAAGATTAGAAACTAATGAACCAGAACCGGTTTACTATTACTTAAATAGTTAGGACGGCTAACCTGATCTACGTAACTACGGACTTGTTAAAAAAACTTAACTTTAATATCATAACTACTACATAAGAAGTAGAGTACCTAGTCGTTTCTTTAAAAATACGTTTTCATTTTAATAATTACCGTTACAATACGGTTGTTTCCAACTAGTCAAATTCAATACTTTTATCCAAATGTCAAAAACGATACTTTTCTATGAAAATTATATGAAACATTGAATTATGACGTCAGCATTTTTGCGTCAAATAGCGTACTTGTTTTTAAAAAAATTTATAAAAAATATCTAAAACTTAGTGTATCGATCGATCGATGAATAAGAGTATAGTTATTTTTCAATATTTTATCGTATTAAAACGTCGAATTAATTTATTTTTGACCTAGTAAACTACCCAATTGTGTAAGTATACATGCTAGAAACAACAATTTATGGCTCACACAGAGCTTTTCCGGAATTGAACCCGTGAGAAGTTACTCGACCACTGCTTCAACTGTGCAGCCATTTTAATTGATTTAAATATCTCAAACGCAATTCCTTGATCAACAAATCAAAAGTAAAAAGTTCAAAAAACTATGGTCCGGGATAATAAAACGAAACCCGTGGCTTCACTTCCCGGAGACATATTTATTGAGCCGTGATTTATATCTTCTCACGCCAAACATTAAGCATGACGAGCACGCGTGTCTGTCGAGTAACATTCCGAATAGTAGGACTAATACTCGGCACTCGCCAACAGTCCAACCCAATAAAACGTAGCGTGCCTTTAAAAGTCAAGGACCGATTAAAACAACACACAACGTGTATGTTTGAACTCGTTCACGTAGTGCGTGATGTAGTGAAAACAAACTGTCGCAGCGTGTTTACATGTCATCACGGCAGACGTTGGTCGCAGGCCAACGTAAATACTGCAGGTGTACCAACTTCAAAGTATCGAGGCTCGATCGCGTTGCGTCACTCACACTAATACATTATCACAATATTTATAATAATAATTAGGATTATTAATAAGCACCGAAATAACTCCGACAAGCCGTTGCGTCAGTGATACGTTAGATAAAAGCTCCAATATGTTTCAGAATTAATTTGAACGTATTAGCGGAGCGTTGACAAGAACCTATCGATATCGATATGTTTTACGTCATTTCCTTTAAAAATCATCCGGCCTTCATTGGTTTACTGTAAACTTTGATGCACTCTTAATGTTTGGATCGCTCGGTTGAAAGATTAATAGGCATTAAACGCAAACAATTTATCTAATCTTAAACACCGTCTTTAATATCGAAGGTAATGGTGGTCGTTTACCTTACGACCTACCTCAACCGATGTATAGGTACCTATTTACTAGGTATTAGGAATGATTGGGAATTAAATACTAGTTCCACTTTTAAAATCTAGACTTTCGCCTGTCAGAGACTCGTATGTTCGTCGACAAAATTTCACATTTGATTTGCATTCCTAATGAGAACGTTTTCATATAATTTTTACGTGATTATATAATTGAATCGAACTGTACTTCTAGATACTAGGGGACTAACCTATGCTATGACACATCGACTTACCCAAAAACTCAGGTAGATTAAAAGTTGTATAAGAATTAAACTTACCCGGTTCCAATTGATGGGAATCGAGCGGTTTATCAAGCAACATATCTCCGAATATTTCCCTGCAGTAGTTGGCAATCTTGGCTTGCTGCCGAGGGTTACAATGGTTCTCGAAGCTGAGTATCACAGGGTAGTCTGACGTCTTGAAGGCACTCTCCGCAATCGCTTCCAGTACCTCCTTGGCACTAATTTCTGGGACGAAAGTGTATCCGTGCACGATCACCGGCTCGTCCGTGCGCCCATTCCAGAAATCTAATTCTACACATCTGTGTGAAATAATATATCTATGATTTATAAATGTACTTTGGATATTATATTACTAATATACACATAATAAAAGTAACGTGGGTTTTAAATACTCCAATAATGTATAATTACATTACACATAGCTACGATAAAAAATAATAATTTGTTCTTATGTTTACCATAAACTATCAAAATTCTATATGTAAACTATTTTTATACTTAGTGGTAGATAAATTAGATATACAAGCATTACAGCGAGTTGAGAGTTGAGAGCCGAAATGAGGCACACATATGTACGTAGCGCGCAATAAAATGTGTTTTCCAAATATTTACACTTATTTTCATCCGCTAACACGATAATTAAGGTCGATTCACACCGATAATATCGATAACTGAACGCTCGATACTGCACTAATTAGATTTATTATTAAAAACCGATTGGGTACATTATACATTTTTATAAACAAATTAATATAATCGATAGCGCAGTAATTAGTTTCAGATCGAGTTTGTACAGTGTGTGGAAACTTGTGTGTATCGATCAGGTTTACAACACCATTCGGTTTTAGTTTTCTATGTTTAAATTTCAATATCTAGGCAAGTGCCGTTCTTTAGGCACTACAAATCTAGCAAATTCGATTTCCTAGTTTGAAATGCCAATGGTATTCTCGCAGATTGTTTTAACTTTTTAAACAATGCAGAACATGCGGATATTTTGGTTAACTCGTACAAATAGCTTGAACAGAAAGTTGAAAAGAATGTGAATTACGGAATTTACGATTCGTGCGCCCGTATTGTTACTTTGATAGTTGTGCACGGAATGTTTTATGGAACATATTAGGAGCCGTTGTACTTTGTAACACCTTTGTGAAAGGTCGCGCCTCGGTCTGTACCTAATAGTTTATAAAGCGTTTTGGGCCAACAATAGTGTCTCGAATTGTCAATAGAACACGTCGATTGTGTTAGCTCAAGGTCACGTGTTTAAGTCACCGCAGAAAGCGCCAGCGGACCTCTCTCCACACCTCCCGAATAGAAGGTCAAGTTTGGAAGTTTGTGCTAATGCTCTTGAACTAGACATACTATCCCTGACCGCTTTGTTGCATCACCGATTACCATGGCAATTTGTATACACTTTGTACCAGCGATTCCTGTACATAGTAACAAGTTCTAATTCTGTTCGAATAACATTTTTTTATTCGCAATGGCAGGCATTTGGCCTCTATCACGCCTATTGGCGGTAGTACTACCTACGATGGAGTAGCACGATGGAGTATGGATGCCTACTCATAAGTAACCTGTTGACTCGGGCCTTGAAGACACCCAGGTTATAACCCTTCAGGAAACATAGACTCCGGAAAGAGATCGTCTCCTCAGCGGTTCTGTCTATAAAAGTTAGTTTTGTCCTCTTTGACTAGTTCTGACCTGCATCCAGCCAGTAGACTCTGTCGGTATATCTCGACGCTGGACTTGCCGGTGATCTGGTGGCCAGTAAGGTAAGTATTGTGTGAGCTGTTGATGAAGTAGTGCGCTAGAGGTTGTTCCATATCGTCGCAGAGATCCAGCTTACTCGGTGCCACGATCGGATTGTCTTCAGACATCAAAAACCTGTAATGCAACTTGAATTGAATATCTTATACAGAAGCCGGGTGAATATAATTCAAATGTTTGTTCGACCTAGAAGTTTCTTCCGGATCTCAAGTCTGTGATTTGTGTACACAAGTATTAAATACATTCAAATAAGAGAGGCAAAGGTTTATGTTATATTTTATAAGAGTACGAGTAATATTTTAAAAGAGTCCACTTAACATTAATAACATAATCATCGTTGAAAACATTTTGATACAAGCGTTAGGAGCAGAATTATATTTTATTACTGCCCAGTGGAGAATTAATGAATCATTTATTTACGTTAAACTTTTACAAAGCAATAAATAATTCTGCTAATATTATAAATACGAAAGTTTGTAAGTATATATGATGATGGATGTTTGTTAGTCTTTAACGTAAAAACTACTGAATGGATTTTAATGAAAATTAGCGCAGATTATAGATTATACTTTTGAATACCACATTTCATTCGGATAACGCAAGCGAATCCGGCGGTACAAGCTAGTAATATTTTATTTAATAACGTAGACTAATATAATTCATCACGTGTATGAATATTATGAATGGTGACCAAAAAAACTTCACAAAAAGGTTCTTCTACACGTGGTGCTTTTATAAAAACCTTTTTAAAATAAAATATGCATAATGTATCCGAAGTCTGTTTCTGCGAACTGGCCAATAAAATATGATCAAAGTACAAACCTTAAAAATCCGTCGAATGTGAGCTGCGACCTTTGTTGGTGGTACTTGTTGTGTTCGTACGTTTTGATGAGGTCCTTAGCGCGCTGAATGTCGGCGTACGGATGCAGGATCTCGTTCAGCCGGGGATCTCTCTGCACTTCGTTTAGAAAGTCGACCAGCTGATTGGCGGACAGATGTGGCTTCCCATCCGTCCTGTAAACAAACATTTCGTTATCACCGCAGCCTTGGCCGACTGATCTCGTCCTCGTCCGTTGTTTTGCAAATTTCCTGTGGGCGTTTTGCCCTTTTGACGACTTTAGGTAACAATATGTCAAAGTGTACCTAATGCTTGAACTTTACACTTAGAGCTTATGGCACATTTAGTTGCAGACCATTCAGTCAGCAACTTTTAATTGATGAATTAATAATAATTGGCTGACAGCTTTCGTAGAGCCTCAAAACGAATTACATATTATTTTAACAACCCTAAAAATACTTATACATTGCTAGCGACCCGCCCCGACTTAACACAGGTACAATTTGGATACTACATTTTTCCACTATTTAATGGATGTTTTATACATATAAACATTCTTCAGTCACCCTATCTAATAAAAAACCGCAACAAAATCCGTTGCTTAATTTAAAAGCTTTAAAACATACATAGGGACATAGGGACAACAAAAGCGATTTTGTTTCATACTATGTAGTGATTCTGTAAGGATTTATAAAAACTACTAGATTAAGTTTAAAGATGAAAATCATGTTTAAGAATGTATAATAAGTAGTTAGGCAACATTTCTACCCTCAAGTAATACAGGTTTTCGCTACAAATGGAACAAGTTAATGGCAATAACAGGTACGTTCCCTCAACTACGGTAAACAAATAATATTTCTTGAACTTCATCTCCCGAGAGGTCGAAACTGTGTTACAATATAATATTCATTGATAATTGAAAATGTACATAATTTAAAAAACACAAGTCTTCTATCAAATTCTAACTACTTACTTAAATATTCATTCCACAAAAACCTATATATATTTATTTATGTAAAATAGACGATAACCTGAATTTCTTATTTTCGTTTTATTGTTATCTTATATAGATAAAGATTTCTGTGTCATACTGTTGGCATTATCTTTACGACTTCACCTATTAAATACAATACGAAAATCATTATAAGCTAGGAAGTCTCCGATAGCACTCAGCGTAATCAAATTTTAATATTACTATTATTAAATGTTTAAATTATGTAGTGATATTATCATGTTGAAATGTCGGTAGACCGCATGTTGTATAGGTACGGGTAGGTAGGTATGTAGACAGACAGAGGTCGCAGTGGTAGCGGTTCAATTGTGATTTATGTCGGAGTCAACTGGTTGATGAGGTTAACACAGGCCGGGAACAATTATAACTAATTGTCGCCCGCTTCACCGCGACCTTTTTAAAACGCCACTCACAAGAGCAGATTCCCTCTATTTATAGTATCACCGCATATTTACCTGCTCTATATTATATTTACCTGAGCAACGCTAATCTGGGAGATGGAAAAAAATAGGTATTATCAGCTTTAAATAATCTACGGCCATCGTAAATGTCGACCGGGAAAATGGGAGTTATTATTGTATCGGCAGCCGGGACGGGCTGGCGGCTGACACTGAGATATTGCAATTTCATCCAGTGAGCATTGAAAACCACATCCACGTTATTCTAATACTTTTATACTATAAAGAATCTCGTATATTTCACGTCAGACGTATTTCGTCTTTACATATTTTAGAAAAAACTTGTTTAGTATATTATTAACGAACAAATTAATGATGAATACGATATTAAAATAATAGTAGCAAATAGCAGTAAATATTAGGTAATAAATTAGATATTTAATACAAGAAAGCACTGTCTCTTTAAGCCTAAGATTTAAGTGTTTTTTTTTTTAGTGCGGGAAATTATCTATTGGCTTCTCCCGCCCTGCGTGAGATGAGAGAGAACGTACGTACTATGTACTACGTATCCTAGGTACGGATAAATCATTGCGCACCCGCAACCCTGCTACGATGGCCCATGCCCTTTTTTGTGAAGGGAAAATCATCAAATGGCTTCTCCCGCCCAGGGTGGGTCGGGAGGGGACTGACTCTTACTGATGGTCCTACTAATATTATTACTGTTATTCAAATATAATATGTAAAAACGACTTTGAGGATATAACTAGATTAAAAATTACACTATAATATGTTATAGCCTTTTTATTATTCCGAGAACAAACGGCATTAATATACAATAACACTGTCATGGTACAATAAAACATAATTATTATCTAATGATACTGCAATATAACATCACAAGTCGCAATAAAAATAAGAAGCAAATGATTATTATGGATAGGTATTAGAATAATACGCGGCGCTGCCTTGAGGTTTACGCTATTCTTTGAAAATAACGAGGGCTCGCCTCACAAACACTCGCCTGAAAATATAAGATCGCGCCCGAAATGGAATTTCCAGACAATATTAGAGGAATCGACAACCGGCTAACTGCGCGTATTGATCTAAAGGTCATGAGTTAGTTTCAATCCAAGCCAAACTTTGCGATTAACTTCTCGAAACATTGAGCTCAATAGAGCGTTATAAGAGCTACAAATTTTTAATTGACTCGATCGAACTAATGCATGTAGGGCCCGTTATTATAACAGCACACTTCGTTCATTAAAGTGCTGTTGTTCTTCGCAAACTGTGCAAGTTTAATGGTGCGGACGTACTTAAGCTTAATATTGATAAATCGTAAAACGTTCTGCTGTATGCAAGGAGCAGCGCCACACGAGAGATCAGATTCATTATTTAGATCGCTCCGGTATTTACGATGTCATGTATTTTCAATCGTTTCGTTCTTTTCCAACTTTCCCAGTACAACAAGAAAACACATTGAAGTTTCGTTTACCGATGACGAAACAAATTTATGTGGAAGATTAGATTGTAGAGTTATAGTGTAGCATGTGGGGTATAATTAAGAAAATGGTCGTGCTCTTCGGTTCCTATCAACAACAATTTCATTAGCATGCAAATGATACATTTACATAGCATTACAGGTAATAAGCACGTATTAGCGTCCACCTGATAAATAACCTTTTTCGTGACAACTTTTCGTTTGGTCTCTAGTGATCGTAAATAAACTGATAACTTTTTAAAGTCCACGTTTGATTGTGTAACATCGAGAAAATGTTCAGTAATTCCCTAAAAAAGTTTTCTACAGTTCCAATATCTCAGTTCTCTCCCTTCCATCTCCAAGCCTTTTTCCAAATAGGGTCGGACTGACACGGGTGACTTTTGAATAAATTCGTACTTATATTATGATATAGAGTGCCGTGTACCCCAGCGTTGACCAAACCCTCTCAAACAGTGATATTGTACGACATTCAAATTTTCCTATTTCCGACCAATCGTCGCAGTTTATATTAGATATATCGGTTTTTAATATTACGATGACATTTTTGCTATGAGCAGTCATCCCGACTGTTTTCGACGGGATGAATATTTTAATATTAAAAATTTCAGGTTCCCGACATTTTCCTCAAAGCCCCAGCGACCGAAGTAAACGAAATAATAAATGATTTTATACTAAAATAAACATAGTTGGTTAAACCACCGTTGTTCTTGTTTTATATTTTAGGTAACTACCACCAATCAAACTACGAAAGCTTTTCTCCGAGAATACTGTGAATATAATAATACTCATAGAAAGTTTCTAATGTAAAATGTTCTAGGTTATTTATCCAGTTATTACATCTAAAAGAATGCATGAGTTTCGAGCAATAACAACTATGCAAAGAAAGCGTAAGTAAGTTTAAGTGTGGGAAAGCCATGCTTCGGCACGAATGGGTCGGCTCGACCGGAGTGATACCACGGCCTCACAGAAAACCGGCGTGAAATAACCACTGCGTTGTGTTTCGCCGTGTGAGTGAGGTTACCGGAGGCCCAATCCTTCCCCTTCCCCAATCCCTCCTCAATCCTTAAATCACCAAATCCCTAAAAGGTCGGCAAGGCACTCGTAACTCCTCCGTTGCGAGTGTCCATGGGCGGCGCTGATTGCTTAATTACCATCAGGTAATCCGTCTGCTCGTTTGCCGAGATATTACATAAAAAAAAGCAGAAACTCAAAGAGCCAATAGACCAACACAAACGGGGCCCTACAGGGCCGATATTCAGCCGGGGTTGCGGGGCAAGCGCTCTAAGGTACCGGACCCTCGGCTTAGGGCAGGTGGGGTTTTAGTCAGTAAGAGTCTGACACTCCCTATCGCCTCGCCTGAGCGGCAAACAGTTTACTTCGTAAAGCTAAAAAACATTATCAGATAGATAACAAAAAAATCTACTTACAGATTGTTGAATATCTTCTGAACTTCGGTCCTTTGCGTGAGGTTCTTGTAGAAAGCGAAAAAGTCTTCAAACTGAAACTTGGATTGGCTGATGGTATCATTCTTGCCCGTCGGCAGTCCAGACTCGCTGAGCGCCTTTTCGACGCGCTTCTTATCTTCTTTGTTCTGTGCTAGCAGCTTGACGATGCTGTGTCGACAAAAATATTGAAAATTAAGTTTACTATTATAAATAATTTCGTTTCGATAACTATATCCTTATGGGACTAAATGCTAAGAAATTGAACTTTAATTAGATCACTATTGAGTTTAAATTACCTACATAAGATTAACAAGTTCTATTGTAATATGACTTCCAAGCTATGTAAGGACTAAAATTCCAGATACAAGCTTCTAATAAGTATCTCCTTGGAAGTTATAAAAACCATGTCTATATAAGGTTTTTATAAGTATAAATGGTCGACGAGGAAATCTACTTATTTATTACTTTCAAAGAAAATTGTAGTCTACTGAATTAGTTAAACCGAAAAAGGCCAAATCTGATACTAAGCATATTTTACAACGTAATAATATATGTACAACTACCTAACAACAGATAACTGTTGCCCAAGCATTTTTGGGGCTAACCCTTAAAAGGTCAACCAAATACCAGTTATAAGAGAGCGAAATACCGTTTACCTAAATAAAGCACTCTATTCTCAACTTCGTAGAGTAAATAATTGCATAAATTGCGAATGTCAACTAACGCCTTTCAACGTTCAACCCTTGTGGACAAATTGATTATATATTGTGTATTGTGTATACATATAAAGACATACAAATTTCGAAATTCGTCATAGACATATTTATTACTAAAAATGGTCACATATGAATAACGAGATAGGCAAGTAAATACATCATTTGTTGCCATCTGAATACAAAACACTAACATAACAACAAAAAAACTTTCATAAATCATCAGATTCGTAAGTAGACAATATAAAGACTTCTAACGATACGGTTGCCATGAGGTGACCTCAAGTTGACGAGAGCACACACCATGGCAAAATGTCAAATGTCAAGCAGGCTTCAACCGAGGCTCAGTTCAACATGCTCCGACTACAAATTACTAATGCCCCTTGACATGACAAAAACTTATGTCGTCTACATACATACGCTATGAATGTACTGACAGACAGACTATGAACCTGTATTACGTAAGCTCACAATTTATATGTATAAATAATAAGTTTTTAGCGCATCTAAATTTTACCATAAATACAGACACAAAATTTGCATCGCAAATAATCAAGTTATAAGTCTGAGAAACTATAAATAAAACTTAATAGAATATCGATGAATAAAATTCTCAGAAATTCAATAGGTCGTCTACAACTAAAATAATATTTATGCATTTATTGTTTTTGTGAGAAAACAATCAGCTGATCACGCTAAACTTTCATATTTCCCAGGGCAATGTGTGCACTCTTCAACTACTTAACAAAATAAACGAAGTTCAGTACTATTAACCTATATTCTCAAACAAAACTGCAAGCTTTTTAGCGTAATAGCTAACAACATGCATAACAAAGCAATGAAACGAAACGGAACTAAAAATTATCGAAAATATATAAAAAAGAAGTTTTTTGCACGTTCCAAGGTGAACCACCCTAATAGATTTTAGAATTATAATACATGTTATTATCATAACCGGTAGTGTGAACTATTAGATGATATTTAACTAAGATATTGAGACAGGAATGTGTGTTAGCGTAGCGTTGTGCAACGTGGTGCCGGCGACACGTGCGGTCAAAGAATACAAGTAAACACGTCGCTCGACGTAAATAAACAATACTTGTTCAACATTACGGTGACGCGACGGACAACACCCAGTCGACAACCTTCATGCGTTTGTTATGCATGAACGGTGAACATCTTCCATTTTAGGGTTCCATACAAACAACAACAAAACGCTAAACTACCTCGTAAACACAATATTGAAGCTGATAATGCTTTGTTTTTAGTTAAACTAATATAACGTTACCCAGCAACACGTTTATTGTCTCAATTGCAATTTTCAGAATCTCATCTACCCTTTGAATACAGAAGGTGAAAAATTCAAAATAAAAAGCATTCATATTACACATTTTCACTACTTCTTACATTTGCGTCGGACCAACAAACAACCTATCTAAATAAGTTAAGATCTGAGAAACTCATCGTAATAGTTTTGGGTAAATATATTAACATCCGATAAGTTTGTCACAAGGGTGTCAACAGTAGATTGACGAAGGTCTGTACTCACTGAGACCAATGAACCTCTCATGTGGTGAGATGACAATGACAGATAGCGAGACTATAGCAAACATAAACAGACAAAAACAAAGAAATCGAACTCAAACAAAACTGACAACGATATTTCGGTTAATAAGTGAAAGACAAACAAAATAGCGCAAAGTTTAATGTGCGGAACTCATTGTTGACGGTCGACGATACTCCTTGAGGAAAATAGCTACTGAACAATGTTAACATTGAAGTATACGCGTAACAAATAGCTAATCATATTCATCACTACATCCATTAACTTCAGTAATTATTTACAGCACTGCATTTTAAGAAACTAGTATTTCAAATGAAAGTACATTTACGATTTATGGCATGTCCGTCTGGAGACTCTGGAGTACGACATAAATACATTAAATCAGCTGTTTATTTGCTTTAGCCAATCGTAAACGTCAAAGGGTTAGTAAATTGCAAACTGTCTGTCTAGATGTATTAGTCAAACATCGTTATCATCATCTAAATCCGTTTGTACAAAAATGACTTCAACTACATGGTACATGCGCTCAATACATTTCAATTTCATTAAACTTCCTATTGTCTGTTAATCCTTTAATACTTGAGTCTGGAAGTTTTAATGGTATTTATTGACCCGTTTCAAACCATTAGCCGCTGGAGACAAAAGAAGTGATATCAACTACAGAAATAAAAGAGTTCTTATCAGTGGACATTAAAAAACTGTGAAAGTAAGATAACGTTGAGAGACGTAGCAACTTACTTTTTGACGAGAATTTTCCCCGACTTGTCAGCTTTGAGAGAGATCTTGGTGTGTAACTTCTCGAGGAACTTGATCGTGGGGTTGTTGAGCTGGTTCAGGTTGTACGCCAACGCAAACAGCCCCTCGGTCCACAGCTGCCAAAAACACCAGAATACACTATTAACTATACCCAGACCCAGACAATGAAAATCAAAGGAAGTTTAAATCGTTCCCCGACGTAAAAGTCGGCTAAAACTTTAATCTTCGAAGAAATCGGTAATTAATTATTCAAGACATCAGACAGTATCGCTGTAAATAACTCTAGCGTAATCGTCAGATAAGAGAACCATTACCGATTTATTCAAAAACGTTGGATAGTAAAATTTGGAATGAAACATCTTCTATTGGTAAAATTACTTTCACTGGGGACGATACATTAAGTGAGTAGTCGTAAATTTAAAAGCTGTTATATGTCGTGGGGGTAACGCATGAGCCGCTCTGCTGATAAACTGTAAGTAACTATGACAGCAAATAAACATAACGTCACACGTGGGATCAGCTAAGTGCTTTTAAAGTAAGCGGCCATTTTAATTATATTGTCAAAACATTCAACATGTTCTATTGATATGAGGGGTAGACAATCGAGCCACTGTGTTATGTTCACAACAGTAGCTCCGTCACCTAAGTTTTTATGTTTTACGATACGAATCATACCTATGACACTGACTTTATTTAATTCAATATTTTCATAGACATTATGGAACACACATGAACTATAATAAAACTACTACAATCTAAGTTACGGTTTCCGTTACAGTAGCACATATTTCTATCGTGTCTAGTCCAAATTTCGTGAAGGAATTTCTTTCTATAATAATAAAGCTTCCAACGTTACAATAGCAACAGGCCACGAATAAATCCCACCTCCCCAGTATATGATAACTTAATACCAACAGTGGTCGTCCAATAATTTATTTACGTTGAAGAATTTATACAAGCCGGTACCCTATTAATTAGCCGCTCAAAAGCTCACACATTAAGGGATTACCCCAAATTGGGCAGCCGTCAAAAGGAATTTACAGTTTAAATTATCCGAAACAGCATTTAAAATATACTTGGTGTTATCATTACATCACTAAGGTATTTGCGCGAGACCCGCTTCTATACAGAAGATTGCATATTTATCTCTGCCACCTCGAAAGCTTTACGAAGATATTCCCCAAAACTTTAAAAACCTAAAAGTGTATTGAAATACGCTGTGATTGTCTTAATTCCCTTAAAATAATACAAGAGTCTTAAAAACGAATTAACGATATTAAGATGACCTGTAACTGGGACAAAAACTTGGCATCGACTTCGTATTCTTTGAATGACTGAAGAATAGTCAATTATCCCCATTTTTTTGTTTTCTGGGCGTTCAACATGGTTATTGCTATACATCTAATGTATTACTAAACATATGTGCTTCCACAATTGTACCGTGATATAGCTGAATTCCCGGCAACTCTCTGCCAGCTGTTGCCATCCTACACCGAGCTCGCAACATAACTCATTCGTATTTCCATAGTACATATTTAATAACATGGTGTACATAGCTGGATAACTGAGTATTATACGTATCAGTTACACTGTAGTTATTTACTTGCAGACACAAAATTACTAGATCTATTTAGGTATATGTTTTACACCGAACCCATACTTATTATATCTTGAAGCTTCTAGAATGTTCGTCGTCTCATATTCCAACTACAGATTTAGTTTAGTTCTCTATCCATTTTCATTATCCCTTAGTGAATTAGTGTACTAGATGGACCAAACATCCCTTGCTTGCTCTCAAATCTTGTTATACAGGGATTTCATCCTCTCTCGTTACATTAATGCGGCTGTTACATATAGGGTGTTCATTAAAAACTATTTTGAACAATTGTGTTTTACGTATATTGAAAACGATAAACTAAACATTTATCAAACATCAAAAGATATTTCAATAATATTACTATTTAAGTGCCTACACGATATTATGCTACTATACAGCTCCATAACAGTTGACGATATTTTACGTGGCAATACCATAATTTAAATGACAATCATAGTCAAAAACCACCCAGTTGTTAAGCAAATGGACCAGTACATACTAAGTAATGTAATATGGGTTAGTCCCATAATCATGGAAAAGATATGTATAACATAATGAGAACATTTTTGTTATTCAGGTGAAATGTTATTCTATATCAATTTCCATTGACTTCATAAAATCTCGACCTCATGAAGCTTGTAAATTGGACTGGAGCCGTACTCAATCCATTTAATCCGAACAAAAAGGTTGCTCCCAGTCACACATGGAACTGTCTGTAGCTTTCCGCAACTAATGAAATTGAGTTCAATCACGGAATTGGTGCAAACTGCAAAGTATGCCAATATGCGAGCGCATCACAACAGACGCGGAACACCAGAGCATTGACTAACATAAAACAATGGGGAAAACTTTTTATCCGGCACTCGAGTATTACAGAGTAACCTACTCGTACGATACGGATTTTGTACGCTCCGTTGGGCACAGGTATCAGACAACATTGAGCCCGAACTCTGTGTGGACACCTTCACACGAGCTCGTCTACGTGCCACTATTCCACCGGCATTATCCACCTTGTGTTAACACCACTCATCACGACTTTTCATCATATTGCGTTAACTATATACCGTCTGCTGCTTAGAATTAATTTAAAACAAAACGCCAGTTGATGATGGTTTTCAGTTTATACTTTTCCATAAATCCTCTATTATACGTTCAACTAAGAATGTCAAAAATAATCGGACTACTATTGGTGCTATACTGGAAATACTTACCGAGTATAAACATGTCGGATTCGAACCAATCAACTGATTGAAGTGTTAATGGCCCGCTGGAGGGTTCTCATGTATTTACCATGCTAGTTGGCTGCTCACCTGTGCAATTTCCTTTCTCGTACAGCAGAAATTGATGAACATCACATTGACGAAATCAGCGCCATGACACACGGTGACAGTTTTTTCCTCTAGAGATCCTTGAGACCCAATCAGCACTACATTACGTATTTTGGGATCCTGCAAAGAAAGTTGATTGTGAATCAATGCGGAAGATTTGTTTTCAAAAGGGAAACTCAGGTAGAAGGACGCGCGTGGAACGTAAGAATTGTACTTTCGCGGGGAATATTGAAAGTAAAGAACTTTTATATTTGTCAGTGATGAATATAAAATGAAGCATCGATTGAACTTTATTAGCGGGCGATCGATTGAAATTTAATAATCGCGCTCAACAAAGTGAACGATTTATTGATTTCGACCCAGTTCAGTTCGAGCTCGATGGATCACTAAGCCCAGCTTGTTACAGATGTGTTCGCACTTTTCCTCGCCACCATAATATCGACAAATCGGGGCAATCGGGGCTCGCGTGATCAAACTACACAACAACGTTAATTTTTGTTGAACACCGACCGACCTCGAACACAACATAATTTATCAGATAAGTCTAACGATTCTACGAACAAATTGCCGATATCGAAATATGTGAAAATCTTAAAGGAAAACGTCATGTACAAAACTTGCATTGTCTAAAAAATAACAATGACATAATACGTAGTTTTTACGCTTTTCCGCGATCTGTAATTGTAAATTTGAATGTTATACATATTTTTACGTTCCAACGTTTTCATTCAAGTTTATTTTTATTCATAAGACTTGCGGCAACAGTAGCAACACGGCCCGGAGCGGTTATCGTGTTTTCGCTCATTATCAAGATGAAGCGGGAGCGAGTTCATCAACATATAAAAAGTACCGAACAGGTTGCTCTGAAGTTCGCCGTTTCAAACTGCAAAGTTTAATTAAAATCTGACGAAGATGTACAACAACGAGGAGCGACTAGACAAAAGTTATGAAATCTGAAATACTTCAATGGAGATATGATTCTTAAATCGGAACCTCGCCGAAATAGAATCGTATGCCGCTATATTGATTATAATGTTCAATTTTCGACAAACGCTACGTTTTACAGTGATATAAGTAGGCACTATAATGTTGATGAGTTGAACGAATGTAAACTTCACATCAATCAGTGCAGAGATAAAAATAACTCCTGAAGCATGTAAAGATATGTAGCAGCAATTAAAATTAGAAAGTACACATTAGTCGAATATTTAAATAACTATAGGTATTTCGAGTGTATTGATAGGCAAGCGTAGTAATAGGTAACACAGCCTATTGGTTCCGTAGACATCAATTAAAATGACATGACAGTAACGGTAGAGCGTGGCCGGTAAAGTGGGTCACGAGTTAGGATCGGGGAGATTTTAAATTCTGTTATATTTATGCGCTGATTATCTGTCAGCTCGAGGCAGCCGACGAAATGAGATGATTTTTATTCTGAACAGTACCCACCTACAACCAAGACATCCGACGACAAAACATCGAAACCCAGTTTCAAAAAAAAATATAACGTAGACCAACAAGCTATCGTTTTTCTTGTGTTTCGAAATTATTACATATATACGAATTGACATCAAAATATACCTAAGTTAAACACTAATACAAACTCAAAACACTGGAGATTTTTTTTTTTATGTAATAGCTCGGCAAACGAGCAGACGGATTACATGATGGTAAGCAATCAGCGCCGCCCATGGACGCTCGCATCGGAGGAGTTACGAGTGCGTTGCCGACCTTTTAGGGATTAGGGATTTGGAGATTTAGGGATTGAGGAGGGATTGGGGAAGGGGAAGGATTGGGCCCCCGGTAACCTCACTCACACGGCGAAACACAACGCAGAGGTTATTTCACGCCGGTTTTCTGTGAGGCCGTGGTATCACTCCGGTCGAGCCGACCCATTCTTGCCGAAGCATGGCTCTCCCACACTTGAACATTGGTTTTCATATAAAACACCTATTATAATAATTACATCTCAGAAAGAAAAGAATTTCAGTAAAAATACGCTATCATTTATTTCTGCAAGCTCGTGCCATTAGCGTAGTGCTACCAGCTAGGGACTTTTGAATTATACATCTGCACTTTCAATAGTAACACGATTTACCAGCACTCTACTCAAATGATCTCAAATACAATTTTTTCAGCTGAATTTTACATAACCTATGTATTTGAAATTTGCATATCTGTACTAATATTATAAAGGTAAAATTTTAAGTCTATATGTAGGGGGTAATCTTTGCAACCACTGCCTGGTCAGATTCCCAATATTCTTTCACTGGTAGTTAGCTACAATGTTCCTTCTATAAGGCTATAAATCATCACGCTACGATCAAATGGAGGCGAGCAGCAGGTGAAACCGTGCGAGAGTAGCTAGTTGATTTTTAAACAGTAAGTAGGTAAAGTGGTATAATAAAGTCCACAGCAAAAGAAATAAGTACTAGGATAATAGAAATAATCCTAAACGCAATATAGTATTTCCGAAATCTATCTTGCATTAAAGATACAAGATTTGAAGAAAGGCGTAAGTACTTATTTGCTAGGAGCAAAACATTGTTAAAATTAATTATTCATATATTGACGTATTTGCAAAAATAAAGAAATCTGGGTAAAAAAGTGACCATTCGAACTGGAGGCGAATCACGGTTCACAGTTTAACACCAAGCGTGGGAACAGCGGAAGCGCATAATCATACAATAAACCACAACTAGTAGTAATATGGCTATGATATGATATGGCACACGTTTGATAAATCCTACGCAAATAATATAATACTCATTACATTCATTTAGCTAGACTGAATCAAGGCTAGGTACTTAGGAAACCTAATAAGTTTCTGCTTTTCATTCAACCATCCACTTCATCAGCACTTCGGATAGCTGAGAACAGTGCCTCTTAAATCCATTACACATCTAAGTCTGATTGGTAACTACCGTATAGTTCATGCAACAGTGATGTAACTACCAATCCATTAATCTATCAATCAACCTGTTATACAATTATAACGAGCTGTCATCGTAACACAATTAGCACAGACAATACAATGAAGATCCCTTAATAATGAAATCAGTTATGATGACTATTTTTACAGTTTTATAAACGAGGTGGCATGTAATTCCCTCACTACTTTATACCCCCAAAACGTATAACAATCCCGTTTGCTTGCACTAAAAGTCTTTGTTTCTTTCCTAGTGAATGTATCCACAATTAACTTTATTGAAATGTGTTCGCATTTCCAGAAATTCTCCGAGTATATTGACGGCTCTTAAAAATATGCAGGAAAAAGCTGGAACGGAATTCGTAAGATAAACGACGCTTGAGATTTGTGATAAATTTATACACACAGAACCTATATCATCGGTACTAAATAATATTTATCATTTTAAAAAGATATGTCCCAATTACGGGGGACTTTAATAATCACTTGAAGTCGTTTTGCTGTCACTATGGTTGCACAGGTATATGCACTAGCACTAACTATGCAATCTCCATAACAATGGGCATTGTTTCACATTTACAAATGTCCTTAATTAAAACTACATAGTTAAATATGTATTACTTTTAGCACAGTATTATCTAATTTATTTATTTAAGTACTTTATTATTTCGCAATTCTAACAAAATCTATAGAATTCTACTAAACTCACTTTAAACTAACTTGAGTTTTAATTAACTTCAAATATGATATGAACGGACGAAACTAGTAAGATTTTAATCTTTAAATGTGAAACGTGAAACGAAGCGTGTTGTGAATATATCAGCCTGAAAGACTGTAGCAATTATTTTTAACACGTAAGTATTATTATACTAAACATTTTTAAAATTATCTTAGATATTTTCTAGTAACTAGGTTCTGGGACTTCTGGGCTCATTATGTATGCTATACGGGTAAGTTGACCTTAATTAACATTAACAAATCTCTTAATTAAAATAAGTACTAGAAATAATAGAGTTAACAAAAGCACTATCTGTATTTCATCTATAAATACAAAGCACTGGAACTGGCCAGGTCGCGTCGGTGTCGAAGCTATAATTTATAACATAGATTTTTCTAAAATTAGTGCATGACACGGAATCGATAACGATCGGTCAGGCGGTAATGTTAGCACCGCCACACGGTCGCGGCCTATAACAATCTGCTGAACTCTCGTTAACGTCGCGTTAATTGTATAGGCAAATAAGTTCTCCTGCCCACTGCTTGCTAGTAACACACGTACTAAACTACCAGATAAATAATTAACATTACATATTTAAAGAACCTTGATGGAAATCCAACTATTAAGCAAAATCAAGTGAGTTTTCAAATCTTTATTACATTGCCAGAACCAGAACAAGCGGCTCAAAAAGTTCCTTATAGATTTTTTTCAAAGACACGTATTCACGTCCTACTCCCCTTGTGTAGGTTAATCTCTTCCACCGAAACTCATGATATACGGAGATGAATATAGAACATGTGAGGATTAACTCGTACGTGGGGAGCGTACTACGACACCACACGTCCAAACCAAGACAGCTTAGGAATACATCCTGCTATATTCCAATATCCACTCCTACTTCTAAACGAATACTCCACCGCCGCATATTAACATTGATCCTCCACGACCTATTTCAATACGCATATAATAAACATGAAAACGATATTACACGCTCGGACATAGGGGAGCAAAAACAACGAATTTACGCAATGACCCGAGAACATACCAAATAGGTACATTTATCTTATTACAGTCGAAACGAGGTAAGGTCAAAGTCAAAACGTTTCCAAAAGTTGTTTCTCCACTATGTAGTATATACTTTTCGATTACACAACGCATTTGAGATTTACGCTTTTAATTATGAAGAACGGCTAGATAATAATACATCATAAGCATAATATTTCCTGTTGTATCTTCCTCTGATATGATACACTTTCAAATTCTAAGAAAACACTGAGACTGTTTTTATTTAACGCTACTGCGATGTATGACGCTCCATTGCATACAGTTACACATTTCCATATTGCACCGTCAAATAAGCATAAATGGACCGTTTGAAAGATCCCTAATTTAAAACATAAAAAAGATCATATAAATTATTTATACCGCATGATGCATGCGTAATGTGCATGTGACCTCGGGATAAAAATGGGTCATCCCACTTCATTTAGTGGATGTCATAAGATACGACTTAGAAATTCAATAATGCTTTTATTCTAATAGCTCAAATCTGAATTGATAATTCCCGCTGGAGTGGTGTGTTAAGAGTGTTTGAAGATTAGGGCAAGGGGTGGTGTTGCAGCGAAAATATCTATCTTCTATGAAGTGAGTTCTTAAAGTTGAACACATTCATGGAGCTTTTTTTGTCCCGCCGCCAGCTCTATTAAACTCACTACGAATGTTGCTGACACAGAAATTATGGTAACAACATTCCGAATAAATGGAAAACATCGTAAACAATTTAAATCTACTGAAACTTTAGTATAGAACGACAAACTTATATTGTCGTAAAGCTTGTTTCTCATCGCGACATTACCAACTTACTCATTAAAATGTCAACGTTACCCTGAAACGAGCACATGTCTGTTTACAGTGAAATACTGTCACGATCTACGAGGTTTAAGTAAAGGGATGGATATGTGCGTTCGCTGACCGTTATAGCTAAAATATCGGGCATACCACTTGAGCAATGTTTGCGTTAGACCACCTTATAGGTAGAATGTTGACTCTGGCCAATGTCTACATCGCACACCCACAGAACGATACCCGTAATGTAGTTAACGTGGGGTGATACGAGTTTGTTTCCAGTAAACCATTATGTTACATCGATTCTTCGTCTTCACACTCTGAAGATATCGTATAACTACCTAAAATACTTATATCGGTACAGCTCTGCATAGAAAAGCTGAATATAGGTACTTATGTATTGTCTGCTACGACTTTATCCGTAGCCACGTCCGTGTGGATTTTTCCGTTCGTTAGATATTCAGTTATAAAACCTCATATTTGTCGAAAAGAAATTGAAAGCGACAGATATCGTAAACAAACAAAACTCTAGCACACTAGTGTACTTAGTAAATTAACAAACTATCCTACACATATACGTACACTCGATTCTGTGCTGTTAATAACCATTAAGTTTGAAAAATGGCTTATACACCACATAATGTGATACGACCACAGGGAGCTAACGCTACCTACTATGTAATTAATTAGAGGCGATAAGCGAATGATATTAATGTGCTAATACTTGCAGAGATGTTTTTATTAACTCTAGTACGTTCGATATTCACTTTTTATTGTCAATCGGTTACCTGAAAACGATAAATACTTAAATCGCTGGCTATTGTCATCTTTCACGGCAAATTGATTTATTTATTTAACAATTTTATTTATCTAATGAGTGGATTTTTATTACATTAAATATTATGTTTTTTGTGTGTTAAAATTTCATTTTGCTACTTTAAATTTAAGCCCTTTTGCAAAACGGTTGGGTTGATGTCAAACTTATCAACCATAGTGGACTAATTTTATTATTATGATTTGAGATTTTTTTAATCAAATGACTATAAATCTTGGTATGGTCAAAAGTTTGAAACTAGGATCTTAATCCTAGTCTTTTGTGGCCAAGCATAATGTTCAATATACAAAATATCAGTATCGCATTCAAAATCCTGAAGTTGTGTTGTTTCGTTCTGGCACTCATATTGTACAGCAAAGAAATATCGAAGCAGCATTAAGGGGCGTTAGTGTTAGTTAAATTACAAATTACCGCGCCCTATAATTTTATGTTCAGTCACGGCACCACATCACGGGCCACGCCACGCTGTAGTGTGGCGACCATATAGACACTTTATGGTTTGAACACGAAACGTCTTAATGAATAACCTGGATGACAATATGTCAACAGCTCGCCCCTGTACACTTTGTTCATTTAATAATGTTGTATAGCCATTGTGTTAATAGTTCGTGCACATTAGAATGTCCTAGGTCTAACGTTTCTAGAAACTAACAATAGCACTGTTCCAAGTTTACTTAAACTTTCTATACAACTTTATAATGACTTCAATCGAGTTTTAACTAGTTGCTGAAGACCAACATGTAAACAGTCATATGGTATCGTTTAGTCCGTGTGCGAGAATGATAATGGCTGACCACGATTAGGTACCTAAACAGCGTTCACGTTGACACTGGCCAGACGAGGTGATACTAAAAAACGTTTACTTTCTGAACTCCAATATAAAACGGACATTAAAGACGACGTTAAATCTCCATCACCGATATCGCTACACAACTTCGTCCCCTTTTCCAACTTTAAAAAATCTATCGATACTTTCACAAAGTTCACCAAGTTCTATAATAAATACTGAAAGTATGTGAAAAAGTTAGCCATTTGACTAAATGTTAGTAGGTCGCGTGGCGGCCGTTTCTTATTTTTAACGTTGATCAATACCAGAATTATTTTAGAATTCATTTAGGCATTGCCATTTTCTACGTCTGAACTGGAACACTGGCAACATATCTCTTTTTTTTTATTTAATTGATATAATTATTACGGCACTTGTAAAAGTTTTAAATCTGCAATTATTTTTTAATTGCCAGACGAGCGTAAGCCGGGATTTGTCGACTTTATCGTATTCACGTCGAGCAATATGTAGCTAGAGTCGAAATCTGAGCATTAGTGTGATCATTGCCAAGTTAGGATGAACCGCTGGAAAATGCAGACAGACATCGACACCGCAGGAACTTTGCTGAAAATATATATGTAATTGTACGTGTTGCAAAGTTTCGTATTAGGTAAAAGTTAATCTTGGGTAACATTCCGAGAAGCTAACTAAACATTAGTAACAAATATTGCTAATGTTCCGAGTTTATAACAAGGTTGAATAAGATTCTCGGAAGCGCATATGTAATTTATTGAAGAGTTGTGTTGAACTTTCTTTTTGGAGTTGTGAGATGTCTACTAATGAAGACAAATAAGCGTGCACAACTCGGAGAACTTGGCTGGCGTAAGTCCAGGGGCAGGTTAACTAGAAAATTTAATTCTCCTTACTGTATTCGCCTTTTTGTCCTGAGATCGTCCGGCACGATGCCAGGATCCGATTGGCTTGAAAGAACCTTGTTAAGAACACACGTCGCTAATAAACGAAGTTAATTTCAGTCTTAGTTGACAGTTATTTTATTTTAGAAGCTAAATACAAAACTATGTATTTCGAGCAGGAAATTTAAGCTGCCGTTGTTGGTAGCGAAATGACATATTGACAACTACAATGTTGGTCAATTCGAAGTTGAGATGAATCGTTTCAGATGTCATAATATTTTTGTGCCACACTCAGGAAATATAAGGACTAGGTATAGATTTGGTGTGACGCAAGGAATACTTTCGTCGGTTCCATGGCTGTTACGTTACAATAAGACAGGTAAAGAGTGCATCTACCGATTTTACATTTGTACTAAGTACGTATTGCGGCCGATGCCGCTAGCGGAAGGTTGTAAGTAATAGTTTCTAAATAATAACAACTTCAAGTAGTTCAAAAGGTGATGCATATTAATGTCATAATTACAGGTAGCTATACAGAACAAAAGATCTATTACATACCCATTTCTAGAATACTAGTTGAATAGGTCTTACATTATTACATACATACATATAAATATCAATGGGTGCAGTTGTATTGATCCTTACATATAGGTAAGAGATATTAAAGTTGTTAATGCTCATTTAAGATTTGAAATTCTCTGTTTAAATTGTTGTTAACTTGTTGTTACAGATTTTATTTGGAAATAATATCTGTCATTACAAAATAATTATCTGTCAGTTAGAAAAACGAAAACTTATTAAGACATAGTGATCTGGTTCTTGTCATTGTTTTTTTTTTACTTAAGTTATTGTAAGGTTGTAAATATGAAAGTTAATATAAAATAACAATCTTCAAACCAGGTATTACTTCTTGTTAAATAGTTTGATTAGATTTTCCATTTATTACTTTGAGATAAAGTTGAAAATGCAATGAAAATAAAATTAGATTGAAGTAGGTCAACTTACTGGCCACTGAACAAAAAATAATTATTAGGGATTTATGATCATGATGGCATTAGGAACTTACCTTTGGAACTTTAGCATGTACACCAGTGCGAACATCCCTGATAGTGGCAATGTCTAGCATTTCCACTTCCATGTTCTGGTCTGTCCAGTATAAGTAGAACCCTTTGGGGTCCACCCGCAGGGTGACCGGCAGACCAGTTCCTGAGTCCTAAACAAAACAAATAATTATTATATACATATATATATATATATATATATATATATATATATATATATATATATATATATATATATATTATATACTATAATAATAATATAAGATTGTGCATAATACTTAATTGGGTACTAAAGTTGCTATAAAAATTAAATACATAGTAATAGAACAGCAATTTAACTTAAGATATATCTTGAATCTTATTAAAAAGGGTTTTAACTAAAATCAGAAACTTAATTTGTTCATACAATCCAACTTAACTTAAACCTTATAAATTCAAAACCCAGAACAAAATAGGTACTCAAAGAAAAATAATCACAAATTAGATTTTGGCATAGATAACACAATGAATGTTTTGTTTACATTATTAGTCACAACAAGAAACTACTTAAAACAGCCTGGCAAGTAATAATACAGATAATAAATTATTATCTTATAATGTAACTAAGTTTGCAATTAAAATGATAAGGAAAACTTTTAGTTATATATCCATTATAACACTCTGTTTTAAAAAATGTTGTTTTAGTAAACCTTTTAATGTTTCCATTTTTTTTTTTTGTATTTTATCTGAATTTTATAAATAAGAAAAAAATAACAAATATGGACCATGTTAATAGAATGTTTAGATATAAATGATACACATTTTTTTATTTTATATAATAGCTATCTTAGAACAGTTTGGGAAACTATTCAAAAAATTTCAAAAGTGCAACAAATCTATACTTGTTAGATTCTTATAGGTATGACAATAATGATAATTTAATCACATTGTTTGGGTGTATGTCTATACATGGGGTGTATGTAATGTCTACAAGCCTACATGTCCAGCTAAATGTTAATTATTTTTAAAGACAAAAAAGCAAAGAAAGACAAACTAAAAAAAAGTATTAAAAAAAATACCTCATCCCACTTGATGAACTTCTCTCCCTCCTGTAGAGCCTTCGGCACTTCAATCGGCTTCAAACTAACTTTAGCAGATCTCGTAGTAGTAGTCATCGTGAATAATAAACACAATTATGCGGAAATAATATCACTATTGTAGATCAAAACCGTCATCTTCCCCTCTGTGCACAGATCTATCTGAGAAATCTATGAATGGCACGCTCGACAGACGAACACCGAGTGAATACAGACCAACTACAATTTGTTATTAAATCAATAATGACTAACATATTAGAACATTATCCACGATAAATAACACCTGCCTAATTACTAACAAACAATGATTTTTCCCACATACTCTATCTCGACGAGACCACCAAAAATCCAGAATGTCAAAATGTACTAAGAACCAAAGTGATGGGGTAAAATTATATCGAGTATCTCCACCTAGACGTTTCGATGATTCGAAACGAAATATTGCTATGCAAAGGAACCCCGAAAAGTGTGTTCCTCCGTACTCCTATTTAAGTAACTTTAAAAAAACTAAGATACACAATATATAACAATATAATCTCACACCATTTATTCCTCAGAAGAATTGCCAGAAAATCATTTTTACACCCAGAATGAAATTAATGAATTTTTGAATTCTTAGTATTGGCAAATTTGTAACAAGTTTACTAAATACTGGTTATTTTGAACTTCTCAAGTTTTATTTAAATCACAGAAAAAGTCAAAAAACAATTAAAAATATGTAGTATCGACATTCGAAATTAAGACAACACTAGCAATCGTCTGGTTGTAGAGTACTATTATGTTGCCATTCTAAAAAACCTTTATAGTGGTAGTGGGGTATTAAAATCGTCTAAAATAATGTATAATTATTCTAATCGTAATAGAACCAACATAATTTTTAATAAACGCTTAATGAAACATTTCTTCATTTTTCATGCTGTTAGTTTTCATGACATTAATTCGAATTAATGGGGGACTACGAACTAAGGGGGAGCCAGGCTTTTACTGACTAAAATCCAGTCCGTTTATTTTCGACCTGCTTACGCCCGTAACCCAAATGGACATTGCCTCGTCGTCGGTCGTTTGGACCCTATCTGTGGTGGTCTAATGGCTCTTTGAGAGACGGGTGGCGTAACGCCACGTTACTTACACTAAGATAATTATAGATTTGCTCGGGCGGTGAGCTCTGAGCTATCTGGTAAAGCATCTTATCAAACAGAGAGGGTATGTGCATTATAATGCAGGGATTGGCGATTATAAACACAATAGTTTAAAATACAAGTTTGATCAGGACTCATACTGTCTTGATTTCTGGTAGGTATGAAAATACACAACGCGGAGGCTATGTTAACTAAATATAAAACGTTAGTAATGGCACTTGACCGATTTCTAACCCAATAAAGTAGATCAGTTCGCCATTCCAACTGTACTGTAATTATCTGTTCTAAATCTCTGTTACTCGACTATTGGTAGCAGGGTTCTAATTAATTGATTTTTCGTTAAAGCATACTCCCTCTAAAATCTAATATTGTAATGTCATGAATGTCAACATTAACATCATTTTGTCAATGTCACGCAACCAATTTGTCAGTTGTTGTCACTTGGCAGTTGCGCGGAGTAATAAACGAAGTGTATTTTAAAATTAATTTCTCATACGATAAAGGTTTTGTATTGTTTTTAAAGATGAAATGTTTTTTATGTAACGAATTTCTAATAAATAAGACTTGTGAAACATATCAATTTATTTTTTTACAGCATTTAAAACATGTCGGAGCCGGAGCCCGCCGAAGTTGTTGATCAAGAGACTAAACATGAACATAGTCCTCGGAAACGTATACGACACCGTAAAAAGCAACTTTACGATAATATCCTCAAACAAATGGAATTCTACTTTAGTGATGCTAACTTGACAAAGGATAGATTCCTAGGAGACCTTGTGAAAAGTGATCCTTATGTGCCGCTGGAATTATTCCTCAAATTCAATAAAGTTCGGTCACTGACACAGGATGTCAACGATATAGCGAAAGCTATGAAAAACTCAACTCTTCTGGAATTATCTGAAGACAGACTAAAGGTACATAACCTAACCTGTTTAGAATAAATTAATTCATACATAACACAAATGAATATGTTTACAACCTGAAACACATATTATAAATGATAACATTCTAATTTTCAGGTGAAGAGAAAGACAGCAGTTTTGCCATATGATGCTGACTCAAGGACTGTATATGTGGAGTCAATTCCAGTGACAGCCAGCAGGGAATGGCTGGAGAGAGTGTTCTCTGACTATGGCCATGTTGCTTACATATCTCTGCCAAAGTTTAAAAACTCACAGAAAATAAAGGTATGTACATATTGATATACTACATAACTCATGCAGTATCTATAAAAACTGGAATCTGTAACCACAAAGACATAATAATACTATTAAATTCAAAGGGTCTCATTTTTTTCTACACGATGTTATAGGGTTTTGCATTCATTGAATTCAACCGGCCAGAGGATGCACAGAAATGCATATCTACATTCACAAAGATGGGCTGCAAACTGCCTACCTGCATGCCTCCTGAAGAACTGTCTTCTATTAAGATGTTTACAGCAGATGAACCATCCACTGAAACGTCAGAGAAGAAGATAGAGGATGAAGATGAACCGCCAAAGAAAAAAAAAAGGAAGGATAAAAAGTCCCTTCAAAAAAGTTTGGAATTGAAGTTGGGAAGTGAGTCTGATAGTGAGAAAAGAATGGATACTCCTACTGTAAGTTTACTTTGTTTACTAAAATAAATTAAAAAAAAACTAAAATTGGTATTAAATATTATGTTCTTATCTGATGGGGTTTGATATATGTACTTATTTGCCGTCTAGTATCTTACATGTAGATAAAGGAGTTAATTGGATTTACATTTAGAATTAAAACAATATTTATAAAAAACCAATTAAAATTAATACTTAACATTTCAGGAAGAAACAAAAAGCATTGCGAGTCTATCAACACCCACAGAGGTAAGTTCATTGTTAAAATGAATTTATGCATATCTTGTAAAAGTCTCAGTAAAACATAGATAGATAACAGCAATTCAAATACAAATATTCTTTATTGTGGTACATAGGTAAACAGTGTTACATGGTTTTTAAATTGTGCACAGCTATGACCCGCCATAATGGCATACAATAATTTTAAGGTAACATTTTATAAATTCACTTTAGTTATTATGTTTTCGGTTGTTTACTCACGTAATAATTTGAAGCGGCGACTGTCGCGCTGCTACCGTAGCAGCGCGACAGTCGCCGCGTCGCGAGTAAGCCAAAAATATAATAATTAATGTAGAATGTTTCACGAAAGTCACAATAAAAAAAAAAGTCAAAAGTCAAAAATCATTTATTCCAATTAGACCTTTACAGGCACTTTTGAACGTCAAACAAAATTTAAAATAAAAAATAGTGTCAGTCTGTCGGTCAGTCCTCTTAGTGAAGCTATTTGCTCGTTACAAAGTGTAGATTCCGATGGAGAAGAACGAGCAAGAAACTCCATGGTTACTCTTTTTAAATCAGTTTCACATACAGATTCCTTTTACAAACAGTTGGTTCAATTATGTGAGAACAGTGTAACACTAATATTTATTCAAATACAAAAATAAAGTAACCTTAAGGACAATAGACAGTCTGGAGCTGACCAGTCCCAACTGAAGGCGCTCGTTCACGAGCATGACACGTACACCAGCATCGCCCAACTCAACCATATTATAGGGAATTAAGCGATCCAGCGCCCATGCCACCGCCAGTGTGACCTTTAAGTGAGCATGACAACTCCAAGCTGTTATTAGGACCGACAATCTGCTAGTCTAACCAATTATAATAGGTTACAGGGCACTCACATTTACAAATTTATCAAGTTATAGTTATACAATATAATGCAATTTCACTAAAATGAAGAAGTCCCGTTCAAGCAAAATCCATTGGAACGTTATTTATTTTGGTGTAGGTTTGCTATCCTGTGGAGCAGGACCAGCACGTCTCCAAGCATCATTATCTACAATGTAATCATTCAGTGTGTAGTATGCTTTTCTACATAAAGTTTTCTTTACACATAATTTAAAATTTCTTTCATTTAATTGTTGTATTTCGCCTGGGATTTTGTTATAACATTTAACACAGAATCCCATGAACGACTTATGTACCTTTGCCAATCTAAATAATGGCTGACATAATCTATCTCTATGTCTAGTTTGATAATTATGTCTATCTGACACCTTATCGAATATTTTTAAGTTTTTCCTAACATACATAATGTTTTCATAAATAAACTGACATGGCACGGTCATAATATTGATCTCTCTAAACTTTTCTCTAAGAGACTCACGACGCTTTAGGTTGTAAATAGCTCTGATGGCACGCTTTTGCAAGACAAAGATAGACCCAATGTCAGCAGCCTGTCCCCACAACAAGATGCCAAACGACATAATGCTATGAAAGTAGCTGAAGTACACCAGTCTTGCAGTGTCCACATCTGTTAGCTGTCGGATCTTCCAGACAGCAAATGCTGCAGAGCTCAACCGTCCTGCCAGAGATGTGATATGGGGCCCCCATTGTAGTTTGCCATCTATGGTTATACCCAGAAAAGTAGTTTGTTTTACAAATTCCAATTTATTACCGTTTAATAATATGTCACATTCGTTACTTTTAACATTTGGCAAACTGAAACGTATACACTTTGTCTTTTTATCGTTTAGGACTAAATTATTAACTGTAAACCAATTATGAACCTTCGTAATAGCATTATTTACGTCGTCATAATTATCTGTCCGTCTATTTATTTTAAAAATCAACGATGTGTCATCAGCAAATAATACCATTCCCGGTTCACGTTGAAATAAATGAGGTAAATCATTTATGTACACTAAAAACAGGAAAGGACCTAATATCGAGCCCTGTGGTACGCCCATAGATATGCTAGTACCCTGGGAATTCACTTTATTTACTTGTACTTTGAACTGCCTATCCTGCAGGTATGATTTTAATAAATTGAGAGATACCCCTCGAATGCCGTAGTGTTCTAACTTTAGCAACAGTGTCGCGTGTTCAACGCAATCAAAAGCTTTAGACAGGTCACAAAAAATCCCAATAGCGTCGTTTGACTTTTCCCATGAGGCAAAAACATGCTTAAGTAGAGCTACACCGGCGTCAGTTGTGCATCGACCCTTGGTAAACCCATATTGTTGGTCATGAAAGATGGAATTTATGTTAAAGTGTCGTAGCATCTGAGAAAGCATTAGCTTTTCAAACACCTTGCTAAGCACTGGTAAAATTGATACCGGCCTTTAATTATTGGGATCATTGTCATCGCCAGATTTAAACAACGGAACTACCTTGCTAAGTTTCATCAAATTTGGAAAAACTCCCTGATCTACACTTTTATTAAAAATTAAAGCTAAATAAGGCGCTACAGCTTCTATAAAAGACCTACACACCGCAACAGACATTCCCCATAGATCCTCTGTAGACTTAACTTTTATGTCCTTAAACGCCTTTATTACCGATTGTGGGTCCGTGTACTGAAATCGGAAGCCAGAACGGCATTCTTTAACATTTCTTTTAAGAAGACTAATAGAAAGTGCCGGAGATGATTCTAAGTCTTTCGTAGTTTTAATGGGGATATTCTTGAAAAAAATTTCGAATTCTTGGGCAACTTCTTGATTAGCATTAACTCGTCCATTATCCGTATTTAAATTAAATTCCGTGTTTTGCAATTTAGTTTTGCCTGTCTCGCTATTAATTACATTCCACGTAGCTTTTGTTTTATTTTCAGCATTCTTAATCTTATTGCCAATATAAAGTGATTTAGCTTGCCTACAGACTGTTTTAAATATTTTTGCATATTTGGACACATGCTTGCTGAAGGCTTCAGTAGTATTAAATGGTTTCATACCATATAGCTCAAATAACCTTTCCCTACTTCTACGAATACCTGGTGTGGCCCAGTCACAGAATACAAATTTACACTCAATAGTTTTTCTTCTTAAGGGGAATATTTTATCAAACTGGGTTTTAATTACGGACAGTAGATTGTCATAAATCTCACTTGGACCTTCATAATCATGTGATGGGCTGCATAATTTATGTTTCAAATTGTTATTTAATAACTCAACTCTTTTATTTGTGATTTGCCTAAACATTATTTCCTTTTTTGGCACCTTTGTGATGTTGTTAAGGTTCATTGTTAACCCACTGTGGTCTGATGGTAAGGTATTTATTATATCCTTATGTAAATAATTACAGTTACAAAATATATTATCTATACATACATGTAGCCGAGGTGGATGTTACTCGGGTGGGCTCAAGGAAAACATTAGACAAATCAAAAGATTTAAAAAGACTTACCAAATTAACACAATTAGAATTATTTTCTAAGAGATCAATATTTAAATCGCCACAAACTATTGTGAATTTACTTTTCGAACACGCTTTCTGCAAAACTTGTTCCATGACTGAGTTAAAAAACACTAGCTTTAAAAACAACTTATCAATTTACAGGAAAACAAACTGCTTGACCTAGAATCTAAAGACGAAATGACAAGTCAAGATGAAGGAAAGGAACCAGGAGAAAGCCCAAGGAAGAAAAAGACGCGAAAGCGTACAGCAAAGGAACGTAGCAATGCTAAGAACAATTTGAGCAAAAATGAGGCTCCACGAGGTGCTTTGTGGGGCTTACAAGTGTTATCCAAGTCTGAGTGGAAAGCATTAAGGAATAAGTACTTGAACTTGCAAAGAAAATACATGAAGGAGATGAAGACTAGTTTACATAATAAGAAGCATCAGTATTCTAGTATACCAGCGCCCGCCGCTCCGACTATTGAAGTGGAACCAGGTGAATAATTACATCAATCCAGTAGTTTCCAACTAGTCTAATTCAATACTTTTATTTAAATATCTAAAATGAACTTGCAACATACAACGTTATTGTATATACTTATTTCAAGAAAATAATGTAGAAAAATCTAAAATTAGAGTAAATAGTCAAATCTATCAAAGAAAGTATGATTATATTTTAATATTTTAGTGTACTGAATAGGTAAAATAATTATTTTTATAGTTTCCAACTAGTCAAATATTTTTATCCAAATGTCAAAAACGATACTTTTCTATGAAATTTGTTTGAAACGCTGAGGTATGACGTCATAGTTTTATTGCGACAAATAGTGTTTTTTTTATTAATTTGTTGTATTGAAGCGTCGAATTAATTTATTTTTGACCTAGGAAACTACCCAATTACATTTTGAAACTGTACCAGACCTGAGTGCCTAATGTGAGCTTGCTTTAAATTAAGGCGATGGACATGTTTATGGCGTCAAGCGCTCTGATTGCCCTGCTCCAAGTTAACCAACCAATTGGAGAGCTAAATGCAGTGATATGAATGCTGTTTGATAATAAGAGTAAGATTAAAAAATGTATGTTTGGTCAGAGTGAGGATGGGTGATCGAAGATTTATACACATTGCACACTATGTATGTACACTCATTTGTTTGATTTTATTGTAATGTGGCAGACAATGGAAGCTCACCGCCCATAGAACCAGACTAGGAAAAAACTCCTTCTCACCCTATATAGAAGAAGCTTTTGAACGAAATTCCCCCCTCACAGAAAAAAACTAATTGAGAAGTATTTCTGCCACCCTGAAACTTATATTTAAAGAATTTTAAATAATCATAAAATGTTAATCTTTATGGTTCCAGGTTTGCCATCAGGTCAAACGGATGCTCCCAAAGGCATAGCGTCCGTAGAAAAGGTTCCAGGTTTATTTGTTAAAGAAATCTTACCAGAACCCTGCTTAGATGTGAGGCTTACAAAAAGAACGGTAAATATTTGTTTTTTAATAATAATTTGTTACCTTATTGTTGTTTATGATTAGTCATATGGTTCATTTTCAAACATTGATAGTTTACTCAATAGTTTGATTCATGGAGGAATGTTTATTAAATTTTAATTATTTTATTATGCACTTAACTAATGACTTTTTTTTCTTGTAATTTATTACACCAACCATAATGTCACTGCATCACTCAAAGGTTGGCTGGCGAGAAAGCTTTTAGCCATCAAGCCCACTAGTACTTTGCACATAAAGTAATAAATAATGTTGTGCTTATAATATTATTTTTATTACCAGATCCGCAGCAATATTCACGCACTGCATGTCGACGTAAAAGAAGGTCAAACAGAAGCAATTATTAGATTTGATACACCAAAATCCGCAGAGGAGGTAAATATTTTAATGCAGTTTATTTGTATATTCTTTTTCAATATTACTGGTAATTTATTATAGTATTAAAGAAGTACTGACCTATTTTGAAAAGTCAAAGACTGTTCTTTAAGATCTTGACAGTCAGACCATAACAACTTAAGCAGTCTTTTTCATCTTTCTGCTTTTATCCTAAATTACTAGAAATCAGCGCAAAAAGATTAATTCCCTATTTTGCTCTCATCTTTTTTTATCTACATTTAAATAAACTTGGGTTTCCTTTTCATGACATTATAAAAAAAACGCTGCTTTAATTTTTCAGTACTGTGCCAACGCGAGCAACCACGCGCGCGTTCTGTCCGGTGCTGAAGAGGAAGAGCAGTGGTCTCGAGCGGAGACTGCGCTGGCGCACCGCCGGCCGCGCGGCCGTTGCCGTCTGCTCACACAGCGCGACCTACAGTCCGCGCCCAGAGCACTCGCCCCCGCCTCACCGCAACCAACACACACCCACATACGATTCGAAGATGAATAGTATTCCGATATTTTCATTTCCCATAACAAGAACCCTTCTCAACATTTTTTTAGTCCCTTACACTGAGTATGAGAATTAATTAGATCTTTAGTGAGATTGTGGACACTGCTTTTGTCTAATAAAGATGGAACTTTTTAAATCAGTACTGCACTAAAAGATCTTAATTAACTTTATTTTCCCAAACAATTTACTTTATTTGTTGTTGTTAATTAATAGATGAGTCTCATAGATCATCCCTAAATACTGTCATAGCCATTGCATTATTAGTCAATGAGATTAGTTGTTGGCAACATTAGGCTCAATGTCTCACATATATTATTTCACTGAATAAGATTTATTATTTCAAGTAGCATGTAATGCATATCTTATGTAAATAAATCGTTTTGAAGATAACTTTACATCTGTTTTATTAACTTACAGTTAAATATTTGAAATACAGTTTTAAATTGAAAGTTGGTATAAAAAATGAAAAAAGTAAGTTGTTATAAAAGAAAATTTTATTACGTCAAATAAATGCCAACATCAAGTTCAGTCTTAAAAATAAGTTTGCTTATATCTTAATAATACAGGAGGCACTGGCACTTTTTTATCAAAAATTAATTTATAATATACTAAGTCGCCTTACAAGCTACCACAGAAAATACAACATATAAAACTTACGTATTGCTAATAGACCTGTATATTACAACCTGAATTCTGTTCACCTTAATATTTATCAATGAGCTGCCACTATACTATAGATATGATGTGATTATATATGTCACCGCGGAAAACTGACACATTGTTCTTGTTAGATCTAAATGAGGCCATTATATGTAACATGGTTATCAAGATAAAGATTAGATTAAGTACTCATTATTTAACAAATTCTATACACATACATATAGATCAAAATGCAATTTCTACTGCTGATTATCATTTATCGCGGAACATCAAGTCAATATTATTTTATCGTGATAAAATTATAAAACAATCTTATAACGAAGTACATAAAGAGCACCAAATATTTAAGTAAAATAGCTGCATGATACAGAACAATAATTAAAGCTAAGTACTTTATAAAGAAAACTGGAAAATATTAACACTGTTAGCAAATTAAATTCATCACATTAAACACAATAATTAATTAATATTTCAAATATTATTTACACAGAGGTAGATTTATTTAAAGGACTTAAAATATTACGACGCTTCCATATGCCTGTGGACAGTGACCGGAGCTATTATACTGTTTTTACCGCACGGTAACACAGTTACATTTAAATCATTAGCTTTTAGTCTTGGCTTGATTTTGGCTGGCAGAGGACAACTAATATCAGACTTAGTGTCATCTGATAAAACAATTGGCTCATTAACTGAAAATCCAGTGGCTTCAGAATCTTCATGGGGGGTCATAGTAGAATACCCATGATCTGAACCACCAGCTGTATGAGGCCTTCTATAACCAGTCACTACTCTGTATGGTGATATTGGAGCCTCTATCTCCATGGCAGGTAACAGCTTATCTTGCCCAGACAGGTCATGCATATCATCAGATTGCAAGTGACTCATTTGAACATCTGCATCATGCCAGGTCTCTGCTGGACCATCAACATACAAGTTATGGCAACTGGCTGTAGTAACATTCTGCCTGTAGCAGTATATGGCAACAGCAATGACTAAACTCGCAGTAACTATACAACCGGCGATCGGGCCTATAGCCGAGTAGTTGCCGAATGCGTCTCTATTGATGTGACCGAGAGTGCCCTCCCCGTAAGGTGTGACGGCACCTAACACACCGTTAAAACAAGTGGACTGAGAAGTACAGAATGGTGCCGACAGCGGCGTCCTACCGTCAGCATCAATTTGGCACCATTCACAACCAACAACACCTAAGCAAGACGAATGCGACATATAAGTTTCGCATTGGAAATCAAAACACGACTTTAAGTTCTCAGCAAAGTTATGGAAGTAATGGGACTTGTGGTTGTTGTTTTCAAGCATCATGCCACATAGAGGCATTTCTAAATTGTATCGTGACGCGTTGGAGTTGGGGCATTCATAGAGCTCGGAGCTACATTCACATGGACACTCGCAATCTGTTTGCTCCATACGGTTACAATTTAGGCAAAGACGATCGACCATACTGCATGGGCAGAAAGCACCCACGTTGCAGGACGCGTTCACCAGACCTATAAATGCATTGGTGCCTGGAATGGCGGCAATGTAGTAATGAATGCAATGATCTCCTGATACGACATTAGAGAGCACATTTGGTAGCGAGGTATTAAATTCGTAAAACCGTTGTATAGTTTTGTCGTAAAAATTGTTACACAGTCTTTTTGTAACAAATCCCTTATGATTCAACATATCAATAGCAATCATGGATTCCTTATGAGTGATATGTTGTTGTTCTATTGGCCCAGAACTATTTGGATCCATTAAGCCTGGATGTGACACCAGATAGCCCTTATTATTCATTATAAAACATTTGACATAGGACATGGCACAAAGAGGCAAACTATCTATGAGAAGCTTATACAAAAAGCCCATTGTTACATCCATTGACACAACCATAGTGGGGTAAAAGGAACTTTTTACAGCATATGATATAGACACAACATAGCCTGCACCACCAACATCCAAGTTTGGAGGTGTTAAGATTATCTTATCCGGATTCTCTAAAGCATATGTATACCATGGCCGTCTCACTGGTTCATAATCATATTCTAACACAGTGCCAGGGAACATCACCATCACTCCACTCTCTGTCACTGCATACCTTCTTACTATATACTTTGAATAAGGGCCATGTAAATGTTGCCTTTTATAATATGATAGAATAGAATTTAAAAACCCAACATCTTGTTGAATTTCATTCTTAAGACCAGGATTTGAGAGTAGCCCATGGGCAACACTTTTTAAATAAGCTAAGTAATTCTGCATGTATGTGACAGCTTCCTGACCATCACCCATGTCATATAAATAGGTGAATGGGGATTGGAAGCTAGATGGACTTAGATACACTGTACCCTGATCTATTGTAGCTATTTGTTTGAAATGTCTGCACATTTTGCCCATTTTAGGTGGAAATAAATCAAGCCTATGGAACAAAATTTCCTTGTTGCTTCTAGTAAAAAAGATATTAGTTTTATTAAATACAACCGGTTCAGCCACCTCTGATACAATACAAACTATATACAAGTTACCTACCCATTTCCAGGAGTAAATAATTGATTTAGTAGAGTTTTGTTCATACATAGTCAAGTTACCGGAACTATTGGCTAACATTTCTTGTTTCACAGTTGATATAAATGTGTAGGTCTCTACACTTTCCAGTTTTGTGAACTTAATTTTGTCTGAAGCAGATTCTGGTCTTGGGAAGAATGTGTGCATTAAAACTGTGCCAGAGAAATCCATGACAAAGGCTCTTTTCTTTTGATTTGAGCCCTTAAAATATACAATATCTTCCGCAAGATCAGACCAATAAAGGTCTAGTCCAAGCACTCCAGTTGTTGTTGGTAGCACAAGAGATATCATGAAATCTCTTTCAGTTGCCTCCCAAACTGGGCCTTCTATTTTAATCTTCTTACTTCCATAGTGGCCGGGTAGGAGAGATATAAATGCTGAAGCAACTTGTCCCACAACTCCACTGTCATTGATGTGCAACCGCATAACAGAGTGATTGTTTGTATGTGTGTGCCACTTGTCAATATGCAATATACCCAACGAACTATTCTTATCTGCTTGATTTTCATAAATCAGTCCAATAGCAAACTTTAAGCTTTCATCTCTATTTGCAGAGTACGGAAATATTTTAAGCCAAGTCTCATTTTTTAAAACTTTTGTGTCCGTGAGAAAGATGAATAGTTTGTGTTTTGGTAAATCCCTTTGTAGTAATAAGTTTTTCAACTCTGTATTTATAGAAATAGGAGACATATTATTAGGTGCAATGTCTATGGATGATAAATATTCCCTCAGCAATAGTTTATTGTTCTCTGTGGCATTGCCTATGTCTGATATTCCATCCGTGCTACAAGTATCTTCAAATTTAAGAAATTCTGTCATATTTGTCATCTTAACTGTTATAAGGTCAGAGTCCTGCAGGGCATACACAGTTTCTTTAGCCACATGTATTGCATGCTGTAGTGGACCTTCTCTCATATTATTATCTATTATAAACACAACCAATTTTGGTTCAGGATGTACAATCTTGTGGTAAAGGTATCTTAAGTTGGAATGGGGCATTGTAGCACAATCCTTATCAGTAGCATAGTCCATATGTGACAGGAAGTATTGTCTCTTAACTTTTAAATCCTTAAAGCGACCCAACATATTGTTTTTAGGGTCTTGTGAAGGCAATGTGTCGTATACATTGGAACTTTTGATAAACACAGACTTACGAATAGAATTGAATGGGCAAGGGTGCGTGAAGGACGGAGTACTGTTGTCGCTGATTACATTGTTCATGTGACGAAGAATGTTCGTAGCTGCCGACAGCTTGTAGCTGAGTTTTTCAGCAATACTGGTCAGGACTTCATTGTCTGAAGTTTGGTAACGGCTCACTTTATAAGCTGTCCGAATTTCAAAGCGTGTCGTATACTCACTGCCAAGTTCTTTTACCACTATTTCACTAAATTTGCTTGCTAAAGTCTCCGATAGCTTGCGAACACACAGTATATAATCACCACGATTGTTAGTTCTAGTACAGTTATCGCTTTGAGCCAGGATCAGACAGATGCCGCAGCTCGTCGTAATCATAAATAACAACGATAAAACCTTCATCTTGTCGGCATATCTTTGATCCGCACTTACAATAAAATTGTCATCACGAAAGCTTATTTCTGAAGTAACACGTCCTTTGTATTATGCGCACTGAATTTTTCACATTTCTTTCTTTGATAGACTTCATCGATAAATTGTAAAAACAATACTGTTTATATAAAAAAAGAAAAGTATCATCCACAGACCAACTTTGGTCGTGTTTTGTGCAGGCGATGTTGAAACTTGACATTTACAAAATAAACATGGCGGGCAGTGAAATACGTTCCGTTTTACCGTCGTGGTTTTTAATTTCTATAAATAAAGGTGAAATAATGTCAAAAATTAGTAAATAAATCATGTAATATTGGAATCGGAATTAATAATTTTGTATTTTTTTATTATAAATTTTACAAGATTATTTTTCCTGACTTTACTAAAAAGGAGGAAGGTTCTCAACTCGATGTAAAAATATGTTTTTTAATCAAATCAGTTCTTACATTCATTGAATTCAATAAATATAAAACCTTATTTTGGTTTAATTAATAATTAGGTTTTTTTCGCAACATAAAGAATTTCCAATATAACCTTTCACAAAGATTTCATATTTATCGCGCAACAATAATCAGTTTTTAAAAATCTGCACAATTAGGGCTGAGCACCGCTGTGTCCTGCCTGATGAAAGCCTGCGATAGGTGGCGAATACATCTCGCAATACCTACTCAAAAAAGTTAATAAAGATAAAATATTTAAGTAGGTTTGCGTAGCCCACGTAAGTACCTACCTATAGATTTTGAACAGTAAAGGAATGGTAATAGCAAAATAGTAGGATTATTTTTTAAATAAATGATTATATTAATTTGTCGTAACTGAGTATTTTAATTTATTGCAGGTCACGATCGGTGTGGAATAATTAATTAACTAATAGAATTGGCATTCCTTCACAAACTATTCGATATGTACCCAGAGATTTTAGCAAGTTGTTGTATATTGTTTAGCAACGCACCCCAATCCCTGAAGGTGTAAAACTGAAGGTCTTGGCCTTGGTGTCAAAACGACCTGAATTCTTATCAAGGGAAATTGATAGAAAGGCAAGCCAGAGCCATAACAATTAATGCGGCTATATAGCATAGCGTCTATAGGTAGGTAGAAGCCACCCTTTCCACATGGAAAGTTTATAATATGTATGTAACCTGCGTAGGTAGATGGAAAATGTGAATAATTGGATCGGTATTTAGGTGACAATAATTAGGTAAAGCAAATAGTTTTACTGTTGGGGCAGTTGACTTTGCCCTACATATTATATACCTAGCACAAACTAATAGTAGGTATTATTTGTGCGAGGGTTGTATAATTATTTCTTTTGTCGTACTTATATGGGGGAAATCGAATATAAATAGACTTCCATGTGTTAGCGAGGTACCTCATAAGTATAATAAGTACCCTTTTTAGACTGAAAGTTTTCGGTTTGGTTCCCAGACCAAGCAATTAACTTAGATACTTATATACATATTAATCATTCATTGTTTTTATGTAGGCACATGGTACATAGGAAAAGATTTAATTAAAGACAAGCTGGTGCTAATATCAGGCATAATGATTAACTAGATAGGTATGATTAAATTTTATTTCAGCATATGAGGAATCTATTAGGTATCTACTTAGGTAAGTAATCAATGACATAAAATGTAGAAAAGTCTAATACTCTGTTTTAGGAGCCTTATGGTGTAAGACATGCAAAATAAGATTTTATACATCGAAAAATATAATACAAGGTAGTATAGGCGACAAAACGATTATGTATTTCAGCCGTTTCTACAATGTACGGAAATGTGTATTATTATATTGCAAATACTTAATTACGCGTACACGCGAATGTGTACGTGTGCTCGTAGTGGTAACACGTAGGTATGTGTTGCCATCGATTGGTCAGGGGCGGCGTGGCTTACCGTCCGACCATTAACCCAGTTGTGTGGCGCGACGCGGCCCGGCTGGGCATGCGAGCCCTCGCCGTCAGTCCACCACCATGCAACTGCCTGAAACACCGCCGCCGCCTCTCGCTCCGCTGTGGGACCGCGTGCTCCGGGCGCGCGCCTTGCCGCCTGACCTCGATGTCGAGCTCCTCTACGTCGCGATAAGGGACCGCCTCACACATCCCGAATGGGAAGTTCGTCTTCACGCGCTTCGTGTCTTAGCAGATCTTCTGCCGCTCTCCGGGAATGCTTTGTCGTTTCCCTTCGACCAAGTCGTCGACAATCTAGGACACAACTCGCCCAACGTAAGGAAAGCCGCGCTAGATGCGCTTAAAGTTTTCTGCACGCACTGCGAAGATGTGGAATGTGCAGCACGTGCAATTTTAGATAAATGTTCCTATCACAACATAAGGCCGCATTCTGCAAATCTGGACACAAAAGTGAACGTTATTACTGGTTTGATATTATCAATACCTTCAGTGATGGCTATTTTAAAAAGAAGACATTCGCACCTCGATATGTTACCTATTTTTCAAGTTTTGGGAGATAAACTCTACGATCCCGTACACAGAGACGTGGCGCAGAGATCTCTGCTGAAACTAAGACGAGCTTGTGGACCACGTGACTATATGATGTATCTATCCAGGTTAGATCCCAAAGTTCAGGATAGATTTCGTCACTTGTGCGAAACGTACGACGAAGATTCTATGGATGTTTACTATGCGCCAAGGAAAACTGCCTATAGAAACAATAACACACCTTTAGTAAAAATTAATCACGTTTTTAATAATGCTCACACGGGACCCATCCGAGTGTCGACTGATTCATCTTCAGAAGATTCTTTTGCACCTTTACCTTTTTACAATAATAATTTTGCTAAAGTTATAATTGAAACTGAAATTAAGTTTGATTCCGATACTGCGATCACGATGACCGTTTTAGAAGAGAATGAGACTGAATCTGATAAGAATACAGGAAGTGAAGACGACTACGATAGTTCAGATAGGAACATGTTAAAATATAGTGACGGTGATTCCGAGGACACGGACGTTGTGGTTAAAAGAGTGCGTTTCGGTGGTGAGAGTGTTAAAATACGGACTCCTGACAGCGACAACTTGTTAACTAGTGAAGATGATGGTAATGTACATAGGCAACAGAGGAATGGGAATTTTAAAGAGATAATGGCACCACCAACTCCTGTAATAGTAACAAAAATGAATGAAATAAAACGCGAGGCTTTAGAAAGAGAAGCTCAAAATAAAGTAAATAACAATAAAAAGAGCGGCATACCACTGCCAGTGATACATAATAAATTGCAGAAACCAGCGTACGTAGCTAAATACAATGGGGTTAAAATAAAATCGAAGTCATTAAGTGAGTTGTACGATTATTTTAGATCGAAGAATGAGGAAGGTGAAGGTAAAATGCAGGAAATGTCAGGGCTAGCGCTGTCATTGGCGGAGGTGCGGTCTCCCGAAAAGTCGGGACGAAGTTCCCGAAGTCCTGTTGAACCTCATAAGGAGGTGGAGGTGTTGCATAACTTGCAACGAAGTCCCACAGTGTCTCCACGACGTCATCAGACCCGGGTAGAGTTGGAGCGTGATGGGTAAGTAAGAAGCGATAGAAAAAAGCCTACCAAACCACCTTTTCAAAACGTTGTTTCGTGTTTTATAGTAGTGTTTGTTGGGTAGGTTCGTGTTAAGTCTGCTGGCTTCGTCACCGCCTAAGGAGACCGACATTCTAACTCCTCGAACTCCAACTCCTCTGCGAGCACATTATGACTGGGAAGAACTAGGGGTAGTTCCACAGCATGTGTCAGACCAGCTGCATAACACGGTACTGTTATCTACTTATTGCTAAACCATTAAAGATTTAATACATATTTATAACCAAGATCATAAAAGTAAAGTCATTCCAAAATGATGTGAACATTCCAATGAGTACCTATTCTTCTTGCAAAAAAACAAAGCATTTGTGTTACACCAAAAGACAATTTTTTGACGTCACTATTTCAACTTTTACAAGAAAAAAAACATATCATCATGGCTTGTATGCCTGAATGGGGTGGATAGAACTGTAAAGTTGTAAACCCTTTACTTGGAGAAACTCGAATGTTACACGGTGTAAACATTTTATCATAATGAACTTTGTTTACTTGTTTAGTAGGTACCCACGCACTCAAACTGTTATTATAGGTACCCGAGTTACTTAGTACGTAGGTATGTGGTAGGGTTGCCAACTTTTTTTGACAAATAAAACATATAAAAGTGGTTTAGATAGGAAAAATAAAGTATTAGGAAGAAATAAAAAGTATATTTCAAATTTTATGTTATTTCTTGTTATGTTTAAATGTTACAAAGCTTTTTTGACAATCAATATTTAAGTTTTAAACAGATAAACAGTTCGTTTTTAATTGAATTTATTGATGCTCTATTTCTCTCTTCTCGCCACTTGAGATTCATTACAAAAAAAACTCAGTAAAAGCTGTTTTTTTTTTATATTTGGTAAGCTAGCAGATGCATTTTTAAGTATATATTGCCATTTTTCTACTATACTTTTCACTAAAAATTCTTGATCATAATTAGTGACTTTTCTTTGGATTTCTCTAAGTCTTATAGATTCGGAATACATATCGTCCATCTTAATATTTAATCTGTCTTGTAATTTTGCCTTTGAAATAACAATTTCAAAAAATTATTTTTGCATACTTTATTTGCATGTAAAAGTTTAAAGTATAATTACCAAAAATAAAGTAGGATACGTTATTATAAAGTATGGTTGGCAACCCTAGTATGTGGGCACCTTTGACATTTGAATTCAGAAATTTGATGATTAAATATTACCCTGACTTGTTTTATTTATTATATTTTTTCTCTGCTGTAACATTGTACCTAAAGCTTTGTCTTTCTACGCCATCCAACGGCAGACTGTCTGAGAATGTCATGGCATTTTCGTCAGCCAATGCAACCAAGGTTAAAAAAAAAATAAGTACTTTGGAAAAAAAATACTCTGCACAGTGTTGATTGAGCTTTCGTTAGATGATATACCAGCACTAGTTTAAAAGTTTTGATGGTATTAGAATTAGGGGTACCTAAGTTTCGATCCCGATTGTACCGCTACTTCATTTATTATGCAAATCAATAATCTAGGTACCTACTTTGTACAGCACACATTTGTATCGGCTGTCTAGTATCTAAATTAGTACACACATAATGCGACTGGCTATATAGGTATAATTATGCACTCTGTAGGTACATAGTATAAAGAAAGGGGCTAGGTACGTAGAGTTTATTTGTGGGGGGAAATGTTTAGGTAAGTACATGATTCCTCTCGCCCTCGGCGGAGCGGGTTTTGAAAATCAGAACGTACAACAGTTGAAAACCTACCTACTAAGTATTACAACAAAAGAATTTTTCTTTCTTGTAAATATAAATATTAATATCCGTATAGGTACTCAATACCCTTTTTCATGTTTTGCTTTAATTTATATCAATCCATATGATATAGGTACTATTAGCTACTTCCTCGCGGTTTCACCCGCCTCTCAGCTCCATTTGATCGTAGCGTAAAGCTTTATAGCCTATAGCACTCAGGAACATTGTAGCTATATATCAGAGAAGAATTTTGGCAATTCGACCAGCGGTTCCAAAGATTACCCCTACATACAAACTTACAGTTTTACAAATTTTACCTCTGTAAACATCAAGAGATTGATTTTTGTTAAAAGACCATTTTTGTAAGTACGTACCTACCTACCTATCTACTTTTAATTTTTAAATGTGTATTTTGAATTGTTTGTTGTGTAAATTGTAAAGAGTTTACTAGGTGACGAACTGACGATCTGTGCTTTCTGCATACCCAATGGAATTTCATGAAAAGTGAAATATTGTATATTGTGCGTGTATTAGCTTACGTCTTTCTGTTTCCTATTAGGTAGGTAGCTACTCAAATAAACAGTTTACTGAATTCCATTCCCGGTTCGAGTCAAGATTAAAAAATCCCAGCAAAGTGTCAATATAAAAAAGTCCCAGCTATTGTGATGTTGGCATGTTTCAAGAACTACATAAAAATAGTTAAGGTCTTTGGTGTTATGCTAATTGAATGTTTAGGAGAACTGGATAGCGGCGGTGCGCGCAGCAGACCAGCTCCACAGCACGTTACTGGAAGCCAGCAGCGTGAGGAAGGTGGAGCCTGCAGCCCTGTCTCTGGTGCAGCATATGTGGGCGCTCAGCGAAGAGGTAGGCCATACCGCTACATTATACTCTTATCACATATCTTTCACCTATTATTTTCATCCTCCTGGTTAAATATTAAGGTTACTTTTATATATCACGTGGGAGAGCCTTGTGATATATCACGGCTCCACAGAAAACCGTCTTAAAACTACTATAGTTGTTATATTTCGCCTTAGAGCGAGGTTACCTATGAAGCCCAATACTTCCTCCCCTAACCCTCCCTAATGCTTGAATCCCTTAAACTCCTTATCTCTGTTAACCTCCGCAACGCACTTGCTAATCTTGTGGTGTTACGGGTATCCATGGGCGGCGACGATTGCTTAACATCAGGTAATGAGTTAGCTCTTTTATTGACGTACATAAGAAAACTTCATGGTTTGCAGGAAATTAGTTCGTTCTTCGCCCATAGACACATGTATATACCAAATTTTATGATATACTTAGTTTAGTTTTGATAGAATGAATAGCGTCGTTCTAGTCAAATACCTACCTAAATGATTTATTGTCTTGGATGTGTAAACCTAATTGGTCATCTTTATAGATCAGCATTATTTTGAGGTTTCACTCACCTGAATTGGTTTAAATGTTAAGTACCTAGTAGCACTAGAATAATAAACAAAAACCTAAAAACAATTGAATGATTGCCGACTAAATTTCCCGCTAGCCCGCATTGGGCTGGTTTTCAGTGTACCTACATAAGTTGAAGGTATCATTACCAACATGATAATATGATACAAATAGTTATGATAATTCAGAATTATGCTAACATGGGGGAAGTAAAGGTGTGAACATACTATAGGGTTTATGTGAAATATCTAGCTCATTTATTGATTTAAGTAGTAATAAATATTTCGCCGTGGCTAGTTACGAAATAAAAACACGATATAGGAATAGGTTTAAACTTACTTGTTACTTTTGCCGAGTGAGTGGGATCACCGGAGGCACACAACACTCCTCCTAACCATTTCCAGTTCTTCAATGAACTTTTTCTAATCTGTGTGAAGCGAAAGGGAGAGTCAGACTCCTGTCAGTCAAGTCAGACTATGAATTGTAAAACTGATTGAAAAAGAGTTACCATGGAGGTTCTTGCTCATTCCTCTACATATCCATAGGAATCTACACTTTGGAACGAGTAAATAGCTTCACTAGAAGACAGACGAACAGACTGACACGCTTAAAGTTAAAGCTCTTGAAATATTTTTTCCTATTTTTGCTTGACGTTCAAAAGTGCCTTCTGTGGTCTTATTGAAATAAATGATTTTGACTTTGACTTGAATGCCTTGTAGCTCCTTGGGCGCCGAAGGCATACCATCATATGTTCTAACTGTCCGTTGGCTGACCTATTCCAGTCATAATTTTAAATCTAAAACGAAGGCATTATTCCAAAACCCTCCACTTTAAGTATGACCTACCACAAAAACTTTCGAGGTACTTAATCAGCAGAATTAACAAAATTATGGAGGGCCTAGTTAGATGTTCTTTTAAAGTCATTTATTTTTGATGAGGGAAAATCATCAATCGCTCGCCCGGGGTAGGGAGGACGAGGTATAAGGAGTATCAGACTCAAACTGACTAAAGACACCGTTCCTTCTCTTGCTCCAAGCCCGAGGCCGCGATAACTTATTGTGTTAGATCCGCGACACTTTAGTTTATCTTTGAATTTGAGTACTTATTAGGTACACCAAATTCAGGGTCGTGTCAATTTTTAATTGTAATTTGTCTTCGTTTTTATACTATTTGCCTGTATGTAGGTACAATGTTTGCACGGTAACTGATAGCTGGCTGGGATATAACATTTTAACGACCTGCCTACCACCATAATTGTCGTAGTTAAAAATATTTATATTGTATTAAATGGGGACGAACCCTATTCACGTCGCGTGTCATAGTGGTTGATAAAAATACTTACATGTATCGTCCATTATTGTAGACTGACATTATAAATACACCGGCACCACATAATGTCTGAAAATCTAGACTTTTAGAATATCTCAAATACTTAGCTTCGTTGAAGTCTACCTGCTTTCTGCATTGGTAGGTAGGTGAGGTGCCTACTTATCTAGGTAAAGTAGTTTAGGTAACTTATACTATTTTGCATGCAGTAAAGTTAGTTCTGATTTTTATTTCAAAAAATTATAAAATGATGAGTAAAGTCGTTTTTCTTGGAAATAATCAATTAGGTACAGAAACTATAATAGGAGTGTGTTAAAGTGCGCCAAAAAAATACAAAATAGTGAGCATAGATACAGAGTTGACTGTTGTGTAAGTATGAAAAAAATCTGTTTGTGTTTAGGTCGCGGCTGCAAGAGCTCCGGCAGAAGGTGCAGTCTGTGCCCTTGTGCGGGGTGCAAGCAGCGACTGCGCCAGACAACTGCTTCCCGCGCTCATCTCTCGCATGGCCAGGGAACCTCTCCCAGCAGCCTTACCGCATGCATTATTGCAAAGACTGGCCCTGCATCATATCGTCGACCTCATATTTGATCCGAGTATGATTGGCGTGAGTGAAACTTTATCGTTACAATCATATCAGTATCAGCCAAGCATCAGTCTGTTTCTGCCATATTTTACCTTTCTGCGCAACATGTCGATCAACTGTTTCCTGCGATTTTGACGATAGGTATCTTTAACACATTCTTCTATGAACCAACACTGACTTTTTTGACAAAATTTTAGTTATCATTTCAAATCTAAGTATCTGCCATCTAGATTTCTGAATTCGTTGCAGTCTATGTCCTGTATTTTTTTACGAAATAACATCAAGTGATATTTCGAATGGTATCTATTTTGATCTACAAAGGTCTACGTACCTTAATCTCCTGTCTAGGTGGGTGGGGATAAAGAAGAAATGCAAAGTGCCCAACTCCGGGCTACACTGTGCCTGGCCAGGGCAGCTGGACCGGCTGCCGTGTTGTCAGCGGTGAGAAGGAGGCTCGCTGGTACCGCAAGAGCTGATGTTTTTTGTAATAAGGTGGGACATAACTAACTGTTATTTGTTAGACCAATGTAACCAGTGTACCTAATAAGTATCTATTGATAAAAAACCTAGCCAAACTGTCCGTAGTTCTGTAAGTACACACTCCAGTGAGATTCTAAACATTTAAGCCCTCATGAAAAAGTTTACACGCTTTATGTAGGTAGGATACTTTCTTACGAACATTGACCCCATTGCTTACGAATGAAGAAGAAAATTGAAGGTTAAAGTAGCCATTTTCGTAAGGTCAACTTTGAGTAACTTTAATAAATATTGGTTACTCATAGATGTAAAGATTATGAATGACTCAGGTGTTTTGTTCTAGTTGAGGGAAAGGCTAAGTCGTCCTATAGAGAACATCAAGCCCAGTCACGTTAACAGGTATGTTTTAAAACTCGTTTTCTTCTTCTCATAAAGTGGCTTTAATTCAACGGCAAATAGGTACATAATGACACCTATAATCAAAGTGTGATTTTTTCATAAATCTTTTTTTACATTATTTATTAAACGCTTTCAGCGAAAAGCGAAAAAAGAAACCACATTTTTAGTCTATGACCGATGCGCACGCATAAGTAAACTAATTAATATTTCCCGCCATCACGAAACATTTTAAAATTGATTGTTAAAATACGTCGTATGCCTACCGCCCTCGGCTCCTTAAGATCCTCGCCTAACGGCTCGGTCCTCAAATGCGCTTCAGCGGTAATCATCAACATTACCAAATATAAGCTAATTTCTAGATCATTCTAATACATAGGTGCAATATATTTTCAACCCTATCAACTTGCAATAAAATAGATAATTTAAACTTCCCGGTTTGGTTCAGGAGCTCGCAGTTACCAGTGCCAGTTCGTCGTAGAGCCAGATCTACCCCGCCCCCTGCAGCCCCGCCACCTCCACGAAGACTAAGGCCTTTGCCTGACTCAGCACCCCTGCCTGGTAAGATGAGAAAGAATAAACTACTATGAGATGTAAAGTGTGATGTGACATCATCGTGGTCGTGGCCTGGAGGTTAAGGCGCCTGCTTCTCATACATGAGGCTGCGGGTTCGAAACCTGGCAAGTACCAATGTGACTTTTTCCGAGTCATAAGTACTTTCTAAGATTATTTAGACACCACTGACAAATGGTGAAGCAAAACATCGTGATTAAACCTAGACTCATAATTTCCAATTACCTTTAAGCTTGAAATCACCAATCCGACTTGAGTAATCGTGGTGCCTGATTAATGCTCAAACCTTCTCTGTGCGAGAAGAGGCCTTTGCTCAGCAGTTGCACTTATACATACATATATAGGCTGATGATGATGCGATGTAAAGTACCCATCAATAACTCTTTTTCTTGTTGTTTATCACAAGTTAAGTAACTTAATTAACTTAGGGTTTGACGTGATATTTTCATTTTCTATTCTAGCGAAAATTATCCTATTAAAAATTACCTCGTCTTTCTCATCGTTCCTCAAACAATTTTCTATAAATTTTAATTGGTCACCCTCTTCTTTTAAAACCTTAAACTTATGTATATTTACGACTGGAATGAAAAACTGTTTTTTTGCGTATGTAATCCTTAACTTTTCGTAACTTGTAAATGATTCTTTTAGTAATGTAATTTTTTGTTCAACAGGTGTGTCGCAACCAGGCAGGGATTACATACCTTTCAAGGCTTTATCACCAATTCCCCTGAGTGACAGGTAAGTTCATATATACATATATATACACTTACTAAATACTAAAACAAGATTTATCGTTAGTCTAGGTTTAAACCTTTAAGTTTTTAATTTTGAATCTTATTCACGCCTACCCTCAATTCGTAACACAAAAACTGGCTCAATGGTTTAGACCTAGACCAAAGAAAAGTATTTGCTATATTTACTATATTGTAATAAGACCGAATAAGTAAACAGAAAACCGGCGTGAAACAACCAAAGCGTTATGTTTCGCCGTGTGAATGAGGTTACCGGAGGCCAAATCCTTCCCCTCTCCCGATACCTCCCAATCCCTAAATCTCCAAAACCCTAATCCCTAAAAGGTCGGCAACGCACTCATCACTCCTCCGTTGCGGGTGTCCATGGGCGGCGCTGATAGCTTACCATCAGGTAATCCGTCTGCTCGTTTGCCGACCTATTACAAAAGAAAAAAAGCAGATTAATACAGGTAGTCAACCTAGGCATTCTTAATAAAATTTTCATAGAAATTTATAGTTCAACACCCTTATAGACAGCTAACAAATATAAAATAAATACATCGGTTATTAACATTTTCGGTCATTGAAATACAGAGGAGTTGAACCTTCGACGTTCAACTACCTTATATATCTTTAACTCCGAAAGATCGAAGAACTCAAAACTATAATTTCCGTTACAATAAACTGCCTCTTTAATTATGTAGACAACGATATTAATTCGAGAAACACAAGTTTCTACCCTATGTCAAGTGCTAGGTTGAATGCTTTGACCTTCAGAAGTTACTGGGAACAAAGACACCTGAGTGACAGGCGGTTCCTATAATAGGCACCTAGGTAGCTAATAACATTCGCTCTACAGCAGCAAATTATAGCTTTATTAAATGCTGTAACTGGTATGTTTGAAAAGTATAGTTTATAATGAAGACCTACACGTGCCATTTTTACTTAAAGGTTTTTGGCGCCCAAATGGGACCGTTCGTAATTTTGTCTTGTGACTCACATTTATTAAAAAAGTGTATACACCTAATCACAGATTAGGCAAAAAATATCAGATTTCTCATTTGAATATACTCACTCTGTAACTTAGGTATGGCACAGCAAATTAAAACTGACTCTTTTTGTACTAGCACATAACCTATTTTCACTTGCGTATTCACTTTCTGGCCTAATTGCATAAAATAACGTTCAGTTAATTGAAGGAGAAGGCTTATCAAACAACATGGAGTCGAGTAAACCTTGAACAGAAGTGATTGGGGCCATATCTTCAATAGAATCAGGGGGTTAATTCGTGACTGTGTTCCAATTTCGAATTTCAACTGCCAACTGAACAGACCACGGTCAGCATCGAGTGCACGATTGTTATCTATGTAAATCTACCCCGCAATTACTGGCGTCAATTACATCGCGAAGTCAGTCACCCCTATTTCAGAGTCTGACTAACAATCGATATTAATAATGGGGCATAACACTCGTAAATTCGTAATAGTAACACTTTCAAGAAAACAAATTGCTCAACGTCTACGAAAATGTTGACCGTCAAACGATTTAACGTTATGATATGAGTAGGTACCTATCGAATTTCAAGTACAAAAGTATTTTCTGGAAAAGTTTAGGGTGTGAATAGTAGTGTCGCGTGGCAACGGCACATGATGACGCAAAATTGTGCCACGCTCGAAAAAGGCGATGATACTATGATAGAGTTCATAAAATATCTGGTAACAACTACCAGCGAAAGCTTTTAATATCATTGTAACTTGTTGCGGTTATTTTTGTTTCTATTTTCTGATTCTGTCTGAGAAATTATTTAACAAATAAAACTCAAGAGCACAATTGCTAGAATTAGGCTGTACGAACCAGAAAAATTTTGAAAGCGTTTTTGCATTGTACTTGGACATTTTGAAATAATTCACTAAGTAGTTGCTAAAAGTACGGTCATGGAATGGAAATAGTCACTTAGGACCAGACAAACCACAAATCGATCACTTTATATAATAACTCTACGCAAGCTAAGGTTTAGTAACATTTCTAAATAATTCTATTGAGGGTAAATTCCACTTAACAACTCGTAGTTAGGCTTCATTTTGTCGAATACAGCTAATTCATTACCTTAACATTTCGACCCGTTTAATATTTAATTCCTAAGGGCTAACAGCCGCGGTCGCTAATAAAAACTAGTATCAGCCCTTAGGTATTAAACATAGGCGTGATATGTGAGTTATGAGCCCTCAGTACCCAAGAGTAATGGATGTAATAGCGTGCCACCACTAACCTACATTTTGTAAGTTAAATTATTGGCCCACTTTCATTCAGAGCGTTTATGAACCACTGACGAGACGACCCATTTACTTATCGTTTGATCGTTCCACTTTCGTGTTCAGCAAACAGCACGTAACAGTCCTTTAACGTCTGTTAATAAATAAGAAAATGACGGAATAAGTACTAAGATTAACGTCTACATTATTCTTAATAAAATTATAATCTAGGGGTAGGCTAGGGCAAAGAAATTACACTGTGACTTGAAAAGTTATAGAGCTTTAAAGCACACGTGGGCACCTAGATACTTTTTTCTAGTGTGAGTAACTGACTTAGTCATAATGTTATCATGAACAGTAATGACTCTTTTACCAACCGCTAGAAATTCCGTGAAGGTAGGCTAATCTGCATAATATGCAGGTAGTGTGGGTTCATCAACATAGGGCCAATTTATCGCGCTGCCGCGCTGTAGGGTGTATGGCGTACGCCTACACACTCGTAGTGAGCCCCGCGTGCCGAGTGTCGGCGTCAGTCGCGGAGGCGCCGCGGCGGCTCGCGGGCGCCATGTTGCGCTGCTGCTGCCCCCGCCCCGCCGTGCAGCCCGCCCCCGCTGCCCTCGCGCTAGACCTCGTCGCCGACCTACCCCCGCACACGCGGTAATTTCCGAGCCGGCCCGCATGTAAACAAACCGTTTCCGTGACACTATTGTATTTATTTCTGTTCACAGAGACTCGAGCGCGCTTACCAGTTATGAAGATGGGGAAAACAATAAAAAGGTATCTGCTTCTAAGGAAGGTGCGGATGAAAGGGTGAAAATTAGTGCTATAACTGAAGTAAACATCGGAGGAGAACAGGTCCAGCAAACAATACCAACTCCACCACGGTCACCCTCTATACGAGTTGAAGACTATTCTGAGAAATCGAATCCCTCGCCACTTAGTGGCCGATCGCAATTGCAGGTCGATCCCTTACCACCTCAGACTCCAGGGAGTGCAAGCGCCTCCACTGGACATGAGTCATTAGAATCTCGAGCTAGCACTGTTGTGGAGGTATCACCGGTGCGAAAGAGTGCCAGTACTCGAGCATCACCTACACCACCAAGGAGCAGCGCTCCTTCACCGGTACGAAGCGGAGTTCCTACACCGGAGCCAGCTAGTGATGCTTATGACGAACCACCGCAAGCTTGTGAGCGAGATGTACGTACCGCTCTAGCCGAGTGTATAGTGCCGGCGCGGCATGAGGACTGGGAGGTGATCGTTAGTGGACTCATGGAAACTGAACGACTCGCAGCGGACCCGTCAGCTCGCGCTCCTGCTGTCAGTTGGCGAGCAGCCTCGCGCTCTGCTGCTGCGCACGTGCGCTCATTAAGGTCACGAGTTGCCCGGGCCGCGTGCACCACACTGGGAGCGTTGTTCGAGCACCGAGGGCGCGCGCTGGACCCTGAGATCGAGGAGGCAGCTGGTGCATTACTGGAGCGCTGTGCCGACGTGAACCGCTTTCTACGAGCAGACGCAGCCAGTGCTCTAGTGAAGGTAGCATGCGGTGGCAGCGAAGTGCGTGCCGTGATGGCGCTGTCGCGACGAGGAGTGGCGCACCGCGCGGGCCCCGTGCGGGCGGCGGCGGCGGCGGCGCTGGCGCGGCTGGTGCGGCACGGGGGCGCGGCGCACGCGCTGGCGCTGCCGCCCGACGTGCGCACCTCGCTGCTGCGCTCGGCGGGCGAGCTGCTGGCTGACGCCAACGCAGATACACGCCAGCACGCGCGCCAACTGTGCCTAGCTCTTGGTGAGGACGTACGATTCAAGCAGATGCTAAAGGAAGCAATGCCACCGTCCCGATATCGTGCTATAGAAAAATATGTCGACAAGTTGCGCTATCGATAGGCGCTGAGGTTCTTAATGTTGCATGTGTAACTGTACTAGATAATTATGTTCCTCCCACAAGTCGGCTAGGTAATAAAAATTTGAGTGAAATTGTGTAATCATGACTGATAAATGCGAAAGGTATTTTTGTAGTAAAATAAGTAATGTAAGTACTTACTGTACGATGATGTGTTAAATGAAGTTGATTGTTATCCTCCAATGGAGCGAACTTATTTAAACAATTGATTTATAAACTTTTATTAGGAAATAAATATTCTGGTCTAAATTAAGTAGTTTTACTTACATTTTTCTCATTAATTTCATTATTTACCTATTACGTCATGCTGATTAAAGGCCTCTTTATACACGGAGAAGGTTTGAGCCCGGTTTGAGCGTTAATCAACACGCTTGCTCAAGGCGGATTGGCGATGGGCAAAAATAAGGCATAGGTTAGGTTGCATAGCAATGTCATTAACTAAACCAAAAAACATTAATCAACACTGACATAACAACTTATGTAACCAGTGACAACAATTATCGATAAATAATAAACAAATAGTTACTCTTAAAAAAACACTACAAAATGGCTTAAGTTATGAAAAATAAGAAGTGACAAAAAATCTAATGTGTCGTACAGAATGTCCAAGACATAACCGGCTATGAGACACGACCTATCAGCTGCATCCCTACTCAAATTAACGTCCTTCGTTCTGTGGAACTGGTTGTACATTTTCACCGCCGAAAATTCGCCAGACAAGAGTCCTGAATGGTGCTGCAGGATTTTGACGTTACTGCATGGTACTATCGCCACTATCGTCGGCCTAACTCACTGCCAATGGTATAATTTGACGCCATGGCATTTTACCAGTAAGTACCGTATTATGTAATGGCCATTAGCTTTAGTAGGCATCTAGCATCTTATTTAAAGAGCCTAAAATGTGTGTAGCGACAACAATGCAATGCGTACTTTTTGTTAATGTGGCTTTTATGAACGTAGGCCCAGTCGCGGGCTTGTCGGATTCCGAGCTGGTAGCACATACCTATTATAATTTTAGTCGTAAGTTTACTCGATACCTATATTGAGTGAAAATCTTTCATCGATCCTTTGATTACAACCGGAATCCGTGCACTCAACATGTGTCTTATCAGGGAGATACTACTTACTGCACCGATTCTTGAATACTTACCATATTTAACCGCCACCAATCCCCTGTACTATTTGCGGTGCCTACATTTATGCTCTTGGCCAATAAAGCACGCCGCGTTAACGGTCTTTAGATATTGAATGTTTTTCCACTATCTAGACAATTCTTGTTCATTGAAATGTTCATTCAAATGAAAGATATACTTAGGTACCTGCAGTTGAAAAACTGCAGGTACCTAAGTACCTGCAGTGGCACTGTACCTTTTTGCTAAAGCAAAATAAACCTAAAGTTTCTTATTTTAGGAAGAATATTACCGAGTCAGTATTTGTTGATGGTATGGTCCTGGGGCTACTTCGCCTTCGACCTGTTATGGTGTTTAGTGTACTGGACAGACAGCGTCATGATGCTGTTCCACCACATCGCAGCTCTCGTCGCCATCACTAGATATATGCAGAAAGACTACACAGGATGCACGTATTCCTGTACTTTAGTGCTCTTGGAGATTACTAATCCATTACTGCAAACTAGATGGTTGGTATTTTGCGAATACGTAGATGCCTAGAAAATTGATAGACATGTACTTATTTAGTAGGTACCTACTAGCTTTCGCTTGTGTGTTATTTATCTACGCACCTTTCAACCAATCGGTCCAGCCGTTTTTGCATTAAAAAAAATAACAAACATAAATCCATACATGCTCAGAAACTTTCTTATTTTTTATATTAGTAAGATAGGTAGGTATGCTTTTGGTAGGTAAGAAAATATTTTTTTTTATGTAAATATTATACGTTTTGGCATACCTATAACTAATGTGAAAAATCGATCTTACCCACACATTTTAAATAGAGATACCTACCTACCTAGGTACCGAATAAAACATGATTTTGCACCTAATTGTAAATGTACGTACATTTTTTGTAAGATCGGAGTTGCGACGACGTCGTTGAATTGGCAAATGTTGTTAATATGAACAAAACTCATCTACATCTAAGTACTTTTTATTATCATATTATTATTAGATAATAGTAAGTAGTTAAGCAGTTCATTACCTTGGTAAGTAATTAATTATTTAGGTTCGTAGTTAGACATGAAATTACGCATGTAGCAACTAACCATATCTACAAGGCCTAAAGCTCTCCGTTTAAATATTCCAATGTCCTTCAGATTTAAATGTCATTAACTTTCTATAGGACTTACAATAACAGGGCCAACGGAAACGCCATCTATTAATTACCATCGTTAGTCCTTGAACTTATACCTACTCGCTATCCTATATCGCGGGTTCTAGGTAAATAAAAATACGATTTCCTTTCATGTGCGACCTTGTGTAATATTGTGCAAATAAAATAAAACGTAAGCATAAAGAATTATTGACGTTCCGTTTTTAATAAACATTAAGGTACCTAGGTATGTATTGAGCGAATTTCAAAACAAAGTAGTTATTTTTTATTGATTAAAGAAACTTAAGAAAAATAATAATTGTATCGTGCAAAAAAATCCAGACACATTGCATGGTAGTCATAGCTGGGTTTAATGTCTAATAGGTATATAGGTAGGTACCTAATCATGATATTTAATTTACCTACAGGTTTCTCAAACATGAAGGTTACGGGAAAACAAAACTTTATTTCATGGTAGAACTCCTTTACCTCATCATGTTCCTCGTGCTACGAGGAGTATTGGGCACCTACCTGATGTACTTGGTGTTCAAAACGGATTACTTCGACTTGGAGGAAAAGCTTCTATCATTAACATTTTACCTGGTTTCCCTAGCTTTTGTTTACGACATAGCTGGTTATATACGCTACAAGTACAGAAATGAAATAGTAAGTGCATTTTTTAATCTGTACCTACCTGATTCGGTATTTTTATAACATCAGGATTTTTTTCTCTGTGTCCTTCTACCTCCACATCTGCATACGAATGGTATACCTACACAATTTTTCAAAAGTACTGAACAAGAGAGATATATAATGACTCATAGTAATTAATATTACTCTGGTAATGCGGTGATTTTTAATCTGTAACAATCTGACTCTCCCTTTCGTCGCACCCAGTGCGAAAGGAGTTACCTACCTATTTGATGATTTTCCTCCCTCAGAAAAAGAACATTATAAATACGATATAATGCTGTTATAGTTTTTATTAATTATACATAATTATAATACAGTAATTTCCAACTAGTCAAATTCAATACTAAAAACTTTAAAAACTAAGTTACGACGTCATAGTATTTTTGCGTCAAATAGCTTACTTATTTCTTAATAACTAGCTACAAAATATCTAAAACTTAGTGTATCGATCGATCGATGAATTATAGTTATTTTTTAATATTTTATTGTATTGAAACGTCGAAATAATTTATTTTTGACCAAGGAAGTTTCCTTGGTTTGTTGGTTGGTCTTGGTTTGTTATTAAATTGTAATTGGGTAGTTACCCAATTACAATTTAATATCCATATAGTAACAGAAGTTATAAGTTTCATGTAATAGGGTGTAAGACTATTTCCATATACTGGCACATTGCCAGACTCCATGCTCTAACTGAGAATTTTTCCGAAGATCCTAAAAAAACAATCATATTTTAGCCTGACCTGGGAAAGGAACCCAAGAAACCTTATAGAGGTAGATCTTGGGTAAGGGAAGAATTGATTTTACATACTTCTACTTCTATTACTTACAAAATATTATATTTTATACAAATAATAATACATGCAATATTTCATATTATAAACAGCAAAGATGACAAGGATTCTCCATTGATAATGAAGTGTAGTTTGCAATCAACAAAAATTCTTGTTAAAAACTCTTTTTCCATTTTACAGAGTGAATTCCGAGAATTCTACTATGCAACCCAGATTTATACAGAGTCTGAAGATTTTCAACGAAGAGCACAACAGTTTCATTCTGATATTGCAAACACAATGTAGCAATATTAAAACAGTTTTATTTGAAAACGCAAAAAACATTGTTACAAAATCATCACTATCATCCAGTTCTTTACAATTTTGTCCTCTTAAATGTTAATATAATTTATTTCATGTCAATTAAGCAGAAATGTGTATTAAAATGTACAAAATAAGACACCTTTTTGCACACAAATACAGATGTAATAATTTTAACAGAACATTAGTCAGTCATAATAGCTAATCCATTTAATCAATAAACAAGATAAGTTTTTAAAAGGACTTTTTTTAATAAACTATCCATATAACTTGAAACAATTATGTCCATTTTCAAATTTTAGAAACCACTAAGCCGTAACTGAGTTTTTAAAATCTACCTTTCTTTTAAGTCTTTACCAAGTTTCCATTTCTGCCATGAACATAATATTTGCATGAAGTCATGCCTGAGTCTGAGGTGTTTATTTATTTATTTATGTTAGCCTGAGTCTCTGAGACATACACAAGACATCACTATCAAGATAGTTTAACCAACAAAGTGACATCAATAAAATGTATCATTTAAAACTTTACAAAAATAATACAAATAATATTGTACCCATCCTTAATTTCTTTTTACATAGGTAAAAAATATGTACAGTGGAATTTATCAAAATGACATTATTATCTGTGGTAGCCACTTTTCTTATTCCTCCTGTCTCTCCAGTTTGATGAATGTTTGTTTCTGTTATCTTTGTTTCTATTTGGTCTGTAATCGTCTCTGAGAGACTTGTCATTATTAGGCCTATATGGGTGGTGGCGATGGGACCAGTTACCCTGTAAACTGGCGACAACCAATCTATCAGTAGAGTCATGTCCCTGACGATTCGGTAATTTGAAATCATCTTCTTTTAAATGGTCTGCCATTTCAACAAATTGTTGGGCAATATTGCCCTGTTGAGGAAATTCTAAAGGTGGTTCTAATCCGTAACATCTAATAGGCGGCGGCAATGTCACCGTCCGCCCTCTACTCTGTAACGATAGTGTCCGATGAAATAAGGAAGTCCCTCTAAACAGGTTCAACGCGTAAGGCACGGAAACTTCGTGACAATACGTGATAAATGCAAAATTCTTTTGGCGACCATCTCGATCTCGGGCTATTCTAACCTTTTCCAGCGGCCCGGCCTGTAATAAAAAAATATAAATACAATATTATATTCCGAAAAGTGTCGTGAGTATAAACACAACTTACAATAAACATTTTTGGGACATACCTGCAAGAATAATTCGTATAGTAATTCCTCCGTCACTTGTTCTGCTAGATTTCCACACCACACTGTTTTATTGTCTTCTTCTATCATGATTACAAGCAATTTCTAGTAAAAAATTTGATAAGAAGAGATTTTAAGTAAATTTTATTGTAAATACTCTGCAACAAGCCAAACGCAGTAGGTATTAAATTTGTTTGACAAGTGACGGACAACTTGACAGTGACACGTGACATCTGACAGTATTGAGAACAGAGTATAATAAAATAACCTTAGATTATCAAAGACCTTTGTATTGTACAATATCTTAAAATTGAAATGTTAAATGATAATACTTGGTTACTTATTATAACTGATTCAGATCTGTAAAACTTTGTCGTTGAGCTATTAATTTTGAAAGTTATGAAGATTTTAAGGAGTAAATAGGTACCTAACCTAAATATTAACGGTAGTATACAAGTAGTGGTGTATCAGTGAATCAACTTGATAGATGATGATTTAGCTATCACAACTGACACTACTTTTAGTATTCCACTCATGTAGGAATTATACTTTTCTATAACATAAGCTTCTTATTGTCAACAGGTACCTTTTCTACCAACGTTATAATTAAATATGGGTTAAACTGTAGCGACATCCAACTCCTTACAATTTTTACTTAAAAATTATTGATATATTTTTAATATCTTTCAAGCGAATCATACATTTAATTCTTAGTCGTCTACATCGAATAATATTTTTTTATTGTGACACTGCAAGCCTATTTGAGGCTGACTCATAGATTTAGTATTATTGTAGGTCTGTGGGCTGACTTTACTACTTTTAGTTGACATTTTGAGTTTTTGACAACTTGACAAAAATATCAAAATTATCAAACGCCAACGCTAACCAAATCCAGTCGCGCAAGCGCAATATACCTAGTAATTCGCAAATTGCATTAATGCAGACGATGGTTCATCTTTCTTATTTAGTTTTATTGCTTTGTCGGTCCTAGTCATTATTTACTGATATTATTTTCTGCTAATTCCGTAGTATTTAAAGATATTAGTTATCAGAATCCTGACAATGTGCGGATCTGTATGTATCCAGGGTGGTTGTTATTAGTGGCGTACAATTTAATTCTAGTTTTACTACGTATACGTTTTGGACTGCTTTAAGGTTGAAGAACGAGTAGCAACATGGAAGATTCTACTAAATACCAGCAGATGCAGGATGAAATGTCCAGGTAAGATATTGCATTTTTACTAACAATACAAGTCTAATAACCTCAATCATTTTCAGCAACGGTCAGTGATATCTTCTCTTATTTTTTAATCTAATTACCCACCGGAGAATAGTCTAAGAATTACGCAGCTCACGTCCTGGTATAATATTACACTACAGTAAACTTACATTTGTACCAAAACTATTACTTATTTGAATTTTAATAGCTTACAAATGTAAAACAAAGTTGTTTGCTGATGATAAAATGAGATCAAAATATAAAATGAACGCATTGATTTAAAAAAAATGTAACAGTATACTAGTTTTTACAACATAGCTATAAAAAATGTATGCACACATTTTACATCTCAAATACCAAAACCAATAAAACTTACTAACCAGAACTATAAGAAAATTGTACCTACTTACAAGTGTAGTCAGCTAGGTATTTGGAACCAGTAAAAGACGGTTTTAAGTTAATCTCAAAATAGTTTGTATTATCTTAACTTTAGCTTGGTGAGCAACACACTCCAGAACCAAGAAATTGAGCATAGGTAACATTTTGAGTTACAATTTTTTTCAGCAATAAACATAATTTTAAAACTCTCCATGATCATAGAATATTCTATTATTGTTTTGTTGGGAAGGTTTGAGGCGGAGATTTCGGGCAGTGATGCTGGTGTCGGAGTTGTTTCACGTGCCGTGATCGGTGCGGCGACATTTGGTGCAGTGCAGCAACAGCTGGATCGAGCCAATGCACCTCTCATTCCACCCTTTGACATGACCATGATGTACCCTACAGTGCCTCCTCCGCCACCACCACCTTCCATCATGGTGCCCTCACAGGTAATATGTTGTTTCAGTATTATTTTGTTAACCAAAATCAGGTCAAAGACTAATCTTTTATATTTTAAATGTCAATAAAGATTTAAATATAAAAACTTATTAGTCTGTTAGTCACTCCTATGAAATTCAAGGTCAATTGCAAAGTGTTTTTATATACTAATTGCATTTTATATCAGTGTTACTGGATTTCCCTACCTCATACACTACAATAAAATCAATTTGAAAGGAATGCATTTCTCTCTTACATAAACTTGTTTTTTTTAAACAAATTTATGTAAGAGAAACATATTTTTGCACTTATAAATTGTGTATGAGGTTCATTCACACTTCAATAAAATGAAATTGTTTTTAGAACTGATGTATCTATAAAATTTTTATTACCCTTTTAGGATTTTGGACCCTAACTAATAATATAACATCTGAGTTCCTTTTGCAGCTTGGTATGCGAGTGATCTTTTTTCTGCAGACATTAGCCGAAGATTGACCATCTACTACCAGTGCCAGGGTTAATCTACTTTAACATAGAAGAAATCATTACATTTGTGTTTAAATACTATTAATCTTATGTGGCAATTGAACGATCAACAATTGAAATTGACCGTTAAAAAGCAATTCTCTGTCAAATGCTCATATATGTAAATACATTGAGACATGTATATTTTTTTTTAATGTTTGGTCTTTTTCAAGTTTTCTATTTATACAAATACAGCCATTTCATGTATACTATTATCAAAACATTTACCAGGTACGGATGCGCCCAACTACCAGTAGCGATGTGTTTCCCGTCGCTCCGGCTCTCACGTTCCTGCGACCGGGTCTGCCAGGCCCTCAGCTGATTCCACCGCCGCCACCAAAGCCTCAACCTGTGGTCCTCTCCGCAGCACCTAAGCTCTATAAACAACCTAAGGAAGATGATGAAAAGAAGGAGAAAGAAAGTCGAAAGAGGGTAAGTTATATTTCTTACTCAACTATTATTAAGTTTCTAAACTCTAATGCAATTATATTTCGTACTAGCTTCTGCCGCGCCGTAATTTTAACACAGGAAAGGTAAATTATGAAAAAAAAAGTTGTAGACATCACACATATTCAGCCTACAAGTGACCAGTGCTGAGCAAAGTCTTCTTATTCGAGGATGTAATGATTTTTAAGCATAATGATAAACACTAAATTCAAAATTATACTGGGTCCGCAGCAGTCAGCTCAAAGCAATTATATTTATAACACTTCAGAAACCAAGTGTTGGGAGTTACAAACAGAATTTGTATTTTTTGCTAACGTTTTCAAACCAATTTTCGCCATTTTAGAGTCTTTAATTCTATGTTTAACTTTCAGAAGCGCACACCGCCTCCTCCGCCGCCACGGCCAGAGCCTGTAGTGGAGCCACCACCAGTAGCACCACCACCACCGATAATCAACATACCGGACACCAACTCTAAACCCAAGAAAGAAAAGAAGAATAGAAAGGTACATAAAGTCCCACACATTTGAGTATTCTTTAAATATTGTTTGAAATTCAGTTTCAGTATAACGCTGGTAAGATATCTCAAGTAATCTCAGCATTTTATCAACAACAGTTTTGAATCGGTATAAAAGTGCCTTAATTAATTTTACCTACTTCCTTGTCCGATGTATCATATATGACTCATGGCTATTGTTTTACTATTGTATCTATTTGGGGACAGTGAAATTATTCACTTTAAATTTCTCAACATTCATTGTTTTTTTTTTTCAGGATACTAGATTATTCTATAGATATTGACTCTTTTTTGAAAAACCCTGTTATAAAGAGGTCTACTATTATTTTTGACCCTTTATGTAAAACCCCTTTTGTAAACTCTACTTATCTGTCTCATCCTTAATCTGTCCAGTAGCCGCAAACTCAAAAACCGCTGAACGGAACGGAGATACAAATTGCAGAATTATTTCTGCATTTGTATCTGTTTTAGCATTGCAAAATTTTTGGCGAAAGTTTTAATTTGTTTTATGTATTTTTAATGTTTGAATTCTTTTGTATAAGGTGGTAAGGACTGCTGGAGGTCAAGTTTGGGAAGACGTGACGCTGTTAGACTGGCCTGATGATGATTTCCGTATGTTCTGCGGCGATCTCGGCAATGATGTTACAGATGAACTTCTCGTAAGTATATTCTACTGATTATTATTTAATGAAAAGCGTAAATTTTATAAGTATTGTGCGCATGTTGATTATGATTTGACTGCACGGTTGGCGGAGTGCCTGGGCAACTAACTGGCTGTTAGTCAACGTGTTGCGGGGACCATTCCCGCATGGAACAACACTGCGTAATCCACATATTGTTGTTTCGGGTTGGGTTTGGGTATGCGAATTTGTATGTTTGTAAACGCACCTATGCCACAGGAGAAAATCCTAGTGTGGATCCACGTGTAATAAAAAAAGAATATGTATGTGTATGTCTGTGTGACTTGAAACGATTTAAGCTTTTCTGATGATAGATGTGAAAGAGAAATATTTTTCAATTATTTCTTTATAGCTGCTTTATGATATTTTTGTAATTTCGAATGACAAGCGATTAATTATTACTTGCATGTTTTCTGAACATTTATTAATCCATTTATTTTTGGTTTCAGACGAGAACCTTTAGTAAATATAGTTCGTTCCAAAGAGCGAAAGTTATAAGAGATAAAAGGACGAATAAAAGCAAAGGTTTTGGGTTCGTCAGTTTTAAAGATCCTGGCGACTTCATCAAGGCCATGAAGGAAATGGATGGTAAGTTACACATTTATTACAAAACTCAAGCCTGGCTTAAATAACATAATTATATGATTTTTTTTAAAACAAGCAAACAAACAAAAAGTATTTATTCGCGTCTGGGACGCATAAAAGATACAAAACGAACAATAATAAAAATAAATTATAAACGCGGATTATTCGTAATGTTTTTCTTTATGGTATAGGTCGACAAACGAACAAACGGATTAACTGATGGTAAGCAATAAGTGCCGCCCATGGCAACACCAAATGAGTTAGGAGTGTTACCGGCTTTTTAGGGATAAGGGTTATAGATATTTAAGGATTGGGAAGGGATTAGGGGAGGGGAGGGATTGGGCCTCTGATAACTTCACTCAGACGGCGAAACACAACGTTGTGGTTGTTTCTCGCCTGTTTTCTGTGAGGCCGTGGTATTACTCCGGTCGAGCCGACTCATTCGTGCCGAAGCTTGGCTCTCCCACACTTAATTTGTTTTTGATAATGTCCATAATTTCAGTAACAGTTCCTTTGAATTAGGAATTAAACACAAGTCGATCGCACTAGCGAGCATTTGACTAGCAAAATAGTGTTAAAATTTATTTAATTGGTTCGATCTATATAGTGAACCTCATAACATTTTTTTAGCAAAAATATTATCTAATTATATTTTCTTAATTATCTTAGGTCGTTACGTCGGGAGCCGGCCAATCAAGCTGAGGAAAAGCACATGGCGAGCACGCAGCCTAGATGTTGTAAGAAAGAAAGAAAAAGAAAAGGCAGCTCTACTCTCTCTTCTCATGTCTGGCAACAAAAGCTGACAACGCTACTAACTTTATAATCTGTAACCTTCAGGGTTGCCATTCAAAAAATTTATTAGATAGTGACCTCTGAAAAAGCTTATTTATGGTCAAATTAAGCTAGCTGTATAGTTAAGTGACCCTAGGATTGTTCTTTAAAAAATGAACTGCAATATGTTATCTAGGTTAGGCAAAAATTCCACCCATTTTGGTGTTAGTATGTTCCCTATCGAATGCATGTCATGTTTGAAGACACTTAGGTACAGTTATCACACTTATACTTTATTATATAGCCCTGCGTACAGTAATTGCCAAAATAAATGCAGAAAGTTCTTGGTAGATAGTTGAGAAGCTAAATAGGAAAAGTATAGAACTCTTACAGAATTCGGAGTTATTTAATGGTTATTTAACTTCATCTTTAGCTGTTATTTCCGAGACAAAAACTTTTACTTTATAAAGGTGGAAAAACATTAGTGACACACTAGCGTTGTGCGAAAAAAACATGTTTCTGGCGCGACTCATCACGTCACGACACTGAAATGTGTCCACCTTTACAAATAGTTTAAATAATCATTAAATGTCTTTGAGTACGACAGTAAGATAATTGTAATTAAATAATTGCTAACCTATTCAGCAACTATCCACATTACATAAATTTGGACAATTCAGCCTATTTCCTGTGTTTACAACATAAACCTTTTGCATCCATTGTGTTATCTTAGTTTTTACTTTAATAAATAATTTAGTCTTATAATGATGTCTTTTATTTATTTATCTAAAAATATTCTAACCTATACCAATATTATAAATGCGAAAGTAACTCTGTCGGTCTGTCTTTTCTCCACGCCTGAACTACTGAACCGATTTCTGCGAAATTTGGTACAGACATACATAGTTTAGAACTCGAGAAAGGACATAGGATAGTTTTTATACCAAAAATCTGCAGGAAGTCACTATTCCACGCGAACGGAGTCGCGGGCAAAAGGTAGTTTGCAGTCTTTTATAATGTATAGACATTTAGAGGCAAAATAAAACAAGTTTTTAAAATAATAATTTATTCAATATTACTAAATGGTAAGATTTTCTTTGGCTAAACTTCTCCAATCTATACACATTTACACTTATTACATAAATTCATAATGTACATAAAGTAATTCGTAATTAAATATTTATAACTAAAAATTATACATTCAATTTTATTTTGCACTGTGTTCTTAGAAACGCCGTTCGGTTTTATTATTCTTAAAATCAAGAATAATAAAATTTGATAAATATGTACGACAAATAGTAAAACATTTGTACATAGATTTAAAGCTAGAAATTCGACCCCTAATATACCTAAGTAAGTACATAATTTATTCTTACAGTTTTACTTTTTTTATCCGAATAACTAATCGGCAACGCCGGGATTATTTTTAGAGAGATGTATATGCATTACGGCTATCAATATCTATATGAATTTGAAACAAGTCTAACTACTCGGTATTTTAGAACGTTTCAACCTGTAATTTTGACCCATATTCCGCCTTTAGCCGAGTCTTGGATATTTTCCTCAGTCGAAAATAATACACGCCAACATTCCAGTACAATATTAAAAAAAGAAGATCTAAGGTATTCAATAATGATTTGACGACTATCACAAGGATTGGGTTTTCAAATATTTTTGATTAGGATCTGTTAAAATATAAAGTGGCTGGCAGTGGTTGGATGAGAAGAGCTGAACATCGAGCTCAGTGGCGTGCAATTGGGGAGGCCTATGTCCAGCAGTGGACGACAACAGGCTGATGATGATGATGATGAAAATATAAAAAGGCAGGTAGGTAAGTATGTCTCCCGATTGTTGCAAATGCATCCCCCGCTTCCGGCACCCAAGGTAAGTTTAAACTATAGTATAATACTCGCTATCATTGTCGCTATGCCTATACCGTGGGCCGCGTATTCTGACAGGGCGCGGTCTTTTACGCTGCGGCGGATCAGCTGTCGCGGCCGCGGCGTACAGCTCGTCTAGACAACAGCGGTTGTCACCTTCCTTCAAACCTGATGTGTACGGACAAAATGGCGTCGCGAAGTCTTCTAAACAGTATGCACCCGACGCACTGAAAAATATTTAGCTATGAGTTAAACTATAACAACAAAACTAAAATACACACACGTGTAAATGGTAGGTACTTTTTCTAGAGACGCATAGTATGAATTATTTGTATTGGTAAAATAGGTACTTATTATAGAAAATAGAAGCAATTAGAATAGGATGAATTTCTACTGCACGAATGGCGCAGTCGCTGCCATGTCGACACAACTTTGTGTGACTTACGTGTTTACTAAATTGTTGTTCCGGTTTTCGCTGTAAGTAGGTAGGTATGTAGACCTATGTCACGCCAAAACCACACACAGAAGATTCTACTGTTGGGCAATTTTATAGGATGAATCGATGAAATAATTTCAAACCTCATGGGTGCAGGCTGTCCTATCGGCACTGGTAATGCTGAAGCCCTAGAGGGCGGCACCCGCACAGAGCACCGTCGTCCACACGGGGCCGCGTCTCGTGACCGGAACAGACTCTCCGCTTGATAGCAAATCGACCAGATGTGACTACAGAGCGCCTCGTCTACATTGAAACACAAAATACTAGGTTATTTATAATATTATTGATTATAGTATTATAATTGACTGCTCGGGTGGCGCGGTGGCTGGGCAACTGACTGCTGCGCAACGTGTCGCAGGTGAAAAGGAAAAAGAAAGAAAGATTTGAGCGTTCTTCGAAGATGTAAATAATAAGGCAATCATTAGACTTAGGTCCGTCGTCAAAAACAGTACGAATATTTTTTTACAGTGCTCACTGTGGTATTGGATCGATCCATAGAAGTACCTAGTTCGTGTTTGATCTAATGGCTATACGCTTCGCTCGATCAGCATAATATCATATTGGTACGTTACTAGTTAGCGAATGAAACAGTGGAAGCACTTGAATTGCCCAATTAGCTAAAACTTCTTACTTCAGTCACTCTCAAAAGACTCTCGATTATGTGTGAGTTTTAAATCAGGCAGAGCCATGCTTCGACACCAAACGGAGCAATTCGGGGTGATACCATGGCCTCGCAGAATATCGCCGTTATGGTGAAACAACACTCACGTTGTGTTTCGCCGTGTGACTGAGGTTACCGGAAGAATCCTGATTTGGGTTTGAGGATTAATGGAGGAGATCCACCCGTTCTCAAACCCAAATCATAGACTTAAACCATAATAACCCACAAACAGTCGGGCAGCGCTGATTGCTTACCATCAGATGATCGAAATGCTCGATTGCCGTGCTATCCCATAAAATAACTCACTTGGTGTATCCTCGCAATAAGGCTGGCTCCTTCCACCGTTGAGGCAGAAGTCGGCATGACCAAGTCGGGCGCCCTCTCCGTAGCGACCTGCATTCGTATGCAGCACGTGTACCGCACGAGCATCACCCGGGTCCAAGCGGAGAGCTGGGGCTGAGCGGATCAGAGGTCGAGCTGGGTCCAAACCTGGAATAAACGTGGGTAGAAGTCATGTTAATGAGTTTACACTAACACCGGATTTTTGTACCATTGGTAATTAAGTAACGATGGACCCCAACATCAAAGGGATATGGAATCTTGCCAAATGCTATTTTTGAGATAAGTATAGGTATATATGTACCTATGTAATATGTTAAAGATAGTATCCCATTAGATTATTAAATTAAGTATGTATGAGTGCTCTTTCAATAACAAGGCTCTTCATATCATACATACCGATAATCCTGTTGAGTCTAAATGTCAGATAGTTAGCGATGATGCCACAAAGATGTGCTCCCAGGGAGTGTCCTACGCAAGTGAGGTTGTCAGTTCGAAGGCCGGCTCGTCGTAGTGTTGCCAATGCTTCAGCTACACAGCGAGCTACTGGGCGCAGGTTATGAACCGCTGCCACATAGCAAGGAGGCTGGCACAGGGCACCCCAATCCAACATAAACACGTTGTAGCCACCACGACGCAGGTACGCTGGAAATTGCAGTTTATTTTATTATTTTTCAGTCAGCGTTGGACCACTATAATGCTTTGTGGTTAGCGATGTTGCGATTTGCCAATGATATAGTAACTGAAAATCATGGGAGATTTGAAGATACTTAGATTGTAAGTACTTTTTACTTAATTAATTATTATGTTTTCGGCTTAGGTACTCACGTAATAATTTGACGAGATACTCGACTAGTTTCAAGCCATGCTAGAGGCCCATATTCACGAGCCCCCTTGGTAAATCGTAACTTTTTACTAGTAACATAGTGGCAAGATAACTAACATTCGTTGAGAGAGGTATTCAAATCCTCTGGCGTTATCTATCTGTTACACAGTTTTCTGCATCACATAGGACAGGAAAATCAATCGCAATAGGTAGATAAGTACCTAATAAATTTTTCACGACTGTCATTGCTGATACGGAGGCCGTTGAACTGGTGTAGTGCAACATGTACCTAGAGAAAGCCGTGGGAGCATGCTTTGCGCATTGTAATGCAGCGCGTGCACACTTTGCTCTGTTGCTGCCGACATGACAGTAGGTATAGCACGGTGAACATTTTTACACTTTCACCTTTGGCGTCGAACCAGGGAAAGATGAATTGGTGAATGATGGCACTTAACTTCACCTCAAGAAATTAATGATGCGGTTTATGAGGAAAAGTGTAAGTCCCGAGAATTTCTTCATTGATTTTATGGATACTTAGTTATTTACTTTCGATCGTTTGTTGGTTTCTGCGTAAACATAACAGGGAAAGTTCTGACGTGGTTTCGACGTAGTATTCCTAGTTTCGTTTTCAGATACTTGGACATTAGGTACGTAAAGTTTCTTACCATCTCTAAGCACGACAATCGGCAACGTATCATCGCCTCCAGCGTATCCGTGTATCAGGAGTATGTTTTCATGAGCCGGGTCCCAACCACTCTGTCGTAACCAGTCCAGACTACTTAGATCTACCTGAAAAAGAGTAGAAAAAAATCATTTTTTTTGTTGTTTTTAATTGGTCCCAAAATAGCACCCTGTGGACAACCCCTTGGTAAATCGTGACTTTTCCGTTGCGACTGTTCTGGTATCTTCGATCTGGTAGTTCGATTTGTTTGGCAGTAATGAAATGTTGATCTTACTAAAATCCTACTGATATTATTAATGCGAAAGTTACGATGTTTGGATGTTTGTTACACAATCACGCCAAAACGGCTGGACGGATCTGGATGAAATTTGGCATAGGCATAGGATACACTCCAAAATACAACGTAGGCTACTTTTTATCAACATACCAGGCGGAAGCTAGTATCTACATATAAGTACAATATATACTTACTTAAGTATAAAATTATTAACTGTTGAGAAAAATTGTGGGACGTGTCATTTCTCTCTCAGCTGTCTTAAGTTTTTTTTTAAATAATATGCGTTGTAATAAATTATAAGTAGGCCATAGAGAGATAAAGATAGTCACAAAGAAATAACACTTAAAGCACACGCCATAGGTACAATTCTTGATTAATTACCATTATTGCACGTTTCCTAGCACATTCTCTGTTGTGTAACATTTGTCATGTTTATGTTACAGAACGCATACTTACACGAATCCTAGTTACTTAACAACCAGAGGACAAGATTTTCTCTTATAAGCATTCACACAAAATAATGGTTACATTTAGAATAGTATAATACAGCCATCTGCATTCATAAGATTTGAACTGATCATAAGATTTATAGATTTGAAACTACCGTTATGCGTGATAGGTATTCAAACTAAAAACAGTTTCGGAAAAGATTTTTTAGATAGCTTAGCGTAACACCGGTATTCCACTAGATTTGGTTTCAAATTACCAGGTAATAAATTTAGATCGATTATCATTTGTCTTGAAGGAGAGAATTAGTATACAATTTAGACACGAGACAAACAATAATATCTACAATATACTTACAAATGGTAAGGTAGAATACAAAGCTATTGCGTTAAAACTGTACAAGGACGACGAAATAGTAAAATGTAGGTTTGTATCACGATTCTTGTATAGTTATTGTAAATTCAGTGCTACAGCCATGAATGGGAAGTGTGTGAGCGCAATAACTTATCGAGTCCCTGCAAGGAGTCCCCTCGAGGACGAGTAGCGGTATTTTGGGCGCATTCTTGAATATGCCGCATTCGCTACATCGTAATGAGAAAAGTGAAATTTAGTTCCTGCTAATGTCATGCGTTTAGTTACGAGTGCCACGCCATCCTGTGGTAACAATGGTATTTTGATATTACCTACAGACTTTAAACCAGGACGAAAAAATATACATAGGTACGATAATTTAGACGCTGCACAAAAACTTGAAGGACACTTCTCGTTTTACCTTGCACCTTGCAAGATAAAAGATGAAAGGGTCAGATAAGTGTTTTATCTACTTGGGGATAGGACGCATTTGGCGTCTCAACATGTTTTTCTTCATGTTGTAGTTCGGCAAACGAGCAGACGGTTTGCCTGACGATAAGCAATCAGCGCCGCCCATGGACACCAGAGGAGTTACGAGCGCGTGGCCGACCTTTTGGGGATTAAGAGGAGGATTAGGATTAGGGTTTGGAGATTTAGAGATTGGGGGAGGGAAATGATTTGGATTCCTTTAACCTCAATCTCACGGCGAAACACACCGCTGTGGTTGTTTCAGGCCAGTTATCTGTGAGGCCTTGGTATCACTCCGGTCAGTCCGGTCGAGCTGAGCCATTCGTGCTGAAGCATGGTTCTCCCACACATCACAAAACAAAACAAATGTTTGTTTAATCAGTAAAACTCAAAATATCGGTAGCAGCAGCACTCTTAATTAGGAATGTTTGACTAGCGAGCTTGATGACTCAAAAACGCGCAATAATAAATCGGTAAATTGTACAAACATAGACATTTCGTGACCACCACTGTAACTTAACGGCAATGCCAATATACGCATTAGTGCACTCTTGGTCACGGCTGATGAAACACGAAGGTGAACTGCTTTCGTTATTAATGAATAATGGAATACTAGGTACTTCGATACTTCAATTAAAATCTTTCTCGAGGATGCACAAATCTATTTAGATAATTTAGACTCATTTTTTAACCGTCCTTTGTTTGCTTTCCTTGCTTCTTGAAATTTGTCTTAGATAGTCACCTAGCTACTGCGCCAAATATGCAAAATTTTGGAGGTTTTGATGACAAACCTAATAGCTTTAACCCTATGGTACTCGTCTAAAATTTTTTTTTTCACAATTTTAAATGGGATGATCTCAGCATAGGTTCTCGACAGTATAGACGTATGCGTCAGATATTTAAAAATCATATCGTTTTAGAATGTAGGACCTTGGACAATGTACCAATAAACGCTTAGGTAAAACGAAGAGTGTAATGTTTTGTTTTCGTGTGAAAATCTACAGCTCCGATCAATGTTCTGTCTTTGGTTGTGTGAGACGAAAACGTAGAAGCAACACATAGGTAAGTATTATGCGGGACAAGCGCAATAAGGTACCGCAGCTTCAGCGTATTGCAGGAGATAGAAGGTTTTTTCAGGTAGTAAGAGTCTCATACTCGAGTCTTACCCTGGGCAAGAGAAGTTATTTGATGATGGTCCCCTCACATATCTATATGCAATATACGGAAAGGATAACGCAGGAAATAGTTACCTGTATTGTAGACTTGATGAAACCTGCCTCGTCGGCTTACATAAATCAACTATTTACAATACCACTGATTGTATTTTTCAAACAGTTTTTAGTTATAATCTTCTCAAAAGTTATATGGGTAATTACATATTCGTAATTTATTATGTAAGTGATGAGATATGTATGTGTTTTCCTAATGAGCCGGGAAGGCATTAATCATTGTTCATTACATTTATGCGGGCAAATACTTCTTGGAACAATCAATACATTGTCCGTGCTCTTTTTAATTTCACGATTTTCCTTTTCTCTTGGCATATTCCGCTTTTTTTTTAAAGAAAAACGTTCCCTCACACTAGTATTATCTTCCGTGTCTTGGGTACGTTTCAAACTTAGCCAGCCAAACCCAAACCAACTATTTGTGGATTAAACAAAGCGTTGTTTCGTGTGGGAATTGGACCCGCGACACGTTGCATAGCAGCTAGTTGCCCAGTCACTGCGCCAACTGTGCAGTCGAGACTTTTTTTACACGTTTTGCATATGGCTTACGAATTTAAAAATATTGGAAAGATCAGTCTGATTGACTTCGTCTGTTCCTAAATAAGTTCGAAAGATTTTTTACGATAAAAGTACTTAGAAACTTATTAATATTCGTAAAGGAAGCATTAATTTACCTAGGAACAATTACTACGTCGTATTCCTCATAGACAGTTCTCATTCACAATAGCACTTACGTTTTTAAAACGTAGCAAAAAGTTTGTAACAACTTATAGCTAAGGTTTTACTATCCATTGACTTGTGGGAACTTTGATGATCAACAATGCGTTTTGCGGATAATTTTTTCAATCTTCCTCTGCTATGTAGGTAAACATGAGTCCACAATGGCGTGTTGGTATAAATTATGCATATTTGCGTATTCATTAGTTATTTTGCAATGATAACATGTGAACGGATTGGATTGGATAATGCGGTTATGACACCTGGCATTCTTGGCAACTGTTGGTATTTGTTTTATTTTTTGTGATAGCACTATAAAAAGACTAAAAACAATAAATCTGAATTTCTTAAAACTAATTTTTAAGTTAAGGTTAAACGAGGGATGGTTTACGACCATTAAGCATTCAGTAAATAACAGGGCTTTCATTTCGTACTGTAACTATATACCCACCTAAATAACAACGAATCTGACGGATGCATTAATATCATCCGTATTCATGTTCATATATCGGTGTGCGTACCATAATGTTAAAAAAGTACAGAAATCACTTATAGTTCCTGTAATGCCCAGCAGAACTTTTTGGAACAATAACTAAATTAAATATAAACGAAAACATTTCCTCACCGTTCATACTTTTAGACGCTCATTTTGACGAACTAATCATGTTACCAAACTTTTCTGCGCTTAATATTTCATGCTTTATCAAGTTGAATTTTATGCAAGTTTCTGACATCAAACAATAAAACATAATAAGTAAGTACTTACAACATTCTTAACAGGGTCTGCTTCGGTATAAAGATGTAAGTTCACGTCCGGATCGGGACAGATCTCCTTATCCCGTCTCCACACACAGTCCTCGAAGGTAGCGTTGCCGAAAGCATCATTGTGGAGCAAGAGAGCTTCCTTGATCGGATGACGTTGGGATAAAACAGCTGTGTGGAAAAACAAAATGCCGTTATAATAATAGACTTTTATATATACTAAGTTTGGTTTATTTATGTGCCATAATTAGTAGATAAAAAATAATAATATGAGAATTGCAAACTCAAGCGCTAAGCTAGACATTATCAATTTACCCAGAATAGTTTTGCAATATAAAAAATGTTAACAATATTTCAACGATGATATGGTATGTGGTTTCGCCGCGATTTCGAGATAAAAAGTATGGAGACTATAATCTATTTCTGTAGCAAATTTCCAATCATTTCGATCAGTAGTTTTTACGTGAAAGAATAACAATCATCCATTCCATACTCACAAAATTTAGCGTTTATAATATAAGCAGAATATGAAACTTGAGGTATAGTTCCTATCGATAACAAAAGGAATTTTAAGGAAGTTTACATTATATAGATCATCGTTATGAATAGCAGTGACTGTCAGATTTGGTCCAGTATATCTTATGGTTCCTCATAAATGAAAAGGTGATTAAGAAGCTCAATTAATCATTTAAACATAGCTACTGTGTGGTTTACGGTACATTACTTATTCATAAGCAAATTATGCAATAGATGGCATAATTTGATGGTGTATTATGACATAACTTACAATTTGAGTTATGGATGGAGCGAGAGTCTAGTAGACAAAAATTATTGCAGTAGGTTAATACTTATGTTAACGTCAACTACTCGTGATAGTGGACCTTCTTTTTATTCTCCTCATTGGAGTAAGGGCAGATCTACCTAAGGACTTTTTGAGCTGTAGCCCATGGCCCTGTACCTAGATACACTGGCAATACCGTAAGTTCGGGTTACTTTGACCCAGGGAGGTAACTTTGATCCAAATTTTCGAACCAATGAAAAACGAATATATTGTTACGTGCCTGACGTCACGTTCCTGACTATGCGGGTTTGAGTTACGGGATTGGATGAAATGAAACACTAATACCGTTTTCAGACTTTCTGTTGCACTTAAGTTACAGCGTCCACGGAGTTAAGTTATCGGCGTTCCTCTCCAGCAGAGTCCGGCCGACTGACACAACTTTGCCGTTCACGCTGACTTAACTCACTTAACTGACTGCACTTCACTATTTCATTGCACTTCACTATTTCACTCACTTTTCTTCTTTTTCACTTCTTCCTTTTCTTCCGAATCGCTTTAGACTTAGAACTCAACTGCCAGCGGTGAGCCGCAGTTCCGCTTATATACCCCTGGTTCAGGTTCTGGAACATTCAATTTCGTTATTCTTTTTGATCGTCATGACTCCAGAACCTTCCAATAATTTCGTTACTCATTTTTATTTATTCTCCTTCTCGCTCTTTAATTTTTCATTTCTTTCACACAAATAATTCCAGAAAGTTCCACAAAACTTCTATCAACTAAAAAACTTCATGTTTTCGGCGGGACTCGAACTCGGGGTCTCTGTGGTGTAATCCACACGCCTTACCGATTACACCAACTCGTGTTGACAATTCACGACGAAATTTACAATCTCTAGGCAACGTTTGACAACCATCCATTGACGTCATGATGTCAAAGAGTTTGAACCACTTTTCCGTCACACTGCCCCCCTCTTAGATTCGCTCGTCCCGAGCATCGTTGCTGCCGTAATACCTCGCCAACCTGTCTATATGGACAACTTTCAAAGGGCTCCTTGAAGACTTCCGAATTCTGTAAGTAATGTCATTGATCTTCGTGACTATCTCATAAGGGCCTTCCCAACTCGGTTGCAGCTTCGGAGATTTTCCCTTCCTTCTGACTGGATTATGAAGCCAGACCAATGACCCCTCTTCAAAACCAACAGAATTGGCTCGTCGATCATAGCGCGTTTTTGCGCGATCACTAGCTTGAAGACCGGCCTCCCTGATCTGCTCGTAAATGTCCAACATTTTTGCCCTTAACTCGCTTATGTAATCGCTAAACTCGGTGCGAGTGTCGCCAGGTGGACAGCCCGATACAAGATCTGCCGGTAATCTCAATTCCCTTCCAAAATTTGCAAATGCAGGCGTCTTTGTGGTACTTTCATGTACAGCAGTCCGATAGGCAAGCAAGAAGAGAGGTATGTAAGTGTCCCAATCTCTCTGATGGCTGTCAACCACCTTTGCTAAGTGTCGCTCCAATGTTTGGTTGAAACGTTCAACCATTCCATCTGACTGTGGATGATAAGGGGTCGTTCGAGTCTTATGGATTCCCAAAAGTTTACAAGTTTCCTGAAAAACTTGGGATTCAAAGTTCCGTCCTTGATCACTGTGCATCTCCAAGGGCACTCCGAATCGGGTGAATACCTCGTTTACCAACTTCGTGGCTACAGTTACTGCCTCTTGATTCGGTATGGCAAAGACCTCCGGCCATTTTGTAAAATAATCCATAACCACTAAAACGTAGCGATTGCCCGAATCAGTGATTGGAAATGGTCCAGCGATGTCTAAGGCTATTCTCTCCCAAGGCATACCAACATTGTAGATTTTCATCGCCCCCCTGCTTCTTGTTTGTGGACCCTTGACAGCTGCACAACTAGTGCATTTCCGGCACCAATCTTCGACGTCATATTTGCAATGCAACCAATAAAACCTCTCCTTGATCTTCACCAAAGTCCTCCTAATTCCCAAATGTCCTCCAGAAGATCCATCATGGAACGCTTTTAATACATCTCTTATTTTTGAACGAGGCACCACCAATTGCAAATGCTCGTCCTTGCCGTTTGTTGATTCCCATTTCCTGCACAGAAGTCCGTTATGCAGCGTAAGGCTTTTCCACTGTGCCCATAAACCTTTCGTTACCGCGCTATATTGGGCGACGTCACTCCAACTTGGCTTGTTACCACTTCGTAGCCACTCCAGTATTGGTTTGATATCCGCATCTCTTTCCTGTTCTAATTTCATCGCATCATCTCCCCATGCCTCGTCAACAGTATCAGTCCTTATCACCTTTAGAAAAGCAATTTCCTTCTTAGCACAATGCTTGCAATCTTCCACGCATGGGCGTCTCGATAATGCATCTGCGTTGCCATGAATTCTTCCGCCGCGATGTTCGATTTCAAAGTCAAATTCCTGAAGTTGTTCCAACCATCTGGCTACTTGGCCTTCGGGATCCTTAAACTGAAGCAGCCATTTCAAAGCAGCGTGATCAGTTCTGATCAAAAATTTCCGTCCCAGTAAATACTTCTTGAAATGGTGCAGAGTTTTGACTACGGCCAGCAATTCCCTCCTGGTCACGCAATAATTCCTCTCCGGCTTAGATAGTGACTTGCTGAAGTAAGCAATAACCTTCTCCTGCTCACCATCGCGTTGTGAAAGGACACCTCCTATTCCAATATTGCTGGCATCCGTATCAACTACGAATATTCCTTTCGCGCTGGGGTATCCGAGAATTGGTGTGTTACAAAGCCGTTCTTTTAGTTCTCGAAAGGCTTGCTCACAATCCTCGTCCCAGATAAAGGCACGTTTCTCCTCTGTCAATCGATGCAAAGGCTTGGCAATGTCCGAGAATCCTTTCACAAACCGCCGATAATACGAGCACAATCCAAGAAATGCCCGAACTTGCGTTTTGTCTTTAGGTGTTGGCCATTCCTTAACAGCGGCAGTCTTGGCTGGATCAGTCTCAATTCCTCTCTCAGAAATAACATGTCCTAGATAATTCACTTCGCGCTTAAAGAAAGAGCATTTCTTTGGACTCAACTTCAAATTTGCTCCACGCAGCTTTTCGAGTACCCTTTCCAATTTTCTTAGATGATCGTCAAAATCCCGTCCAACAATGATGATGTCATCGAGGTAAACTAGGCAGGTTTCGCCCAGCAGTCCCGCCAGCACCTGTTCCATCAAACGCTCAAAGGTTGCCGGTGCATTGCATAATCCAAATGGCATCACCTTAAATTGCCAGAGTCCCTTCCCAGTTGAGAATGCGGTCTTTTCCTTGTCCTTGGGATCCAAATCCACCTGCCAATAGCCGCTTTTCAGATCGAGCGTTGAAAACCATTTCATGCCACTCAGTGTGTCAAGTGTGTCATCGATTCTTGGTAACGGGTAGCTATCCTTCTTGGTTACATCATTCAATCGTCGATAGTCTACGCAAAACCTCGTTGAACCATCTTTCTTCTTGACAAGCACGACAGGTGAACACCAAGGGCTAGAAGAGGGCTCTATCACGTCATTTTTCCTCATATCGTCAATCATTTCTTCAACCTCTTTCTCACGAGCGAATGGTATGCGTCTGGGCCTTTGACGAATTGGCATTGTATCACCTGTGTTTATTTTATGCTTCACCAAACCAGTTCGGCCAATATCACCATCGCTTCTTGAAAACACATCAGAGAATCGAAGAAGTAAATTTCTAGCTTTCATAGTCTCCACTTTTGTCAGACTTTTGTTTTCGTCTAAGATTTTCGTTACAAAGTCTATTCCCGTACTGTCCTTCTTCACAAGATTTTCCGAGCATTTTCTTATCCAGGCCACTTCTTCCAATACGCCCACAGGCTCTCCTTCTTCAATCGTAATTTTTGAATCACTGAAGTTGAATACCGGAATGCGGTTGACATCAGATGACCCCACGACAGTTCTTGCCGGTAGCCATGAGTTTACGTGTTCCGATTTATCAATCACAGCGCACCTTCGAGGCAAACTTCCTTCCCTCCTCCTAGGTAATGCAATTGGTACCAGAGTCTGTGATTTTGGTGCAAGAACAGTTCTTCTTAAACAGCAAACTTTTCCCAGGGTTCCACCCTTCATCGGAATTTCCTCAGTTCCACATATTAAAACTCCAGATTTTAAGTCGATGTTACACTGGTGCCCTTGCAGGAAGTCAAGTCCCAGGATGCAGTCATCCAGAATTTTGGCCACAATAACCTCATGTCGATAAACACGTTCCCCAATTTTGATTGTTACATGCAGTTTTCCACTTATCGGTATGCACTGGCCGGTAGCTGATTTCATTCGTAGGCCAACAATTGGTTTAAGGTGTTTCCTGATGTTTTGCCCGAGCAGCCGAACATTCATCACCGTCCTTGAAGCTCCAGTATCTAACGTTAGCTGACTGTTTTTCCCATTTACTTGAACGTCTATCACCAGAGTATTTCCATCGTTAGTTTGCTTGATGTAGATTGTTGGGGTTATTCCACTACCGGCCAGCGCCCACCCCGCAGCCCTGGCTGGATTTAGTTTTCCTGCTGGTCAGAAGTTGAGACCGCCGCGTCCTGGCGGTTCGCCTTCTTCGGGCAGTCGCTCCGCATGTGCCCACGCTCTCCGCATCCATAGCACATGAAGTTCCGACGGCGTGGAGGTACCTGCTCCGTTGTCGTCATTTCCCGCAGACGTAAGGTACGGGAGTTACCACGCACGGCTTCCACTTCCAATGCATGGGCCAGAGCTTCTTTCATGTTCTTGTGATGGCCCAGATGAACAGCAGCTCGTACTTCGGGGTCCCGAACACCGTCAATGAATGCTTGGAGAAGCGTGCCTTCAATCATTGACGGAGTCGACCGGAAAGCTCGACGCACAAGTTTCTCGATTTCCACGGACCATTGCTGTAGACTCTCATTAGCACGCTGAGTACGCTCTTTTAATTGCGCTCTGTACACGTGCTCGAGGTGGCTGTCTCCAAAACGTGCCTCCAGTGCGTCGAGGAGGGCACTAAAGCTGAGATCCCCACTTGCGCCGATAGCTTCCAGCACTGAGAGCGCTTGATCACGGAGGGCCAGGGTGAGGGCTGACTGTGCTTCCTTCTGAGTCCAACCATAAGCCTCCATAAGTGTCTCAAACTGTAGCTTGAACGCGGTCCAGGATGTTGTTCCGTCGTAATGGGGAATCTTGAGGCCTTTCGTTGCGCTAGAGGCCACATTTGGGGTGTCAAAAACGGCTGCAAGACGGCTTCGGCTCTTCAAAGGGCTTGGGCTTGCCACTTCCTGCTTGATTTTGGAGATCTCTTCTTCCACTCTCTCCTCTATCGCCATAACGCGATGTTCCAACTTGCCTAACCCTTCCTCCACTTCTTGTACCCGTTCGACAGCCTTTTGCAGTCCCTTCGTAAAATCCTTATGCATCTCTTCCAAGCGACGCGCTTGCTCCTCTTGGCGGCGAGCTTGATCCTCTTGGCGACGAGCTTGATCTTCTTTCAGCTCCCGAAGCTGTTCTGCCTGACAGCGTGCTTGCTCTTCTTGGCGGCGCGCTTGCTCTTCTTGGCGGCGCGCTTGCTCTTCTTGGCGGCGCGCTTGCTCTTCTTGGCGGCGCGCTTGCTCTTCTTTAAGCTCCCGCAGCTGTTCTGCCTGACGGCGCGCTTGCTCTTCTTGGCGGCGCGCTTGCTCTTCTTGGCGGCGCGCTTGCTCTTCTTGGCGGCGCGCTTGCTCTGCCATCATTTGCTGCAGCTGTAGCAGAAGATCCACCTGCACAGGCTTGGCTTCTGCATCGCTGGTTCGAGCTGCAGCACCCTCTTCCCTCACACGCTGCGCTTCTGACATTGAACGGGTACTCACTCTTCTTACGTCCTGCGGCACTAGCGGCATTTTTCTCCAATCCCACTTCTGACACCAAATGTTACGTGCCTGACGTCACGTTCCTGACTATGCGGGCTTGAGTTACGGGATTGGATGAAATGAAACACTAATACCGTTTTCAGACTTTCTGTTGCACTTAAGTTACAGCGTCCACGGAGTTAAGTTATCGGCGTTCCTCTCCAGCAGAGTCCGGCCGACTGACACAACTTTGCCGTTCACGCTGACTTAACTCACTTAACTGACTGCACTTCACTATTTCACTGCACTTCACTATTTCACTCACTTTTCTTCTTTTTCACTTCTTCCTTTTCTTCCGAATCGCTTTAGACTTAGAACTCAACTGCCAGCGGTGAGCCGCAGTTCCGCTTATATACCCCTGGTTCAGGTTCTGGAACATTCAATTTCGTTATTCTTTTTGATCGTCATGACTCCAGAACCTTCCAATAATTTCGTTACTCATTTTTATTTATTCTCCTTCTCGCTCTTTAATTTTTCATTTCTTTCACACAAATAATTCCAGAAAGTTCCACAAAACTTCTATCAACTAAAAAACTTCATGTTTTCGGCGGGACTCGAACTCGGGGTCTCTGTGGTGTAATCCACACGCCTTACCGATTACACCAACTCGTGTTGACAACTCACGACGAAATTTACAATCTCTAGGCAACGTTTGACAACCATCCATTGACGTCATGATGTCAAAGAGTTTGAACCACTTTTCCGTCACAATATGTTTGGTTCTCAATTATTATTGGTTAAAGGGTTTGGATCAAAGTTACCCCGCAGGGTCAAAGTAACCCGAACTGCCCCGTACCAATTTAAATTCCGAACATTTTAAAACATTTTATTGAAAAAATGGGATGAAATAGTTGATTTCTGACATGAGCCACGAAATTAATCAATAAACTAAAGAAGACTGATAGTAAAAGCTTCATTTTGTGAATAACACTAGTTAACTAATTTATTGGCATCCTGAATTATTGCAGTTTAGGGCCCCACAAATTCACAATCCGCCCATACATTGGAGAGGTTATACGATCTCCATATTTTCGTCAGTCGAATTGGAAATTACAGTTCAAAATTAAACGGATCAACGTCATCAGAGAGTTCCCTGTTCTCTGTCATGTCAGCAGTTCTAACTGTAGGAAGAATAGGGACAGTGGCTTAGTGATTATTAAATTTTGCTGTAACCACTTGGCATGAAGCTGATGGAAATCAACGAAAGGGAACGGATTGGGCAATTGTCACTGTGCAATGTGTATCAGAGTCTTGGTGCGCTAATGTTGCACGCTAGCAGTAAGAGTAATTTCTGTCGATGCACTACCTAGCTAATTAAGGTGAGTCTTAGTACGATTGATTTATATGCACGCTAAATGGAGTAAGCGAATTGTATCCTTTATAATAAGTAATAAAAAGTTATTTTAATAATTAAGTATTTGCTACATGTTACCTATGTGTATCTAAGTAATTAGGTAATTTTCTGGATATGTTAAAATAAAATTAAAACCTACTGAGTAGTTATTAAGTACTACAAATTTTAGGATATGGCTTAAATCTATAACATAATAAAATAACCATTATAAGCTAAGAATCTAACAAGGCTATTGCTTAATTAAATATCCCTATCCCTATCCCAAAACGAGACCGATTCTCAGTATTTTTTAAAGAAAAAATAATAATATATAATATAAAATAAGTAGTCATAGTTCCTCAACTTAAAAAAACACAGTTTAGGCCGAAAAAAATTTGGGAACTCAATAAAAATTACAAAATATTTACCAATAGCCGCTTCGAAATTACTAAACTAGGCTAACTAAGTATATTTATAAATAACAAAAGCCGAATAAACTGTTTTGCAAGCACAACACATGTTAACATACCTTGCGCGAGGATTAGTACGGTAGCGAGGCAGGTGACTTGCGCACGCGCTCGTTCACGCGCCATCCTTGCTGGGCACTGAGCGAGGAACTGTGTACTGACGGCCACTGGCAGTGGGGGCACTGCTTACCCCCGTACGCTATGCATATACTTGCCAAATACATGCATTGAATAATAATGAACTAGTGAAATGGGTGATGAACTTGACTTGTGAACTGGTGGCCTACGATGATATCTACCCTTTTAGGTATGAGGGTGTAAAAAGGATGTTTTTCAATAGGTAAGTAAAATCAATCAGCTAGTCCTTTATGCTGTACAATTTGAGTAGGTGTTTGTTTGCGATGACTATTCGATTTCTGTGCAGTTCAGTTCTCATAGTTGTAACCTAACCTAAACTGCTATAAATAACTACAGTTATAAATAACTAGCTACTCTCGTGCGGTTTCACCAGCTGCTCAGCTCCATTTGATCGTAGCGTGATGTTTTATAGCCTATAGCACTTAGGAACATTGTAGCTATCAGTGAAAGAATTTTGGCAATTTGACCAGCGGTTCCAAAGATTTACCCCTACATACAAACTTAGAAACATACAAATTTTGCCTCTTTATAATATAAGTAGAGTTATCTTTGAAACTCAATTATTGTTTTGCATTGCCTACAATTAATGTTTCTCTTAATATTATCGTTTATGTGTATTGCTATTTAACTGTCGTAGGCTCCTTTAGTTCGTAATTTTATAATATTACGCCCAAATCCAAAGAAGTCAGTTAAATTATGTGTAATTTTGTTAATAGAATTGATTTTATGAATAGATGGTATTTGAAAAATTACGATAAACATAACTACTAAATGTTTTTTTAAACGTTTTTTTAAGTCTCTCGAATACAGACGATTAATTTAATTTAATTCTAGCTTAGGTTAGTGCCTTCTTTCGAATAAGTAGTCTACTCTTATTGAATATCAACTATTATTCATACAGGTACTGGTATATTTTTACTTTTTGCATCTAAGGAACTTGTCATCGACAAATTTTAACATGTAAGTAGTTTTGACCTCGACAAGTCACGATCTATTGCTACCCAATGTTATTGTAATTGCAATGCTTGCTCAATCAACTCTAAAAAATATGATTTTTGTTCCACTACGTAAAGTTGAATTTATTTCTTAGTGCATAAGAATACTTAGTTTCATTAACTTGTAAACTTTGTTGTTATCACATTTCTGAGAATCGAAGGATCATTCGAACGAAGTGTATATTTAGCAATTTTGTTCTAGAATGGTTTTCCATTTTCAATCAAAGGTATGAATAGCAGAGAGTACCTAATCCCAGCGGGAGCGCCTGCGCATCGACGTCGGTTGTATTATTGTAGTGTTGATATGAGGCAAATGTCTATGTGTGCGCAAACTTGAAGTCAATGATTACTCGTTAATACAGCGATCGGTGTAATTGTGTGCGTGCACGCAGGTGAGATGGCGGCGCTAGAGCGGGACACCGCGCGCAAGAGCCTCCGCACAGGTAGAGCTGAGAGCCGCCAGGCCAGTCCGAGACATGCGCCCCGCGCGCGTCCGCGTTGTGCCGTCGTACATACGGTCACGCATAACCTGCTCTTTAAAAACATCATACAAACGTTTGTTTACTTTTTCATATCGTAACTCTAAAATAAAACATTTTGTCGTGCCTGAAATCAGTGTTCATTAGTGCTTTCTGTGAATACAAAGAACCACGGTCGAGTTAATTGCGCGAATGCCACGCTCTACAGCCTACGCAGCCGGCGGCGTTCCCCACCTCTGTTCATTCAAGGACCAATCGTTGAACTCATGCCATCTCGTCTCTCGCATCTACGTGATCTGTAAGATTTGGAAATGAGTTCCCAACATACAAAGCGATGTGTTGACTGAGTTGGTAACCGAAATCGGTTCCATCGACAATGTCAATCAATCACAACGCAGGCCAATTTAATAAACAGAAGCAACAGCAACTAGGTAAACAGGGCCCGGAACCGGTCAACTTTCCACCGCGTTATCACCCGCCTCCTCTAGCCGCAAGTGGGCCCAAGCTAGCCACTATCGACCCGTCCGCCAAGGAGTTCAAACCACCATACGCAGGCAAACCTATTGATCCCAGTAAATTACAATATCCTATAGTGGCACATGGTGCTGCCCCAGCTTCCTACAGTGGAGGATCCATTCAGTTTTTGAAATATCCTCAAGGTTATCCTCCAGGATATCCTCAACCATCAAGTGCCCTGCGTATGCCACGGCCTTCAGCAGAGGTGGTGACAAAAGCAGTTGTGCACGAACCAGTGGAACCAACTGCGCGCGCTAGAAGCGCAGACGACATCCAGAGAGCACAACGTAATATCGAAGAGGAACAGATTCATAGAAGGTCAGCTGACATGCTCAAGTTTACGAAACGTGTCGAACCTGAAGGACCTCGAGCATCAACCGATCAGAAACGACAGATTCAAGCGCTATTAGCACAAATAAAAGCGTTAAAAGAAGCTAATCGACGGTTGAGCGACGATAACCAGGAACTTCGAGACTTGTGTTGTTTCTTAGACGATGATAGGCAGAAAGGCAGAAAACTAGCTCGCGAATGGCAACGGTTTGGAAGATATACAGCATCCGTCATGCGACAGGAAGTATCTGCTTACCAGAACAAATTGAGACAGTTGGACGACAAGCAGCAAGAATTAATTCGTGACAATTTAGAGCTGAAAGAATTATGCTTGTACTTGGATGAAGAACGTGAGAGAAGCACATGTGTCAACTGTGGTAGAGCAGCAGGAAGGGAGAGGGACGACGGCGATGGTAGCAGCAGCGGTACGAATGCTGATGAAGGCTCACGCCCTGCGCCAGCGATACCAATAACACATCCTCAGCTCGCAGAACGGACAGTACAGTATGTAAGAGATTTAGAACAAAAAGTCCGGCGACTGGAAGCTGAAAAAGGACTTGGCAACGGAGGAAATGAACGTCCTGAGGCAGTGGTACGAGCATTACAAGTCCTGGAAGTTCGGGAACGTGTTGAACGAGAACGGAGAAGGCCAGCTCCAGACCTAGACACTGGAGAGCAGGCTCTAGTGCGAGAAATGTGCAACGTAGTGTGGGGCAAACTAGAAGATGCCCCACCGCAGGCTCCACCGCGCTAGAGCATAACATAAACAATGAACAGTTAACATTTCCTAATTTTTGTGTCAAAGTGAGTTTGTTAGAAGGAGGTGAGCGAGTAAATAAAAAGTTGTTCAAAATAAATGCAGATGGAATCCGACTTGATTGAGGTCAATCGTCCGCTGTCTCGTGACCTAAAGAGCAGAACTGTGTCGACCTTATAAGTACCTTTAAAGTACATGAATTTAGTTTACGTTGAGGCCCTTGGACACGAGTGTGATGTATTACTTGCCACGACTAAATAATGTAGCGGGAAACCGAAAAGTACAAAATTACTTTATGAATTTTATGTGTAAGTTGTTAGGTTTAAAGATACTGTTTATCTTGACTTAGACAAAGTGTTGCCTTATATTCTTGCTTATTAAATTAAAAAAACAACATAGATAGTGCAGAATTACGTAGGCAGAGTTCCAACAAAAAAATATTTTTGTCAAAAAATATTATAGTACAATTAAGTACATATACCTACTTGCTCTAATTTTATTGTTACACATAAACTTGTTAAAAAGTAAATATAAATTTTATGAAAATTATTTGAGAAATTGGTTAATTATGAGGCTATACATTAATATAATTGTCTGTGATTTTCCTGAGCTGGAATAAAGGATTTTGAGGGAAAGATTAGCTTCTAACTGCACTGAACTTGCCTTAGATTTTGTTGATAAATAAGTATTATGTTTTGATTGAATTATCATTTATTTTTTGTTAGCTTAAATTCAAGCTGTAATTGTATTTTAGAGTCTAGTCAGCCATTGATTCCCTCGTACATAGATACAGTACCTATATGTTATAGGTCCTTAGTACTAACTACTACTATGTTATTCCAGCTCTCTTCACACGTTCCATTTGCATAGCTTGCTTCAGTTTTGATTATAAATGTAGTGTGTTATTAATTTATTCAGACATGGGTGTGTGAGAAATAAAGCTATTTCTGTTTATTTTAATTTTCTTTAATTTTCTTTCTACTCTTTTTTCCTACAACAAATTTTTTACCTAACCACAGATTATATTGTTACATAATTTAATCATCCTTTTTTCATTTATTTCTTTGCATTTTTAAGTTCGATGGCATTTTAGGGAATGTCAATAAATTATATGTCTATTGGTTTGTTGATAGTTAAGTTCAATTTATTTTTATATTATTTGCAATTCTTAGGATATCTAATTAATTGGTGTAACAATGGTTGATGAAATAAAGGGTGAAGGACCAGAGGATGTTGATACAATTGGGGTAATAATACATCTACATAAAATTTTAGCTGAATAGGTGCTAGGTTATAGGTCAAAGAACCCTGTAAATCTGCTAGAAAACTACCTTGTTATTAGCCTTCTGCTGTGATATCAACAATAACGTTTGCTATGCAAGTGAACATAAAGTTTCTTGTTTCTGCAGATACTTGTTCCTCATAGGTACTTGTTACAAAACGTTGTGGTTTTACGCGATACTCGATACTTCAAAGGTTTCATTTATCAATTAACTGCGTAGCAATCAATTAGGAACCCAGGTTACCTGACTATCCACTAAAACTTAAAAGTTACTTGGAAACAGTAACAGGTGCTGGGATACATTCTAATTTTGAAGGGTGTTCTTAGGTATATGTAGGAAAACGAAACGCTGAGGGCGATAGACATGGAGAGGGTTGGGCACTCCTGCCAAATGGGGACTACTACACAGGGTGCTACTGCAGAGGACAGAGGAACGGGAAGGGTTTGTACGTGTTCAAAAATGCTGCCCGATATGAAGGTGAGTTGTTTCATAATATCCGTTATAATTTTTTTTTTGAAGGTTGGTATCTACTGTAATAGGTAGACAGGCCCAGAAGGAGATGGCGGGACGAACTTGACATCAACGACAAGGATGGGTTGCAGAAAGCTTTGTGCAGAGAGAAATGCAAGAAGGGTAGGAGGGCCTTTGCCGTGCTGTGGGACGGAAACGGTTGATAATAATACTTAAAAAAAGAGGTTGATACTGAGAAAGTCATAGTATCTATGTCCATGGCACCATGGTGAAAAAATAGTTACTAAAGAAGAGAATACGGAAACTGGTGTTAGTGCAATAACAAAATGTTTCACTGTGTGTACCTTACCTAGGTACTTCTATAAAACACCAATTGTCCTATTTTAAAATAACGTTCGATCTTCTAAACACTAGCTCTAAATCTGAATACGAATAACCAGCTTCTACCTTTCTGCAGATTTATCTGTCTTTGTAGGTTGGTTTACCTTCATGTACTGGGCTAATATTAACAATATCATAATTCTTAATATTTATAGGGGAGTGGCGCCGAGCCATGAAGTACGGAGTGGGGCGCATGGTGTACCCAGACGGCTCGCGTTATGAGGGAGACTGGCGACACGACGTCAAACAAGGATTCGGAGCCTACTATTACCCAAACGGGGACATTTACGAAGGCGCCTGGTTCAAGGGTAAACGTCACGGCCTCGGCACGTACTTCTTCGCAGAACATCAGATTAAATTCATGGGCACATGGGTCGAAGGAATGATTCAAGGTCCAGGGCAAATTATCTACCCTCGTTACCGCTACCATGGCTCTTGGCTAAAGGGAAAGCCTAAAGGTCCTGGGTGCTTCGTTTTCGACACGAATTGTATGCAACATGGATTCTATTTGCTAGTCAATGATCCAGAGTCTTTGGAATTTGGCGAAGGCGAAGAGGAGAAAGAAGAAAAAGAAAATAAGGATGAAAGAGTAGAAGAGGAAGAGGATGAAGAATTTGATGAAACAGCAGGTGAGACTGAGAGGACAGATAGGGATACCTAGACTTAGCACTTAGCTACAAGGTGGTATGAAAATGTATTTGGTGGGCAGGTACCTAATGAGATTTAGGAGGGATCAGTAGATTCAGATGTTGGGTTATAGAAGGTACCTATCATTATGTCAATTCGTATTAAGTACCCATTCAATCGTTATTATAATATTAGTCGATATGCCATTAAAATACGAAAAACATTGAGGATAAGGTCTGACGTAGGTGAGCAATTTCAAAATAAAGTGTACCCTGTTCTAAAATTGGATTTATTTTTTATATGCATATATTTTTTTAATTTTCCATAATATAATAGGAAAATATAGTTTAATATACAGAATAACAAAAAAGAACGCCAAATTCGGGGCATTTTCCTGATAATATCAAAACAAAACGGACTTTGTGGCGGAACTAGTTCCGTTATGTGACCACATTTAAAAGCGAAATTAAAGGAAAATATGTAATTAATAAGCCTTTTTTTATTTAATTGAATTAATAATACATGTATTTAATTGATATATCAAAAAAAAAAATAGCCGTAACTTCTAGCATTAATATAAAATTCCTTTTTTAAATTCGATTTTGTGACTATATTGCTTTTATTTGGTTATTTTTAAACTTTACTCCAAAAGCATAATATTTTATTTCATATTTGGTACCTTTTTAGAATAGTTATTGATTTACTGTAAACATATTTGTAACTGTATAAATTTAAAAGGTAAAAAATCACCTGATTTTGTAGATTTAATCCCCATCAATTTGAAGGGACAATCACAAAATGGAAGTCTTAAAATCATAAGGCTGTGAACACACATACTTTGTAAATTGCTTAATAATAAATAATTATTTATTGATAATTTAAAATTGTTAGCCTTATTTCTCAAATTGGAACTAGTTTTGTGTTTTAAGGAAATAATTACGGAAAAAAATTAAGAATTGAGAAGGTAAGAAATAAAACAATCATTTTAAATATGCTTTTATTTTTGCCTTTTTTAAAAATTATAAGAATAAACCCAATAGTAATTTAGGTAGTAGTAACATCAAGCTACCCCAAACTGTCAAACCCCAATTGGACATAAACATTATTTAATTGTAATAACGCTGAAAAACAAAGTTTGACTGATTGGGCTAGCTTGAAACTAGTCTGTACCTCTTGACATCAATCTCATTAAAATTTTGCAGGATACTGATTTATAGGGTGTCCGTTCCCCAGGCCAGATGTTGTCGACAATGGTCATTTGAATCTTATAGATAATTAGTTGAGCAGCTTCTGTAATTGTTGCGCACATTTTTAAATTTGTTGCGCTTATAGTTTTTTAATTATTTCACAAAAACATTTCCTGCTGGCGTAACGTTACCACAGCCAGACCTTTTTCTTTCTAATGGGAATATTTAAATAAATATTAGCTATAAAATTAGTTGTCTAGATAAAGTAAATGTTGTGCCTTATTTTGTATTTGTTCTTTCTTCGGTTGCGAAGTTATTCGAGATTTTGCTGCGGTAACGTTTTTGGTTTTGCTAGATCTTTGAAATGGTTAAGCGGATTCTTGTCATATTTTGTACACGACTTCCGAGGACTTAGTTTAAATTTGTTGTGCAATAACAAAACCAAAATAATGCATATTTTAAAGGTTTTTTCATTAAATAGAAAAACACTTCAATTGGCCCCAGCACTCTCAATAAGAAGTCTAAAGACTTACTATAAACGTAATTTTAAAGCTTGTAACTGCCTTCAAATGTATGTGAAGTTTCATTAGTATCCCGTAAGTATTTAACAAGTTATGATGATATTCAGTTCTTCACGAGCACGGTCTTAATGCACGCGGTGTTATTTGGCCACTGGATTGGATATATGAACTGAATGTTATGTCAATAATTAGTTGTTTAGATCAGTTGTATATCAGTAAAATTTCAGCTCAATACATTGGATAATTAATGAGATAATACTATTAAAGTCATTAGGAAGTGAATGACCGTGGTAAGCCGACCAAGTTTAGGTGGTTACGAAAAAGCGAAAACGCAGAACATTATGGTACCTTCTAAAATATGTAGGATAGTGTTATAAATTTAGTACAGACATGTACAAAAGTTTAAAAAAAACTACATGATTATTCAAGATTTTTTATTGAAAGGTAAAATAATCATTTCAGTTGAACTTTTACTCCCTTACATATAAAAACTTGTGTTGCTTAGCAACCGATTAAACATCACCCGTCCTTGTCATTTCTATTTCAAAATGCAGTTCAAAAATCATCCAAACGGTTACAAAAGTAACCTTCTGGCAAGACTGAGTGCGTTATGCAAACAATGTATTACCCCTTCACCCCACTCCTCCTGCGACCTACCGAACGGCATGCTCTAGCGGTGATTTTTGATAATTTTGTGAAACTGGAAGATAATGTTTTCTTTCATATTATTATTATATAGGTATTTAACAGTGTACGCGTCTGTACCAAAATTGTAAGGTGTATTATACTAATCATTTCAAAAGATAGTACAATGTTCTGCGTTTTCGCTTTTTCGTAACCACCTAAACTTGGTCGGCTTACCACGGTCATTCACTTCTTAATGACTTTAATAGTATTATCTCATTAATAATCCAATGTATTGAGCTGAAATTTTACTGATATACAACTGATCTAAACAACTAATTATTGACATAACATTCAGTTCATATATCCAATCCAGTGGCCAAATAACACCGCGTGCATTAAGACCGTGCTCGTGAAGAACTGAATATCATCATAACTTGTTAAATACTTACGGGATACTAATGAAACTTCACATACATTTGAAGGCAGTTACAAGCTTTAAAATTACGTTTATAGTAAGTCTTTAGACTTCTTATTGAGAGTGCTGGGGCCAATTGAAGTGTTTTTCTATTTAATGAAAAAACCTTTAAAATATGCATTATTTTGGTTTTGTTATTGCACAACAAATTTAAACTAAGTCCTCGGAAGTCGTGTACAAAATATGACAAGAATCCGCTTAACCATTTCAAAGATCTAGCAAAACCAAAAACGTTACCGCAGCAAAATCTCGAATAACTTCGCAACCGAAGAAAGAACAAATACAAAATAAGGCACAACATTTACTTTATCTAGACAACTAATTTTATAGCTAATATTTATTTAAATATTCCCATTAGAAAGAAAAAGGTCTGGCTGTGGTAACGTTACGCCAGCAGGAAATGTTTTTGTGAAATAATTAAAAAACTATAAGCGCAACAAATTTAAAAATGTGCGCAACAATTACAGAAGCTGCTCAACTAATTATCTATAAGATTCAAATGACCATTGTCGACAACATCTGGCCTGGGTAACGGACACATTTATAGGAACTCCGAAGTTTATAATCACATAACATTTGAGATCAATAGGTATTATAAAATTAAGGCCATATTTGGTTACTTTGAATAAAGTTGTGTCAGCAAACTTCAACCTGTAAATTAAAAATTGAAATTTCACATTACATTATTTCGGTCAGTAGGGATTTATATTATGAACTAAGCTTTATGCATTCCGACCTGTAGTGACTTGACGTTCCGTTAAATGTGACCATAGAATAAGTCACACAACGGAGGTCACATAATGCTACCTTCTTGTAGTTTTAAATTATTTAAAAATTACTCACCTTACTTAGCACTAATAAGTAATTAAGAATCGAATACCTATACAAATTGTGCAATTCGTCAACATTAACAATAATCAAATAAAGCGATATAAAACAGTAAAACTTGGTCACATACCTGAGCAAAGAAATTTAAACAAGGAGCACTTCAACAATAACGTCCGCACATCTCACAGATTAGTTTCACAGTGAAAGCAAAACGCGTCTGTCGATAAAGGACGATATATTGTGTTGCCATTTCATGCCAAATATTTTCCATTATAGAATAATTTGTGCTAAAACACGCGGTCACAAGACGGAATTTTCCGGTAAGCTTAAATTTTCGATTTAAATTCATATTTAATTTTAAAATAAAATATGCAAAAAAATATATCTTTGACACCTTTAACTGATAAATACGACTTCTAAGTATTTAAATTGTATAAAGAAATCACTCTCAAAACGGTTTTTTTTTTTTGAAATCAATCATTATCTGATCTTAGTTGGGAAGGGGACACATAAATTTGATGGTCTTTAATATTTTAAAAGTTTCGTAAGTTTTTTATTTATTTAAGTAACAACAAAACGACATTTTTTATAAATATTTAAATATATTTTCTTCTCACTTAAATTAATATATGCAGTTAAAATTTATTCAATCTCAAAGAAATAAATGAACAAAAGCAAGGGACAAGGCGAAATCCATGGGTACATTTTTTTTTGAAATTGCTCAGGTATGCGTAAAAAAATGTGACATTGTGTGAAAAGGGGCGGGATCTAAAATTTTTGACACCGCATTTTAAAATTCATTAGGTACCTAGGTACAATCTATGTGGCGTATTTACCGATGTAAAAGTAGTGTTAAGATTTTAACTCTAAATTTGAATCTGCTGTTTAGGTGGGAAGGCATTATATTATTATCTACTTATTTATGTAAATGCAAGCAAGTTTTTACACGTTTTATTTCGTCGCTGGGGTCATTGTCCCGGAGCGACCTCGAAATAATTGTAGCAAAACGGGATTAGGTAAATGTCTAGTCCATCTAACTTTCGTGTATCAAGAAATGCATGAATTTTAATTTATTTTATGAATATTATCATCATAGTCGGACGTTCCTAATATTTGAGACAATTTTCTTTTAAAACTAGCTAAAGGCTTCAGAGGTTTTCTTATCCCACCTATTAAGATTTTTCCCTGTAAGTTACAGGTGCTAGGTAGGTCCTAAAATTACATGGTAGGTACATGGTCGTACCTACATGGTACGTGTAACAATTTGTAAATCACACTCGGAGGTTCCGTAATTATTATGGGATTGCATTCATTATTCCGTAATTATTAAGTAAACTACGGGATTCGGACCAGAGACGCGTTTTTATTATACGTAATACGTAAACTATCCGCCTCTTGTACGAGCAGCTTGACTGCTTCGTGAAAAGAGGAGACGACTTCCCAGTTCCTTTCGCTCCGCACCATGGCCTCGAATAAGGCTGGCTATGCAGTCGGATTTTTTAATCAACAAGCAAACTAACATACTTATTAATTCACAGGTAAAGTAGCAACATGGCGTGCAAGGAACGTCACAGCTTATTTGGCGGACTTCCTACCACAAGAGCCAGTTCCATTGCCTGTACACGATTCAGTACCTTCCCTTAATGACGAAAGCTGCGTCATTACTGATGAATTACAGTTCGATCTACCTTCCGTCTCACCCGAAGACGAAGGAGGCGATGACAATGATTCCTGGCTCCTACATAGACAACAGTTCCTTGAAGAAACGGAACATAAGGATGGAGATAAAGCTTGAAGTTATCTTTCATGAATGGTCTTTATTACGTTCAGTGGATTGTATGTTTTATTTCAATAGAGGAAGAGTTTAATATGGAAAGTATTTGTTCTATGATAGTGCCTAACTAATTATGTTTTTAATGCATGTAGTAGTTGCATTGTTATGTATTATCATATGTGACTGGCAAACTGAATCCAGTTATGAATCCGGGATGTTTCTTAATCCAAAAAATATAATGTTTGATAACTTATATGTATAATTATATGATAAATATAATTTTGTTTAATGAAATGCATAACCAATTTCATTTATATTTTGTTGCCTATCTGAGATATTAATTTGTTACCATCTTGATGTCAATAGATAAAATAATTATTGTGGATATCTTCAAATGTAATTTGAACAAAATGAGAAATTTGATAAAAGGTTGTTTAAATAATAAATTGCAAATTTAAGTCTTAGATTATTTAATTTAAATAGCAAAATAAAATTACTTCTACATTCAACTTATCTTGTGCCATCATTGAGAAATGAATGATTCTCATTAAGATATAATTGTATAAGGCAGGTATGTACACTGCTGTATCATAAGACAATATTAAACTGTATTAACATGCATAAAGTCATTATCGAAAAGCTATATTTCTGTTACTGTAATAACTTTAAAGGATAAACTTTCTTACAACTGTAAGGTTCGGGAAACCAATTCCGAACTACAATGAAACACAAATATTGCAGATAGTTAGCAGCCAGTACACTTGAGCAAGTAATAGACTAGCAATATTCTATCAAGTAGCATTCACAACTTAGTTCCATCCCCACAGTCCTGCTGTGACGAACAATCCAGTAACCAATTGCTATAACAATATTTAGAACTATCACTAGCTATGTCTATTAAAAGTAGGAAAATTTTTTTATTGCCTTATTTAAACATGTAAAAGTCTTTGTCACAAGGGTGAAAACGAAAATTTTAAACCTATTGCAATATGCACACTATTACTGTACAACATATTCGTGCTGTACAATTTGTGGAGATATTATGGTTGCGGGTTTGCCGTCGGGTTGTTATTCGACGAGGTGTTACTTTCAAAGGTGCCCTTATTCTTCAGTAAATACGCCGCTAAATAGTCGATGGGGTCCGGAGGCCTTTCTTTAGCTAGTGCAGACAGACCCTGGAGTAGAATAGGCACAACAGTCTGGTCCAGATACTGTCGAGTAGGAAGCGCGTTCAAATCAATCCTGGATTTTCGGTTGGCGTTTGAGTCGTTCTCTTTTTCCATAGCTATTATTTTCTGAAATAAGCAATGATCAGGTTAATTTGATTTAAACTAAGTTGTTTCTTATAAAACAGAATTTCGTTGCTAGGCAAAAGAAACAATACTAACCCTTACGGATTCAGGTACCTTGGACGGAGGTTGTTCTTCTTTCGGTCCTGTAGTATTTTGTTGAGATTGGCGATTTAAAGAAGACTGTGACATCGGTTGCAACTTTCAGTTTAACATCCAGTATACGATTATTTATTATGCTACTTTTATCCAGTACTAACACGTTAAAAAACTTTACGCAGACACACCAAGATCAGTGAATTGAAATGTTTATTTTCAGAATGAAGTGTCAAACTTCTAGATTTTTTTTTTTTAATATTATTTGTTCCTTGGGAACAGGCTAAGGTCCGAGACCATACCGCCTAGTCATTAGTTTTGTTTTTATTAAAGTGTATTTTACTCATCCATATTTTTTTTAAGTTATTCATTTGTTTTCAATCCAAGATTAAGTCATTAGTTTTAGTTAAAATCATAAGTAGAGTTAGTAAAGTATAAATTCATTCGTATATTCAATCCTAAGAAACTCTAGCGGGCTGTCACAATAGGTAATCTCCACAGAACAAATTGTAGGTATGTTCTGTTCTGTGATAGATAATGTCACTTGTCAGTCACAATTACCTAGTCACTAAGTCATGTAAAAGGTGCTAAAAACTCAACAGTCGACGTGAGTCGACACGTGGTCAACCCATTGAGATAGAAAATATATAGAGGCGCCGTGTTACTATAGAAGTATACATGCTTATACAAATATGAGGGAAATATGAAACAAACTATGAAATATCATTTTTTCTCACTCTTTCTAAGGCAATAATTGTATTAGACAAAAGGGACAACAATATTTAAGTTGTTGCTTAATATGGAAACAAATCATTTTGACATTAGCAAAGTTGTTGGTAAGTGCCATGTCCGCCATCTTAAGCGCTCAGAGTACCTGAGTTTCATGGTAGTTGTCCTGTCAAACGGTTGTATAAGTTTTAAATTATTGCGGTTTTTCAGTAAATTACAAAGAACCATTTTTTTAAACTTCAAATATATATAGTGAAACAAAAAAACAATATGCCTGTGTGTTGTATTGTGCAGTGTGGTGCAAAAAAGAACGAAAATCAACCTCAATTGTCTTTGTATAGGTTAGTAAACAGTTTTCATCAAATATTACTTAGAATAATCCACATAGATAGAAAAAAATGTCACGGATACTTTAATCTATTGCCAAAGTATATATATTTACTTTTATTTCTGTCTGTGAGACAGTTTTAGTAAAATATTGTTGTTTACAATAATATGTCAATATGGCATAGTTACGTACCATTTCACAAAAGTATCGATATAATCTCCCATTTAAAATTCAACATATACTAAATAATCTATTTTAACAATGGATGTTTCCGCAGTTTTGTGTAACGCTAAAGTAAGACGTCAGTATTTTGGTATTGGTTTTAGTTACATAAGTAGAAGTTCAAATTATCATGTTTTATAATTATACGGGCGCGATTGACAGAGCGGCGTTGGCGACGATCCCAGTGCGACCACCAAGCGTAATAATAAAAAGTGAGATACATACAATAAGATTGACTTCACTACATATCTATTTTGTGCTAACGTAGTTTCGAAGATATCATCGTTTAATCAGACGCGCCGAAATTGTGCGCGAGCACTTCACAAATACCCACAGGTTTTCCACATATATAAAGATAAACATTTAACAAACACTATCTTTTTCTATTTCACCATTCCATTAATCGCTGGTCATAAACACAGTCCTATTTTTTTAAAAGACGCTTTAGGTACGTTGAATTATATGAATACAAATTCGACTTGAGAAAATCATTAGCCAATCAAGAGACCAAGTTAACCCCGGGTTCCGGGCTCTAGCTAGGCCGACGGCAAAGTAGGAACAGGAGTTGATTTTAGTCAGTAACGGTCTGTCCCGAAAAAGGCCGGAGATGACATTAGATGATTTCCCATAAAAAAATACCGTTAATCAGCTGGCTAATCCCTAAAACTATACCTACGTAGAACTTTTACTCAAATTGTATCGATACTCGTTAAATACTTAGTCGGCACAACCCTAGCAACGGCAGCCATCTTATGCGACATTTTGGATTGTAGGTAGGCACCTTTTTTTCGTAGGTATTTCAAGTCCATATATTTCCTATGTCAATGGGTCAACCTCACTCAAACAAAATAAATAAATAACAAACGTGAATGAAAAACAATAAAATTTTTCCAAGCAAACAAAACCTATATACAATTTTAATTCAACAATGCTAGACAGAATACTATTTATTTACATTTAAATTTGTTCTACCGTACTAATTATAAATTTGTACAAAGCTAGATAAGTTGCATTATTTACAAGGAGATCCTGAATGGAGCGCGGGACTAGATTCGAACACTTATAAATTTTGATTAGCTCATCCATTAGCACAAGGCGCTGAATGCCAAAGGATGGGCAACTAAAGAAAATATGATCCAAGGATTGCTCTACCTCAGTATCGCAGAAATCGCAAGCCGAAGATTGTACCATTCTAAGACGATATAGATGAAAGTTTAGACGACAATGACCAAAGCGGAGCCTCAAGATGGTTGTGTAAAATTTCCTACAAAGATAACTATTATTTTGACAGAACCATGGTTTGGAATTTATTGAATTGTTAAGTGTTGCATACCATGATCCTTTATTCTGTATTTGTATTGTATGATGTTTTGTCCACACATCTAATAACCTTTTCTTTAAAAGAGAAACAATATCTGAATATGGAGTAAAAATATTAAGTTGGCAACTTGAATCAGGGACATACTCTGCAGAATTTGTTATTGTTCGAGCTAAGAAGTCAACTTTTTCGTTTCCTGATACACCACAGTGTGAGGGGACCCACATAAAATAAACTTCAAAACCATCCCTAAACAGATCTAACCAACTTTGTTTAATAGAAAATATGAAATAATTAGTGTTAGCATTCAATTTGTTATTTTTAAGATTTTGTAAAACACTCATGCTATCACTAACTATGACCCATTTATAATGACCACCATTTTTATGTTTTATGTGTTTTAAAGCTGCAAGAATAGCCACAGCCTCAGCTGTGAATATACTTGCATTAGCGTTAATTTTGTAACCAGTGCCTAAATTCAATTGCTCATCAAACATTGCAAAAGATACAGCCGACTCAGTTTTCGAACCGTCTGTGTAAATGAAATTGAAACCACTAAATTCAGTGAATCTAAAATAAACATCTTCTTTACAGTTTAGTTTGCTATCAATAATTATGTTAATTGCAGGAAATTTACTTTCAAAATCACCCTGATAACAGGGCAGCAACTCTGACTGATAAATATGCAATCCTTTAAGAAATGTATGAAATTGAAGAAAGCCCTGAAGAAAATAAGGAGATTGATGAAAAGATACAGAAGAAGATCGTGTTAAATAAGACAAAAGGTAATTATTACTTTTACTGTAAAGTTTTAAAATGAACTTTTCTTTTAGAAAAGAAAACCTGATATTCATTGGCGGCAGATGGCACTCAGCTTGTAGTGAATTAATTGGTGTGCTTTTAAATGCTCCAGTAATAAGCCTCATACTTTTATTTTGAATTTTATCCAATAAATCTACCAGATTACTATTACCAGCGAAACAAAGAAACCCATATTCAAAATGACTTCTTATAAGAGATTTGTATAATAATAGTAATATTTTAGGGTCAGCACCCCAAGATGTTTTACAGAGTGTTTTTAAAATATTAAAAGCTTTGTTAGCTCGTATGGTTAATAAATCAACATATTTATTCCATTTAAAATTTTGTGTAAAAATTACACCTAAAAATTTTGCCTCATTAGAATGAGGAATTGGAATTTTGTTATAGCATACTGCAGGACCACAACTATCTGTTTTTCCGAACAATACCACTTTCGATTTTAGAGGATTAATATCAAGGTTTAAATAAGAAAAATATTTATACAACCCTTCTAGCGCCTTATTTACAACATTATTAACATCAGATATTTTTTTTCCAGATGCATAAACCACCAAATCGTCAGCAAATTGCAGATTTTTAACCTCAGGACCCAAAATTAAATTAAGCCGACGTATGTACAGTACAAAGATCAATGGAGAAAGTATACCACCCTGACAAACTCCAACAGATGCAAACCTTGGACCATATAATCTAGAGTTATATTTTACAAATACTTCTCTATTTGTTAAGAATGTATGTATCCAGGAAACTATTTTGCTTGGGATTGCAATTGACAATAACTCCGAACAAAGAACATCTATATTGACACTGTTAAAAGCACCAGCAACATCAAAAAAGACAGACATCAAAAAATTTCCATTATTTATACTATTTACAATATCAAGCTGAAGCTGACAGATACTTTCACGTGCAGATGTACCCCTTCTGAATCCAAATTGATTAGAAGGTAGGATATTATTTTTCTCAACATAGAATTCTAATCTTTGTTTTAAAAGTTGTTCAAAAACTTTACCAACACAAGAAGTTAAGGCAATAGGGCGATAGGAATCTGGATGAGAAGTAGGTTTATCTGGTTTTAATATGGGCACTAAACAATCAGATTTCCAAGAATTTGGTATTTTATTATTCAGCCATAAATAGTTCAAAACTTCTAAAAGTATTTCAAAGCTATTTGAATTAAGATTTTTAAGCATAACATAAGGAATACCGTCTAAGCCAAATGCAGTGTCTCTTCTGGAAAAAACGGCAGACTCTAATTCCTTCAACGAAAAAGGCTTAACCAAGAAGCTATCGGAAGAATCAATTGAACTGGACAGGGACGAATAACACTTGTTACTGACGTAGTCTGGGGTGTACTTTTTTAAAAATTGGGGGATCCAGCTGTCATCATTTTTACTATAAAAATATGTTTTGTTATATTTACGCATAAAATTCCAGATTCGGGATATAGGAGTACAGCGATGAAATGAGCTACACAGTTTGACCCAACTATTAATCCTCTCGGTTTTTAAAGTAAGTTTTTTAACAGCCTGAAGTCTTTTGAATTCCATGTAAGTTTCATCTGATGGATTATTTTTAAATTTAAGGTATGCTAGTTTTGATTTATTAACTACCTCAGTACATTTTTGGTTCCACCATGGCAAAGGTACCTTTTTAAAAGACTTTCTAACAAAATTACTATCCTTGGCAAGTGAAACACTTTTTGGTATTGATTTTTGAACAGCCAAATCTAATATTTTGATGAATTCATTATACGCATCCAAAGGCGTAAAATCCTGGGCCTGAAAGTTGGTCAGTAAAAAGTCCACCTCCTGAGCATAAATTTTCCAATCAACCGATTTAAAGCTGTAAAAATTAGGCAGGTTTTTACCAGTTTGTACATTATTACTTACACTATTATTAACAAAAATGTTTATCATTATAGGTAAATGATAACTGCCGAGAGGATCATTATATACCGACCAATTAGAGCAAAGTGCCAGTGATGGAGAAACCAAAGTCAAGTCTAAAGCATTCGGACGCCACGTCAATGAACCAATCGTGGTAGCCTCACCGCTATTCAGAAGGACCAAGTCATTTTCATCAATTACTTGCAAAATATCTCTGCCTCTAGGATTAGTAGAATTACATCCCCAAGATGTATGATGAGCGTTAAAATCGCCTGCAAATATAACTGGCTTAGGTATGGACTTTATTAAATTTTCAAACTTCAATTTATCAAAGGCTGGAGAACAATTAGTTGGACAATAAAAACTTACAATACTAATTTGTTTATTTTTTACAGTAATATTTACACAAATATTTTGTAAACAATTGTCATAATAAGTATTAATTTTATTATATTTTATACTTTTATGTATTAAAATGGCTACACCATTATGTTTACTACCAATGTCATTTCTTTCAATTTTGTAATTTTTTATATTGAAAATCTTTTGGGGTTGTAACCAGGTTTCAGAAATAATACCTATGTGAATATTGTTTTCATTTAAAAATTGTGTAAGTAAAAACTTATTACTAATGATGCTTTGGGCGTTCCATTGCATTATATTTATTGTGTCCATTATTTGGAGGGAGTATGATTATTTCGGAATGTTTGATGTAATATTTCTTTTATTGATATTGAATTAATTGGTTTATCTTTTTGTTGTAAGATTATTTTAGTAATTGCTTGGGTCAGTATATTCATAAAAGTATCTGATTTGGTTAAATTTTGTATTTGCGTCTCTAAAGTTTTAGCATGTAATTGTGGAAAATTGGTTTCTTTAAATAATTCTGAATATTTAATAGACATGGATTTTATTTTATTTTGTTCTACTTTTAATTTCTTTTGTGGACACACATTGGAGATGGCAATATGATTACCTCCACAATTTGCGCACTTTGCATCATTTTTTGGGTCTTTTAAACATTTTTTATAATTGTGTCCCTCTGCACATATTGAGCAAACCTCTGTGTTTCTACAAAACTTTGCAATATGTCCAAATCGCAAGCAATGCAGACATTGTTTTACCGGAGGCACATATACGCTTACTTCATGTCTCCAATTATCAAGGTACACATACTCTGGCAACTCTGTTGAGGCAAATGTGACTGCCACCGTTTGGGTAGGTTGGAACGATGCTATACCTTGCTCAGTTCTAACACGTCGCATGAACCGACGTACCTGAATAATATTGCGGGAACTTCCTATCAGAGAAAAAATCCTTTCATTTGAGAGCCCTATCGGGACAGAAGTAAGTACTCCAGTGACCTCAGTATCAGACGCCGGAATAGTAGCTTTTAATTTTAATTCGTCTAATAGTTTTTTATTTTTGAGAAAAACATTTGCGTTGTTGGACAGATCGAAAGTAATAGCTATTTTGAATTTGTTTATTGGTCTCAAATGCAGAACACCTGTGACACAATGTTTTCTAATGGCGTTTGAAATAGCCAGACGATCTTTGTCAGAGAACTGTTGCTTTTCATCTATATGTGTAAGAAATACGATATATTCAGTTTTTTTACAAGTTTCTGGATACCGCCTGGAGTATCCAGGGACCTTAAAAATTTGGTACTTCCTTGTGGGATCTTCAAACTCCGACGCCTCGGATGAAGAGTCGCTTTGAGTGTCGGCGGCGGCGGCTCCGTCAGGTGGATCCTTTTTTCTTTTTTTCACCTTGCCCATCTTCTGGTAATTTAATTTTTTTTATAAATATATACAAAACCAGGTATTTACAAGTACTTTACACGATAACTATACAAAAAAGATATTTAGTATTTAATTGAAATAAAATATTTTTCAAAAGGCGCCTTTTCTATTCAAAGCTTCCCGCCCTGGTCCTCAAACTTCTAGATGATCCGGATTGTCTATGTCATATAGTTCATAGACAATAATCAAAACTTACACAGGCTTTACTATGAGTCTTTTAGGACTGGAATTCAAAATGAAGAATGCTAGAATTTTTATTTGACGATTGGTCGGTTTTATTATTGATGACGATGTTTTAATGGCATGTTTAATTTATGTTTTTCTAAAATACTAACATTTTTTTTACTTCAAGTGAACACAACAACTACAACAGAAACCTTTCAGGGTTTATCTTTTATGTGTGAAGACGAGCGAAGGAAATACGACTTTTTTATAAGTCAGTCTCATCAGTCAGTACATAGGTACTCAGTAATCAAGTTGCGGTTTTGTATGAATGAAAGAAAAATGGGGCTTATAGTACGCCAAACTGCTTAGAAAATATACATTATAACTTATTTAATTTTTCATTTTCATTTTGATCTTACCACTGATGAAATGAAATATGTGACTGGTGCACACATCTTTAAACATTAATGACCAATTTAAATATTACAAAATTATATTAGGTAATTCATTTATCTAAGTTGGTCAGTTCCGTGGTCAGTTCAGATTGATATTATTAATAAAATGACAATAGATGGCAGCACAGGTATGTAATATTTTTAACATAATTTAATGAATACGTATAACCAAGATCACGTCTTTTTCCATAGTAGAAGAGATATACCCAGTTATACGTTATATAGACTGACCATTGAATGTGTGGAAAGATTTTGTAAAGGAATTTAAATGCTGGTTTTGTGTTGACGAGTAACAGTTGGCTGAGTAACTGCCTAGAGCTGGCTACTAAGCAATTACTTTGCCTTTCGGAATTGGTAGGTCAGGAGAGTCCAGGTCATCAAGAGAAGTCTTTTTTTGGAACGAATATTGAATACCTTTATAGGAAAAGTTAAAAATAATAACAATCTTTTAATCAAATTCAAAAAAATCTAATCATTTCGGGTATTTTTTTTCCATCTTCGATTTTGTCTCAATCGTTTAAGTCAATTTGCAAAGAAAAACCCACTAGAATTGCATTGCCTAGGAGCTCCTGACCCTTTTCAGTGGTTTCTTCAACCCAGCTCCAGTAATAAGGGCACTGTTACTGTCACATGTCATATCCTCTGACACTTTCGTTGGCTGCATGCTTGGTGCAGCCGTGGGCAATGAACGCTCTAACAATGTGTCGCAGGTACGATTCTATACTTTAGCGGATCATAGTATTAAGACATGTTCCGGGTGAGAGAGATGTGTGTTTTTCAAAAAATCCTAGTGTGGAAGATAAAAAAATTGGGCTTACGTCTAACCTCCATTGCGGTATATATTGTTATTATTTTGGTTAATTGTCGAATTTTCTGATATTTCGTGTTGGTATTGGTAACACGACACATCAAACCTAGCCCCGGAACTGCAATTTGTTGATCATATACATAATGTTCCGTGCGGCAATTGTAGCCGACAATAGGAAAAGAATTAACAAATTAAAAAAGTAAATGAAAAACATTGATCACGACAACTTTTTTATTTACAAGATTTTATTTATTAATAACTATATAAATACAATGAAATTGTTCACTTCACATTGTTAGGGTAAAAACTGGTGGAATCACACCTTATGTCGAGGCTGGGGTTGCCACATCGAACAACTAAAAATGTTATAAACCCTTTGCTTAAGAGCTATCAATTTGCTTATTTAATTAGAGCTACAGAGTACAGCGATTATTTCGAATGTCTAAGAAATTCACTGCTAGACAGGTAGAAATTATAATCTAAAAAGCCTAGTCTCTAATCTGGCAACCCAGCTTTGCTTGAACCTATATCAGTCCTTGGTTCAATTATTATGACACTGAACATGTTTCTTACAACTTATCGACTGTATAAATAACACACACTAACATACTTCATAGTGACCATAGTACGCACACAGGCACACATCGGGAAACTCAATAAACTCTGCGATAGATATAAAGTTTCTCCCTTTTTTTTATAAAAACGGGAGTGAGTTTCATTTTTTAGAGCAACATTATAATCTGGCAGCAAGAACTTGGGTATCTGATTCTTCTCGAAACTTTTCGGTTGAGCTCGAAAACAGATAGATACATCCGAAATTAGGAAAGCCTTACTTTATAAGAGCTTTACGTGTATGGGCAAGAATGAGTGGTCAATGTGTGTATTTAATGGTCAAGGGGTGTTCATGTTCGAAGGTAGTGTGGCGGCGGTGGGGGCGGCGGCGCGGGTCGAAGGCGTGGTCCTCGCTCTAGCTGCCGTCGCCATGACGCCATGGCTTCGCTCAGCGTCCAAAGCTCGGATAGGAGGGACAGGTCCAGCTGCCGTAAACTCGCCTGGAAAAACAGAAAAGACTTCATTAGAAATAAGATACATTTATGTTCTAGATAACCAAAAGTGAGGAGACCATATTATAGTAAAATTGGTCGGTAGAAGCAGAGTGCTCAATGTTGTGTGCTAATGATGATGATGATTTTATAAAGTAAGGATTTTGGATTTATCAACGTATGTACAAATTATTTTAAAGTCCGCACGTGCAAAATCTAAATTAATAATAATCAAATTAAAAATTAAAAAATGTAAAGAACCAAAAACTTGATTTTAAGTAATAAAAAAAGAGACGAAACAGATATCAGCAAAGATTTTAAAATGGGAACTCATGTATCAACAGTTAACTTCATTTCTCGAGCGCACCGAGAGTCGGTCAGAGAAAGTGAAGAAATTATAAGGATCCTAGTTTACATACGAAGGGGCGCGGTGCATATGAAAGGTAAACGGCAAATTAAATAAAGGTTAAAACGATGACAAGTAAATCGAGTTTTATTTCAACATTTTCAACAAGATCTCTGGTGTACGTTCAATTTAGCAGTTTATTGCCATGACCTGATAAACAGGTATGTATTTAAATATACTCTAGAATCCAGTTAATGTAAACATTAGTTAATTATCGAGCAGCCTACATAGAAACACGTGGGCCGCTTTATTAATTCACTAGATGATTAATCAAGGATTTTATTGATTTTAACTTCTGGAACGAAACTGGTACGTCTGATGATGAATGAGGCAATTTTGACGGGCGATTAAAGAATAAAACTGTTATTTGGGAGAGATGGGTAGGAATTTTAAAGTGTGACGTGGTTTACAATTACCATGGCAAATGAAAGACAAACAGTGTTCGAAGCGACCTTCCGCGAACGTTCTGGTCGATTGCGTTAGATAGGAATGCAGCACGATCACGACTGTTTGTGGGACGCAGAAATAACCGAACAACTTATTGATATTACCTACACAACGCCGTCACATTCGCGAGTCGCGACACATGCGGATCTGGACGACAGGTCTATCTAGATCCGAACTAGGTAAATAGGTACAAAATGTAACCGTATTAATAACGATGTTATAAAAAATATTTGGGTCGTATCGGACAGCTTCTAGCTAGTTGGCCGTTAGATCTTCTTTTTATCAGTAATGCCATCACTGACATTTGTAGTTTTGTAGACATACTTTCGACATGGTTTAATTTAGAGCCGAATAATATATAATTCATTATTTATAACGCAAGGTAAATTTGTAACGGAGATTATTATCTTAACGTAAGTAAATTAAATACAAGGGCCAGAATAGTTATTACACCTCAAACACGTTATTTGAGTGCAACTCACCAACTCACATAATATGGTATATTACAGCTATTATTCAATGGATAATTAAATCACTGACAAAAGCGATGCAGACTATGAGATTAAAAAAATAAATGCAATGATTGACTGCATGAAATTCAATGCAACACAAGAGAAAATTAACGTCGCTTGCATTCCTGTAGAGTGTAGATAATGTTTCGGAAAAGAGGGAAAGTGCCTATCGAGTGGTGCTACGCTCCGGTGGAGACGCGACGGACAAGCTGTCCCATACGACTAATTAGCATGCACTCGCCAGCTCAAAACATTCATTGATTAGATGATAGGCAATAACCATGAAGAGAAACTTGATTGTTAGATACCTACTTCGTTCAATTTAAATAAAAAAATATTAATTGATCACAAGATTCTTTTCTGCCAAGGTAAACTCCAATTAGTGTTAACGTGTTCCAGTTCCTAAACAGCAAGGACTCCGTTCGTGAGACACTTGACGATAACAAATATAAATTGGTATTTGTCCTCAACAAGTGTACGATAGCCTGGGACCAATTTCAACCACTTTGTATTCAGTTTGTAAAGTGCTCGACAAGTGGCACAATAGAATATAATTTGGTAAAGAAAATAAAATTACTTTAGGGAATTTATTAAAATTACTATTTCGTGGAAGACATTTCACCCATGTTTCGTATGACATGGCAGATGGACGGGAAAAGAAAAACACGTATTTTTTGTACAAGAAATTATAAATGTACCAACGCATTGTGAATACGTAGTATAAACATTTGTATCTGCCAGCTTCGCCAAATGGTTTCATGTTATTGGACCAAATAAATAGTCTGCAAGGCTAAATAAATATGCCAGTTCAAAGCAAAACAAACAATTTTATGTGATGGACGTAAATTTTCTTAATTGATGGTTTATAGTGAAGTAAAATAATTTTGTCGTGTGCGAGTTGACGGTTGACGGTCCCCTATTATAGTCGAAAACTTTCGTGACTAATCGTAGTTAAAAATGCAATGTTTCTTCGTACCTATAATGAAAATATTCTGATGGTTCTTTGAAATAGATCGTAATAACAATACGAGCGAGGGTGCCGCATGGTAAACTAATTGAATTAGCTGTCCCGCACCCCTTCACACTACCGGACATTGGAGCTTCCATAAAAAGAAAAGTGAGTTTCCTAAATGAGTCAGGAGCAGTAAAAATAAACCAATTTTGTTTCGTTCAAAATATTATCGAAATCAGTCATAAAATTTTCATCACTCTATTGATGGTCCAAAGAAATTTCTTTTATAAATATGTTGGATCAAAGAACTTGTTTTGAGCACCTAAAGAACCGTAAAAGAAGCTTAATAGCTTCTAGGAAGGAAAGCAAGCGGTTATATTAACAATTGTGGCGAGCTGTTGTTGTAACAACAACTAGTTCAAAGGAAACTCCTATTTGTGCAGCACTGCGTCCGGTCTATTGTGTACCAATGCGTCTATACTTGGTCTTTATTTATTTTAAGGTAGTGAACCATTCGGTTCTTCTACTCAGGTGATCTGATTTTAAATAGTTTAATGACTATAATCCTTCAGAATCTATGTCAATTTTTTTTATCTGACTAATTTTAATGTAATCTTCAGAACGTATGTTATCGAGCCAGTTTGCATAGCGGTTCATTTTGGACCTCATTTGTAGAATCTGATATCCTGTTTCCGTTACCTCTTATGTTCTAAATAGCTGAAGTGAACTTTTTATCATCACTTCTCGATTATTTTTTAGAAATATTTTGATTAAAAACGATGTAAAAGTGAAATTATCCCACGCAGATCTTGAGATCAAGTGATTCAAGTGTAATTTAATAACTGGCACCGGTTATAGTTTAGTGTCCAACCTTATAGCATCAGTTTCGTTCCACGCAAACTTTCTTCACAACGTGTTACTTGATCGGTCCTGAGCAAAGCCTGCGGTTTTATAGCCAATCAAACATGAAGCAATTAAACCGAACTTGTATATTATTGGCCAAAGGCAATATCAGGTAGGTGCATTTACATTCACAATTTTGCATTACCCTGTGCACCCGTCGGATGACGCCAGATGATCCTTAATTGGCTTGGTTTCAATTTTCACATGCACACATTCGACATTAATATTTCATACGAAACGAGAATAGCACAGAAATGAGAGCTGACTGCATGAGAACACGATGGAAATCGAGAATTATAAATGAAAATGTTTCTTCAGTCAACTGATTTTACGGCTAATAAAATTGTTGCATTACATTATGGAAAAGTTATCCGATATTACGACAGCGAACGTGAAATTCCAGTCAGGTGGAATAAATACACCATCAAAAGCCTATAAGTCGATACATGATAGGGCATAAATTGAACAGATTGCCGTTAGGTGGTTCCTATTTCTCTGAGCTTGTGGTACGGGAGTCGGCGCCGGCGCCACCGTAGCACCCACGTGTTTCCCATGTAATTTACATTCAATACCAGCCAAGATGCCTACATGATAATAGTTTGGAGGACCGGAAGAAAGTATTATTATCATAGTTCGTGACTCCCGTTAAGGTGTGGGCGACGCTTGTTTTCTAGTTGATATGTTCTGTCAGATGTCCAAAACATAATCGTATGACAGTTACATTTCGAAAATCAGATAGCAACCAGTTTTGCAGGCCACTTGCAACAAATTATATAATTCAATAAACATAATATTGCAACTTTCTCGATTAATGTGCGATATTATAATGTTATGATTTAATCGTGGAGCTTGATATACATTAAATTACTAGAATTACTCAATGACAAAGTGTGTTGTGTATTTCTAAATTTCCAATTGGTTTTGTGTAAATGTTTCGATGACACGAAGTGCCTTGTTACGATGCATTACGAATGGGTCAATGTATTGCGATGCTCTCAGTACGAGTTTTGTCAACGTGCCAACTTGTATGTTGAAGTATGTACTTATTGAGTACAGTTAATGCAGGAGGGCGTTAGAAAAACGTGTGGCCTCGTGGGACCAGTCCACCCACGGCCCTTACAATCCAGTCCTCGTGTTTTTCACCATGTTTGTACACTTGCCGCGATCATTGAACGTCAACTTTTTAATAGCTACTTAGACGGAAGCCGATAACGATAGAAGCAAACAGTACACCTACAAAAGTGTTTAAGTAAATAGCATAGCCGTTGTCCCACCATCGAATAAGCCACTAAGCATGAAAATGGGACTTTTGAAAATTGTACCTACTCAAGCACGCCAGTGGTTTAAATCCGGGTCGCATAAATAGTTTCTTTCAAGCCTCTTTGGCCTCGTTGAATAAAAAAAAGCTATCTCATTATTTTATTTTATTGTACTGAAGCAATTGCAGAATTTCAAATCAAAGCATTTGGAAGGCGCACACTGGCGCACACGTGTCTCGCAGCGGATACTGAGGATCCGGTTTCGCAGTTGTGAAAAAAACTTAGGTAACTCATTGAGGATTAGAACTAGATTCAAGTTCGAATGTAGAGTAAGCAAAATACGTACCTACACATATTATTATAATGTATAAATTGACTGTAGAATTTGTGTAGAGAATTAGAAAAGAAAGGCAAGCAGTTATCTAAGTTAAAAATCAACTTTTCGAATTTGGAATGAATAAATACGAAGACATTTTTATAGAGTAAACGCCAAATAAATCTTTATCCTCGAAAAAGTAAAGCAGGGAATT